CTATTGAAATGCAAAGGTCCTGTTGATATTAAAAACCTTTACTTCAGAATTTCAACACCATTTACTTAAAATTGGAATAAAATGTTCAATATTTAAAAAGCTTGGTGGTATTTCTTTCCATTATGACGTCAATTACACCGAGGGTCCATGTCAGGTTGTTTGAATGTGAAACATATATGGTTATCTTTTTACACACAACCACACATTAATTACATTCAGTTTTATATATTTATATAGCCCAATATCATGAATCATACTTTACCTCAGGGAGCTTTACAATCTGTACAACATACAAAACCCACAGCAGATGAGGAAAAGCTCCCCCCAGTAAAACCCTTTAACAGGGCAATTATAACAGGGCATCTATACATACAAACATGAACATTAATAATATATTTCCTATGTGCCTGTATGAAGGTGTTCTGTGTTAAAGGTCCAATGTGTAGGATTTAGCGGCCCCTAGAGGCGAGGTTGCAGAAATGAAACTTCTCCCTTGTGCCAAGCATGTAAGAGAACTAAATGGTGTTCTATTTGTCCCTTCTGAGCTACTGTAGAAACAACATGGTGGACTCTATTGAAGAGGACCTGCTCCATATGTTTATATAAACGGCTCATTCAAAGGTAACGTAAACACAGCAGTCCTTATTTTCAGGTGATTATAAACTAATGTAAACATAGTTATGAAACTTACATCAATTTCTGCCAACAGATGTCCCTAAATACTACACACTGGACCTTTAAATACAACTCATTGTTATAAAATGCTATTTTCCTTTTCTTGTTTTTACAATAAAAGTTTTCATAAGATATAATGCTTTTTTTATAACATACATTTTTATTTCAAAATCCGCTTTTTTTCACCCAGTGACACTTTTTTTATCGTGTCACCTATAATAACATTTATTCTACTCTCCATGATAGTGGTGTCGAGGAGATTATTTCTTTAGAGGCAGGTATGTAGATGTGATTAGCTGAAAGGTTGGGAGTAGTGACTTTATGATGTAAGACATGTCATTCAGAGAAAATGCTATCATTGAATTAAAACAGCCTTTAAAGGTGGAGTCGGTTATTCTAGAGAAAGATTACTGACATTTGAACTCAACAGACAGCCAGTGAGGAGATAGTCAAGGTGTATTAGATTACCACCTTTAAAAAAGGCCAAGTTTGATATATTAATAAAAAACAACCCCTGTAAGACTTTAACACTTCATTATAATGGGTTTTAATAACAAAAACATAACATCATTGTTTCATTTACTTTATTATTTCCTATTTATTTATATATTTAGTTATTTCATATGAAGCACTTTGGGGCTCCATACATAACCTGCGTGTATTTCTGAGTGTGTGTGTGTGTGTGTGTGTGTGTGTGTCTCTTATTAGACAATAAACTTTATTTGTATGGCACTTTTCAAAACACAAAGTGCTTTTTCTCCACCTGCATGGTGACAAACACATCACACATGCCAGATGCTGCACAACGCCTCCTCCTCGTTGTGAAACCATCTTGAGAGGACGTTATTTGAAACACTCTCACATTACAGTCACACCCACAGTTTACATGGATACATCTGACACATAACAAAGTCCCTCAGGACTCAGGCTATCAATGATTCACACACTCTCTAATCAATAAGTCATGTCAGCCTATGAAGAGTGTGCTGCCGTGTCTCTGCCATCTTTTACTCGGCTCTGGGGAGTATTTTGGTCCCTGGTGAAACATGAACCTGTAGGGGTGATCATGACACAGCATGGACGCAGCAAGGCCTTATGGGTGAAATCAGCTTCTATCATAGCATCTGACCTCATGATACCATGAAATCAAAGCTGTTACTTTATTAAACAGATGGTGTGGATTTGTGATAGAGTTCTGGTGAGACTTTAAAGGGTCACCTAAAATCAGTTAAAGGGAAATTTCGGTTTATTTCAACTTGTCTCCTTTCGTCCTAAATTTGTTTCAAGTGACTAGTGACATATAAATAATAGTTAGCATGTTAGCCGTTAGCCTAGATACAGCCGGGGCGCATAGTAGCGTCAGACCTGTTAAAACGTAAGTGAACGGGCAATCTTCAAGTGCAAAGTTAGTCCACTAAACAAGCTTTTTTTCCACAAAGACCGCCTCATATCGTTAGGATAAATGTCAGAGAACATATAGAAAACGACATGTAAACATGTTGTCTTACCTTACCGGTGTGCTGCCATGTTTGTTTATCCCTCTAGCTCTGCTTTCCAAAGCGCGGCCGAAATATATCTTGCTAGCTCTAGATAAAGCCCAGCTGGATACTACTCCAGGTGGAGGTGTCTTGTCCTCGGTCACATCCAGACCTTGAAAATAAGGCTGCAACCGGTCCCATTCCTTGCAACAGAGGCATTCCTCTTCTGTGGGCACTGGGGCACAGCATTCACAGGTACACCACCAATCTCCAGAGCTACGCAGCCTTGCAGCAGCCATTCCTCCTCTCTCGTCCTCTACCTGTTGCGCCTCTCTCTCTCCTCCTCCGTTCTTCAATTTCACGAAGCTCTTCATCAGTGTATTCTGGCTCAAATAAATAAGGGCGGCCATCAAACTCTGCAAAATCAAATTCCTCCTCCACAAAGTCGAAGTCTGGCAAAAAGTCAGCCATTATTCTATAAATCTTTCATAAAATAAATGAATGAACTTTACAGACTACTGTCCGGTTCTGCCTTCCAGCTTTTGCTGCTTGTTCTCGCGAGATTTCAGGCACGGTATGAGATCGCTGCTTGTTCTCGCGATATTTATTTTTGCGCTTTGGAAAGCAGAGCTAGATGGTAAACAAACATGGCAGCACACAGGTAAGGTAAGACAACACGTTTACATGGCGTTTTATATAGGCCTATGTTCTCTGATATTTATCCTAACAATATGAGGCGGTCTTTGTGGAAAAAAAGCTTGTTTAGTGGACTAACTTTGCACTTGAAGGTTGCCCGTTCACTTACGTTTTAACAGGTCTGACGCTACTATGCACCCCGGCTGTATCTAGGCTAACGGCTAACATGCTAACTATTATTTTTATGTCACTAATTACTAGAGACAAATTTAGGACGATAGGAGACAGCTTGAAATGAACCGAAATTTCCCTTTAAGTGGTTAGCTGCTTAGCCTGCGTAACAGACGGGGGTCTAATGCTGCCTTCAGGTCATACCATTCAGACCAGAACTATGAGCAGTCAAATTGGGAAGAATATGTTCACGTCAGCCTCCGCAATTTATTAACCCTGACTCAGGGATTTCTTGTGGCAATGATACCATTGATACTGCTGGCAACATGGCTGCAGAGTCTCTATGTGCAAATAAGACTTGATATTTTGTTGGTTTTAAGTTGTTAAGTAACCAAAATCAGACATATTCCAAATGCTTCACTTCATCGTAACGCTGAATAACGATATTAAGTCGTAAGGTATGAAGTATAAAATCCTGTGTCTGCAAAACATTGTAATGTTAATGTCCACAAAACAGGACCTAACCAAAATTTAACGTATGTCCAAAGTAAGAGTCCAACATCTTTCTGACATCACATTGACGTCCAGTGCCAGCTTGGATAACAACAACAATAGCTATTAATGTGCTAAAGAGGTCGTGGTGCCATCTTCTGTCATTTCCTGTCATCTCTCACCTGCTGCTATGGACAAAATTCACAAAAACACCCAATCAATCATTTTAAAAAGCTAATTTGACTGGTATGATTGTAAGGTGAGCTGTTGGTAGGTCTAACTATCTTGAAAATGATGCATCAACACTCCCAAATCAGAATAACAAAAGGTTCTCTTTGCACAAATGCAGCACATAGACAGTAAAAATAATGGATGCAGCTACCGTGATGTCACCCACTGGTTTGTGGACTCCCGTTTTGAAGCCTCAACCATGGCCAGAAGTGACCATATTTGGACGAGAGGCTGGTGCTGTGGAGGAATGAGGGGTGGATCTGACTGAGAAGCTGAGGACACCATTGGCAGACAGCCTGTCACTCGAAGCAGCCCTGCTCTTAATTATGCATAACTTAAAGTCTTAATAAACTGTAAACGGGTGAGTTATATAAAGATTCAGCCCGCTGTGCAGCTGTCATGAAGAGGGATATTACCATTTTTGTACCAGGCTGTAAACATGTTGATTTCTGCTGTAAGGTTGAGCATATTAACACGGGGGATTGACTCGTCTCTGGAGCCAGCCTCAAGTGGACATTTGCTGCAGCTGCAGAGGACCACTGCATTTACACCTGGCACATTCATCGCCATACGTAAATCAACATTCTCCCTATACTGTAGAAAATGACCCTAAATGATTTCAGAGAGGGATTTTTTCCCTTTAATTGTGCATGTAATCTTTTCCAGAGGTAAAGTTATAGATAACTCTTTGAATCCAAATAATAAACGTTGGTTTACTGGTCATTTTCCAAGAGAGTGAGACAACTCTTTTGCAAGCAGGAGACAGAGATTAAAGACAGCAGTATCTTTCTTGGATGCAATTTGTTTGTCAGGATGTAAACCAGAAATGACAAACTTTGGGTGCAGTGTTAATTGTATTCCCAATATTGTATTCAGAGCATGTTTAATCTCCTGCCAGAACTCTTTCACTTTGTCCCAAACAGTGGAAAAAGGTCCCCTTTCACCAAACTGTCGTCAGTCACTTGGGCACAAAAATATGAGAAAATAGGGTCCAGGTTAAAAATACATGAAAGTACAATATTAAATCAGTGATGTGGAGGTATTGTTGAACTGTGTGCATGTTGACTTTATAAAGGCTCTCAGTATAGGGGATTTAAAAGCATCTTTGGACCATCAGCTGCTGATATAATACTGCAGTTCTCATGTTTAAGGGGGGTTTTAAAAGGGGGATTTCCAAGTTGGGGTCAAACCTTGGCCTGAGTTCACTCTGTGAAGATGATGATGATGATGATGAGTCCCCTGTAAGTTCAGAGAGAGACCCGTGCAGACTTCGCCACAGCGTCAATAACTCGTCTATTTTTAGCAGGGTTGTCTGTGGCTGCCATGTTGCCTGCGAGGTAGACGCTTGTCCGCCCCAGAGCAGATCCTGCGGCACTGAGTCACGGTCCTGGTGTCTGCACGCCGCGTGGCGCTCAGGTTCACCGTGTTGCTTAATTAGGACATCCCGGAAGAGTCACGGAGCTGTGCGCAGCTGAGTGACGGGACACGGAGGCAGGAGGGGACCGCGGCGCACAGACACGAATCCGTCTCGGGATATTGACAGTCACAATAAAACATCAGCAGAAATCCGCTGTGGACCAGAGGAGGGAGGTAAGTTGCGTCTATACTGGCGACTTTGTCACTGCGTGTCAAGTTTGGGTGATTTTCGGGGTGGGGCGGAGGAGATAAAGGGGCGCAGAGATGTCCAAACACAGTCATTTTCACCTGCCCCCTGTGCGCCATGGTTTCTTTTATATATTTAGCACGCAGTGTGAGTGGATTTTGTGCTGCTGTTTTCCTTCATCTCCTTTGTGTTTCGGAGTAACGGTGATGTTGTGGCGTGAAGCATCAGATTTGAGGGGCGGTGAAAGTCCTGTCAGCATGCCAGCAGTGTGCCATGTCATGTTTTATTATGAAGCGTCATCTCTGGCCTGTGAGAGCCCGTGTGATGAGCACCAGTTATCATGACTCTCAAACAGAGTGATAGATTAAACATTATTGGGTGCATATATGTTAAGTTTCAAACTTCATTTTTGACCAAACAAAACAATCTCTCTTCTTCCATTTAGTAGCTTTTGGAGCTTTTGGTTATGTAACATCTCCTTCATGTTTGGTTAAACTCAACGTTAATTTTTGAACTCAGTTTTTAGGCCAGCATGGACAGGAAGGGAAGTCCGCAAAGGGAAAATTTGCAACCTATTCTGTGTAAATCACAATTTTCATCACAGTAATGATGTCAGTACGATGTGATTTAGGCTCCTGCGATTGAAACAATATTTTACATGCACATTTAACAAAATGTGTTACAGAAGAAGCTGCCGTTCCTTTATTTTTTACTTTTGGCCATGACACACATAAACAACACATAAATAACAAGTACAGTAAAGTTTACTTTAAACTGACTCCACAAACACAAATAAAACAGCACATAGGATAAGTTAACCTTCAGGGCTTTCTTCCAGAAAGACCTTTCTGAAAGAAATCTTTTCATTTTAACCCAAACCATCATCTGTCTCCTAAAACTTCAAGACTAACTGGCCTAAAGCCCTGAATGCAAACTTCTCCATACAGCCATAAAACATGGACTAACATCATCATTTAACAAAAGTATCAAATTCAGCTCAATAATATCTGTCAAGGTTTAGAGACAACAAATAAAATGTTTTTCGCTAGTCACTTATTATTAGCTTAAGCATGTTTACGTTGCATAAATTAGCCTAGTGGCTAGTGGACTTTTTTCCCTCTACTCATAGGTTAACAAATTACATGTAAGGTTATTATATTTCTTACTCGCCATTGGTTTAAATCACTACATCTCCCGACAGAACAGCTCAGTTGAATTTCAGCTGAATGTTGTTAAAAACAGAGCAACTAATGTTGCTGTAGTGAGAAGTTAGCGGATTGAGGTGCCCGACAAGGCAGGTAACATTACATTGTGTTTTATCTCATAACAGCATTGTTTAGCCTACATACGACATGTACTCTGTCTGTCGACCAGTATTTTCTCTGCTGATCTATTCCTCTTCATCTTTCTCTTGGCCTCTTACCATCTACCTGCCATTGTTCGATGGTGACAAAATCAAAGCATATCCTTAAGATGACGATATGGAATGATGTTTTTACTTTACATCGATGACATTGGCTCGTTGATCATTTAATTGATATATCGATCCAGGTCGATGGATCGTTACATCCCTAATTATATGTGGATGTCTGATTAGTGTTGATGGTAAATGTACGTAATTGAAATAAGTTCCTCAGTGCACGCTATATTGACCCTTGTTCTTCCTGCATCCAGTGCCGTCATTTGAAGTGACAGTAGCCCTTTCTACACTGCCTGTTCAAGGCGGGAATGTTGAGCTGTTATTCCGCTTCATCGTTCTTCATAAAAGGTACAATCACGGAATAGGGGGACAGTTTTATCACCTTTAAGCCAGCAGCAGAGGTAGTAAAAGTGCCAAATCAAAGGACAGCCAGAAAAAGGAGACCATGGATGGGACATGTGTTATGTGTGCAATCCACCACCAAGAGATTTAAAAACAGCTCACAGCAGTTAGCAGCTAGCCAGGGGAAAAGAACAGCAGCCAAAGATGTTGCCGCTGTGGAGGCAATGAGGTCAAAGAGCTACTTACCCTCCGAGCAGAGGCCGAGATCAGGCACAATATAACAGGGGTCACAAATGACTGTGGTTGCCATGTTATTAACAACAGCAGTTTTTTGAAAGTTGATAAAATCACTGAGAGCTCATTCTGATGATAGCACAGTTTCCTGTTTGAGTGGCTGTAACATAAACATTATACTAGTAAAACAGTTATTTGTTGAATTCCCTAAAAGTTACTAGTACAGTACAGCACATGACCTTGAGACCTACAGCAGGACGTCTTACAGTAGGCCTGTAGCAGCCCAATATAGCCCCAAAGATCAGATACCAGGCCACAGGGTCCAGGAGACACATGCAGGTCAGGGTGAAGTCAGTAATATCTTTCCATCGCAGGAACATGTGTGCTTTCTCAGCTGTTAGTTGGGGTCTTTATGTGGCAGACGCTGCTGCCCACCTGTCTGCAGGAACAGAGGGAGGAATGTGTCCATTTACTGCGGCCTGCTAATGTCTACATCATACAACAGCTGAAAATGAATGATAGATGAAATCTATTGACCGGTGTTTGTGTGGTGGTTTACAGTCCTTGTAGCACTAATGGTTTGAACCACTCTGGCTGCTTCTGTTGTGGGCTGAATGTATGAAGTGTATATGAAAAGCTAAAAGAGCATCATTGGCCACGTCTTTGCATTACCATGGAGAATTTGGCTGTTTGACAATACAGTCAGTGCAGACACTGGCTCTTTCTGTCTCATGGCTGTCAAACACATTTTTATTGAGCAAGACAGTGATGAAGTGTTTTGGACTTGAGCAAATACAGTAGTTGATTCTTAGTCCTCTTTTTAATGACTCAATGTGAATGAATACTTCACCCACAAAATGACCATTTGTAAATTACAATCACAATGTGTCACCTTGAATTCATGAAGAAAACTTTGTTTTCTCACATGCCTCCATGGAAAATGGCGAACATATTGATTTATTGATTGATTGGGGACCACTTCTGACGACAGCAAAGCTATATGAAAACATCAGTTTACAAACCCTCACACAACTTGTACAGTGCAGTCCAAGTCTCGTATAAATTAAAGTCTGATTTTGAAGAGAGCACAAATAAGTTTCACACTCAGTTCAATTTTAAATAGTATGGTTTTAGCAAGCCTGGCTGGAGGCAATATTTTTTCAGGTTGTCCGTTTGCCCATTGAGATCAAGACCTCTTTCACAAGGGTGACCTGGCCAAGAAAGGCAGCAGCATGCGTCATAATAAATACTGCAAATGTAAAGACAGATAAAAAGATACAAACATTGAAATATAGAAATCTAAACAATTTGACAAATTAAAGGGATAGTGCACCCAAAAACGAAAATTCAGCCATTATCTACTCACCCATATGCCGATGGAGGCCCTGGTGAAGTTTTAGAGTCCTCACATCCCTTGCGGAGATCGGCGGGGGCAGTGGCTAGCACACCTAATGGCTGATGGCGCCCCAGACTAACGTCCAAGAACACAAAATTTAATCCACAAAGTATCTCCATACTGCTCATCCGTAGTGATCCAAGTGTCCTGAAGCCCCGACATAAAAGTTGTTTCGAAAAACATCATATGAACTCTGTTTTTAGCCTCACCATAGCCTGTAGCTCTGACTGCTTCTCTGTGCTCCGCACTCACATGTGCGTGCTCAGGGTGAGCAGGGTCTCTGAAGAGCAGCAGTCTCGTCAGTACTGATGTCCAGATTCTCAAGTGCAGGCATCGCCAATTCCCAGTCTGAGCAGCAAAGACTTTCCTCATCCATTGGCATTGCTTTGCATTTGAAACAACTACACCACCAGGTTTCCAGTGCTCGACTCCTGTATTCTGCGGCTGGCTGAGGGATAGGCTCATGAGCTGCGGCGGCTGCTTCGTCCAGTAGCCTGAGTTCTGTCTGTATACTCGGGCTCAAACAAATTTGGCTCAACAAAGAAATGCTGTTCCTCCTCAATTTCAAAGTCTTCAGACATGTTGGGCTGTCCTTTGCTAAAAGACTGTAGTGCAAATTATCTTTTAGCTCTGTGGTTACTGCTGTCTCCCCGTGCGGTGCACATGTCACGTGAAGTAAACACAGGTAATCAAAGCTAATGCTTTCGCTGGTCGCGGGCACGCGTGAGTGCGGAGCACAAAGAAGCAGTCAGAGCTACAGGCTATGGTGAGGCTAAAAACAGAGTCCATATGATGTTTTTCGAAACAACTTTTTATGTCGCGGCTGCAGCACACTTGGATCACTACGGATGAGCAGTATGGAGATACTTTGTGGATCAAATTTTGTGTTCTTGGACGTTAGTCTGGGGCGCCGTCTGTCATTAGATGTGCTAGCCACTGCCCCCGCTGATCTCCGCAAGGGATGTGAGGACTCTAAAATTTCACCAGGGCCTCCATCGGCATATGGGTGAGTAGATAATGGCTGAATTTTCATGTTTGGGTGCACTATCCCTTTAAGTGCAGGAGTTATGGTTTCAGTAACAGCTTAAGAACACAAGCACTGTTTGATAGATTCCTGTTCTTGGTCTTTTAGGATAGCACAAAAGGCTTCAGGTGAAATAAGTTCTGGTATTTTTAGTTCAGATTGGAGAGTATTCAAAGCAGAGGGGGCAGAGAAACTGAATGCTTTTTTTCCCATTTCAGTCCGAACACGAGGAGCAGACAGGTGTAAAATGTTATTAGATCGTAAGGCATAATGGCTTTTAGTTCTCTGAAGAAAAGTGCATAAATAGGCAGGAACCAAGCCAAGAAGAGCTTTATAAATCAGAGTCATCCAGTGTACATTCAAGGAGGGCAAACCAGCTTTAGCATACAGTTCACAGTGGTGGGTGAGGCGGCTGCAACCAACAAATTTGGCACAAGAATTTGTCAAAGGTCACTGTGACCTCACAAAACATGTTTTTTGGCCATAACTCAAGAATTCATACATTATTTATGAAAAAAGTTCACACAAATGGATAAAATTATGAAGTGATGATGTTTTATATCCAAAAGGTCAAAGGTCAACTTCACTACACTTGACTCTCATCTTGGGTGCCCACCTTGAAACTATGATGATTGTGTAGATCTTCTGTGCTCCGGGAGAAAGATGTGTGTGAAGCATCCATGTTTTCACAGACATGGATGTAAACTGTAAGTGCAACTTAAGAGGTTTTGGGAGTCAATTAGCCTTTTATATGATAGTGATAGCTGAGGTCGGGGGGCATGCATCACCCTGGCCACTCAGTCAGGACTAACACTTTACCAGGTGAGCTACTGGGGCGCCCATTATAAGTAATATCATTACTATTATTATTATTATTACTACAAGTAAATAACCTGCTATATGTTCAGAAGTTGTTGATAAAGGGCTTTTACAATAATCAATCAAGTCAGCAGATGTAAATCTTATCAGTTTTGGTTCAGATACCCTGCAGCACTTTCCCAGGATGTAAGCAGTCAAACAGTCTGTTGGAACAGTTTGTTGTGTATTAATACATGATTTATTATGCATGAATTAAGCCTTTAGTTAAAATCCAGGTGGGAAATGAAGGAAATCATTAGGATTGACTTTTGGCTTGGAGCATTTCTTTTCCTCCTTCTGCTATTTGATGCATAATTTACTTTATATATTTGCACTTAAACACATTACCACTGCATAAACAATGTTATGATGACAGATGTTCTCCTGGTTTTGTACATGTGTCACCAGAAAATGCTTTACTGACCACAAGACAAACTTGTAAGAGGGCCTAAATAAAGTGGTATCAGAAATGCAAATACAAGTTTACCCTTGCTGACGCTCAGAAAATAAACTTGATCCCACTCAATCCAAGCAGATGTCTTGCAGCACATTCAGTGCTGTTGCTTTATATCTGACTTGTTGCGCATGATCAGCCCATGTCGAGCTCTCCAGGTTTCAGAGCTGTTGTGACCCAGAGAGCAGAAATAGCAGATGAGTCCCGCGACAGGCATCTGACACCACTGAGAGGTTTCTCCAGAGAGATGACTCGATGACGCCCATCAGGACATGTCTGTTGCTCATAGCCTCACAGCACATAATTACAAGACATAATTTATACAGATTACAGACCGGACAGCAATCCAGTCTACATAGCTGCCATATTATTGCAGCACACAGCGTCCTGGTGTTTTTTTATAGATCATTTGTAAAGCAAATAAACAGATTATAACTCACGCCATTGGATTGTGTGTTGGACATGCAGGTAGCAGGTGTCAGATTGGGAAGTGCGTGTTACCTAGCAGTGGTTTGTGTAAACATGCAGTGGGTTGCTGGATTGAATTCCACTCTGTTGACTAATTGCCCGCATCACCTCATGGTGAGGCATATGGCTGGTCAGTGTTAACGAAAGAGATACAATATGGTCTGTGCAATGTTTCAGTGGCGTTGGATTACAGCTGGAGGTTTTGTTCCATCATAGCAGAGAGATAACCCTGTCAGTGCTGTCTGCATGCTTCAGCTGAGTTTGGGTACAGTCTGTATATTCATGTATGTTGAATGTCCAATCTGTGTGGGTGTCTCAGCTGACTCATCTCTAAATGACAAGAGTTATTTGCGCTAACATGGAAATGTCATAAGGGGAGTATACAGGGTCAGTGAGCTCACTCTTTCACCATCAGGACAGATCATCAGATAAACTCACTTTGATACAGCAACGTGTGGATTGTGGGCTTAAACTACAACCCTTATTCCAAACGTAAATTAAAACAAAATTTAATGAATTGCAAATCATTTTCAACCTATTTTAAATTGAATACAGTCCAGAAATAAGATATTTAACATTAAAACTAATAAATGTTACTATTTATTGTAAAATATATACTCGTTCTGAATTAGATGCCTGCAACTTCTTTACAGAAAAAGTTAAAAGAGGAGTAACAAAAGTCTGGGAACGCTTTGAAATGCTCAAAACTCAAACACCAGTTTGGTGGTCACAAATAGCAGCATCATGATTGGGTTTCAAAGGGACATCCTGAAAAGGCTCAGTTGTTCACAGGCAAAGATGGTCACTCTGTGAAAAACTGTGTGGGCAAGCAGTCAGATAGTTTAAAAACAATGTTTCTCAACGCACGATTGCAAAGAATTTAGGGATTTCACCAGCTACAACCCAAAATATCATCAAAAGATTTAGAGAATCCAGAGAAATCTCTGCATCTAAGGGGCAAGGCTGAAAACCAGCATTGAATGCTTGTGACCTTTGACCTCTCAGACAGCATTGCAAGAACAAAAATCAAGTAAAAGTGACCAAATCAACATCTCAAGCACACACACGACCACACACGTGAGCCCCTCCAGTCTTACGTCTGGCAGAGATAACAAAAATAAGCCCAATAATTCTTTAGTTGAGCTCATTATCATGATACACTTTTTCATCCTACATTATTGCACAGTTTATTGCAGTCATTTTGATTCATTCATTATTGAATATATTCATTGTTTTAAATGTCTGTTTTCATTTCATAATGCCGCTTGTCATCGGAAAGGCTGTAAATCTAGACAAAAAATGCCAGAGCCTGTTATGTGATTAAAAACTGGAATTGAATTAAAATACTTGATATAAACTCTGTTTTTGAAGTTTATTGGATTATTCCGCAAATGTGTTTATATATTCATTTTCTTGTTTTTTCCATTTTATTTTTCACTTAGACCAAAACAGAAAGTGTGTCTTCCTATCGTTTGTATCTAAAGATACTTTATCAGGTATTTTCTCAGGTTTTCTTTCTTTCTTTCTTTCTTTCTTTCTTTCTTTATTTCTTCTCCCTCTGCATTTACTTCTGTGTCTTTCCCCTCAGCTTGGCCCCGGTCTCTGCCCTTCCTTAATCCAATCGTGTGATTTGTTCATGTGTTCATAGCAGAAGTTGTGACTGTGGCAGAGGTCCAGACAGCTCAAGCAGAGACAGTGTTCATATAAACCCCACTTCATTGGCTACATTTAGTTTCACTCTGTAATGACATGGGCCAGCTTTTTGAAAACAGGGAGCAGCAGCGTGGGAAAGCTGAATAGTGATGTGTCCTCAGCTCAGGACCCAGTGCTGATCGCTCACCTCCCTGTCGAGAGGGGGAATTACAAAGACAATTTGCTTGTGGGATCAATAAAGTGAAACAATCTGCTGCATCACAAAACTGTTACCTATGATTGAAAAGGTCACAGTTAAGCTTATGAAACCATGCTCTTGTTTCTAGGTTTGTCAACATGGAAGGTTTCATGGAGCGGCTGGAGCGAGCTGTGACTCGCCTTGAGAAGTTTGCTGTCACGATGCAGGCGTCCAGTGGCATGGCCAACGGGGGATGCCTCAACGGCATTGATGGAGGCAAGTCTGTGCTTTAATAATACTCAACTTAGAGGTTTGGGGGACAGAGCAACAAGTTAAACCGACACTGAAGCTCAACATGAGAGCGGTGATTTCTCCCTGTTGTGTCTTCAGGTTTGTCTCAGAGTGTGGAGGCCTTTGATGTCCTGCTGAGAGGTCCAGTGTCAGAGTACCTGAACTACAGCCGAGCCCTAGGAGGTGAGGTGGAGAAACATGTAAGTTGTGTTTGATTCATTCACTTAATTCTCTCTAAATAGTGTGCAACTTATTGTTGAGCTGTCAAACTCTACATGAGAGAAGAAGGGAGTTATTCAAATTGTTGATAGAATCATGAGTGGCCTTCAGTTATTATTCTGCAACATACAATGAGAGGAAGATGGCCGGCACTAGTCAAGGCTAAAAAAGATTCTTGCCAGCAAAAAAACATTTATGCTTTTAGTTTCTATCTGTATTTATGTTCTTGATTGTTGCAGTTCTTTGCCTCATTTTATTTATTAAGTGTAAACCTACTTGGTAATAAACCATATTCTGATTCCTACATCTGCTGCCCAAACAGTCAGGTTAGATTTGTCAGTTTAGACTCCAGCTGCTGCAAGAGACAGCAAAGCATCCTTTCATTTTATAGTTACAGTTTACTAATAAAACTCTCCACGGTATGAACAGTGGTTACATGAGCCTCAAAACCAGCCACAACTCAGCCCTGAGCAGAGTGACCATCCGCTACTGACCAATCAACTCACTGCAGTGTTCACAGCTCCACTTTTTAGTACCAGATCTGTGTGCTAGGTACCCCAACAGAGGGGGGACCAAAAATGGGGACGGTACAGAACAGTACCATTGGTACCATCCACAACTTTTTGCAGTGGAAACAGAAAAAAAGTACTGAACTGAACTGAACTGAACTGCTTCGTGGAAACAGGGCTTTTGTGCCTATTAATGAGAATTATAAAACAACAGCACGGAGGCATCGTAGTATGACCCAAGATGGCAAACTTTATTACTCCTTTCATCTTTGACTAAGCCAGCGAATTTCAGATCTTACCTTTTACACTAATAGCCTGCAGAAATTTACACTGCGTAACTGTTTATCAGAGGGAACTGGGTTGCTGTCCTCTGTAAATGCAGCACAGATGGATACCAGCAGAGCAACTAGCACAGTCCGTCTGTGCCAACCTTTATCTGACTGGATGTAGAATTATAAGCAAACATGGATTGTCCTGCTTTAGATCCCACTTAGATATGAGCGTCCCTGGAAAGCTGAGGGATAGCGATGTTTGTGTGTGGGAGGTCCGTGGTCCAAGGTTTCCTGTCCTCTACAAAGCCAAGGATGGGAGTATGATTGAACTTTGACCTTAGATTCATTTATCAAACCGCTATTGGAGAACCTTTTCCTATTTGGTAATGACCTACACTCCCACTAGGACTGTAAGTGTGTTTGTGGTAAGCCAGTTGGCAATAATAGCTGTGTTATGTCCTTTGAATCAATCCAAAACAGGAGAGTAAAGGCTTCAGGAAATCACAGTGTTATGTAAAAAAAAGAATGTTTGTATTTCTTTCCTCTGTATCTTGAAAGCAGATCTCTATCTCTGCGTCCCATTGAACAGAGTGAGAAGTAAGGGGAGTGTGTGAACGAGAGCCAGGGGTAGTTTCTCTAAGTTTGCAGAGCTCCTTTTATGGACAAAGCCTCCCTGGTGGTTCCCTTGGCCCGTGACTGGAGGTCTCAAACACACACAGGACACAGCTGGCTGGGACTAACCCAAACTCTGTGTGTGTGTGTGTGTGTGTGTGTGTTACTATACTTTCCTTTTTATGTCTCAGACAGACATTCACTGCCGAGATTTCAATAAGCGTGAGAGAATGCGATCAAAGCATAAACAAAAGAGAATGAGAGAATGACATGCAAATCATGGCAGTGTAACATTGTCTATAATAAATTTACACAATATAGTATCATTAGTATCATGCTGCTTATAATGTGTCATGTAGCACGTATTGTTATCCTAACCTATCCGACTTTGGTTCTTTATGACTGACAGGCGGAGATGGTGAACAACGCCCTGCAGACTCAGAGAACCTTCCTGAAGATGGCTGCCACGCACCAGGAACCTGCGCAGGTACGACATGCTGAAAGCTGGGGTGCCCACTAGCTCACCTGGTAGAGTGGATGCCCTATGTACAAAGGCTTTGTCCTTGCCGTAACAGCCGCGGGCTTGACTCCAACCCAGAGGCCCTGTCTACTAAAGGCAAAATGCCAAAATAAAAGTTTAAAGGGAGCTGTGATTCCAGTGTGTGGTATCGCAGTTTTCCAACACCAATCCCACAGTGTGCACTCAACTCCTTTAGATTATACCATCAGGTATATGTGAGGAAGTTTGGTAGCTTTACTGTTAACTGAATTATAACAACTTTTAGGTACTAATCCAGAGTCAGTGTGCTACCTTCAGTAGAAGCCGGTCGGCATGCCTCCAGTTTGGAGAGGCAGGCAGAAGAACCACCACTGATGCTAATCCATGTACTGCTGTGGACTAAGGCAGCATCACAACTAATTTTAGTCACCTAAAAAAAATCAACATCAGTGTAAGTGTACAGTATAGTTGAATATTTACACTCCTTTGCATAGCTGTCAGACAGCACTTTTCGAAGGGGAACTGAAGCCATTATATCCATCTATACTCTCTTCAAAACCACCAGACTCCATTTACAAAAACAGTAATTTTACGTTGCGGAACACGGGAGCTGCTGGTCTTCTGTTGCTCGACATGTTAGTTTGTTTGTGTTATCGTGTGACTTTGATGTTTTAAAGGGTTAGTTCAGATTCTTCACAGTCAGACAATAACACATACGCAACAAACAGCTCCAGTGGTAAACTTTCTGTCTTGGTTAATGGCCACTGGTGGCTTTAAAGAAAGTTCAGATGAATATAATGGCTTAAGTTCCCCGTTTGAAAGGGCTGTCTGATGGCAGGTAAAGTGGTGAAAATATTCTGAATATAGCATACAATTAAACTGATAGAGATTCTTTTAGGTCACTTAGATATGTTTTGCTGCTGCCCATCCACAGCAGTACATTGCTTTGCCTCTGTGGCTAATCCAAATCGTCCCTTTAAGGTAACATCCCTTATTGTGCCACTGCCATCATTGCAGTTTACAGTCTGCTCTTTGTTGGTTTTACAGTATTAGACCCCAACTGGAAGTGGTGGAAATAATAGTATCATGTGATGTGATACCGTCATTATGACTGACTGCTGTTTGTGTTTCTGCTTACAGCAACAAACCTTTCAGTTAACCATGGCAGGTGATTCCTAGTGCAACTCTCATGACATTCAGTTACAAATTGCATCAAATGTCTCATATTTAACGTAGAAATAAACAGTAAATAAACTGTATCACAGTGCTGTGTGTCTGTCTGGGTCCTCCCCTCCTGTGTTCCCCAGCAGGCCGGGCTGTTCACAGAGGGATTACGCTGCTCTTTGACTAAGAAAACGCTAATACAACACATTCCCAACATGTTCACGTATAGAGAGGGGGGTGGGAGAGAAAGCTCTTTGTGTGTGTGTGTGTGTGTGTGTGTCAGTGTGTGAGAGAGAGCCGATATGATATCATCCCATTGGCCTTCTGTTTGTATTGTGTGTGTGTGTGTGTGTGTGTGTGTGTGTGTTACAGAGTCTGTAGAGCCTACCAGGAAGTGATTACTCCCTATCTGTCAGTTCATTGGTTAAGAGGCGGTGAAAAGAGCGTTCGGTGATTGTCAGAAATGCAAACAAGGAAAGAGCGAGGGTTTTACAGAGAGGGGAGGACAGAGATATAGGGGAGGAGGGAGATAAAGGGGAGGAGGAGATGAAATTTGGCATCATTGTTGGCCAGATAAACCCAAAACAAGTCATGGAAAAGAGACAAAAAAGAACTTCACGTACTCCCATTAATTCTTGTCCTGTTTCCAAGTATATAATTATCATCAAACGCTTCTTTCATCTCTTTCTGAACATGTCAAACAGCAACATGAATTAGGGTTTTCTATTCCATTTTCTAAACCACTAGAGCTGTAGACTGGAGATATGAGACTTGGACTTAAGTCACAGAAATGAAGACTTTAGATTTAACTTGGACTTGACTGCTGCTTGGACTTGCCTTTATTGAAGAGAAGCCACTAACAAAGTTCCACTAATTCAGTGATAGCATATTTCATTTCCTGTAGATTCCTTACAATAAAAGTCCCCTGTTATTTTGTAATGTAAAAACTTTTAATGTGAAGCAGCAAAACAAGGAAATGTTGAGTTTTTAAGCAGCAGCTTCACACAACTTCTAATATGGCTGATAGCGAACATTAAACAATAAAATAAAGCAGATACCTAAAGTACAAACAGGACGCAGGAGAGAAACTAAACTCCAAACCACAGAGATTCAGTCAAACGCTACGAAAGTACTGAGAGCTGAACAAAGAGACTTTTAAAAATGTCTTTCTCTCTGGTCTCCTGCAGACAGAGGTGAGGAGAGTGTTGCAACACACACTCTTGTTTGGGGGGGGGGGGGGGGTTGTTGAGAGTAGGGTGCGGTCGTCAAGACGTCACCGCTATCTGCTTGAGGGCGGGCAGCGCAGCTTTTGGACCTACACTGGAGAGAGTCCATCTCCAATGTGGCATGGCGTGGCATGGTGTGTCTAAACTGACGATGGAAACAAAAATCGGCTACAACTCAGTCAAGGAGGACGCCATTGATATTTACATTTCACTCTGTCACAAGCAAGAGCTTCTTGTCCATGAGTAGATGCACACTTCCTTCTGGGCGTTGATATAGTTGGTGGGTTAAGTTCTGTGGAAAGAAAATAGTTTCTACATCAAACTGCTCACAACAAGGAGGATTATGGATTAATGTGGATTATCTTTAGTAGCCAGGTCTTCATTTCCGTTTGGACAGCTGTGACTCAGGAAGATTGGCGGTTCGATCCCCGGCTCCTTCAGTCCACATGTCGAAGTCTCCTTGGGCAAGATACTGAACCCCAAATTGCCCCCGATGGCTGTTCCGCAGGTGTGTGAGGGTGTTAAAAACTGAGTAGCAGGTGGCACCTTGTATGGTAGCCTCGGCCACCAGTGTGTGAGTGGGTGAAAGTGACGTGTAAAAAGTGCTTTGAGTGGTCGGAAGACTAGAAAGGCACTATACAATTGCAGGTCCATTTAGTTTCTGGAAAGATACATTGCTGTTCAGTTTATCAAATTATTATTTTTTTTTTTTTGGTAAGTGCCATCTAGTTCCATTATATTCAAGAGATGGCAGAGATCTCAATGGCTGATATCTCCATCACTCAGCAACTCACACACAAAACAATCCCTACTGATAAAATAGCACTACAGGTAAGAGGAAAAATATGTGTTTTTGATTTGGGGGTGAACTGTCCCTTGGAATTTAGGTGTAAATAATGGTTGAAAGATAGACTCCGGTTGACATGAGGCATCCATGTTTATTTAACTTTTTAGTAGGGTTTTCAAAGCCTCGTTGGAGCTGTAGTTGTTGAATGCTTCCAAATTAAACAATGTTAAATCTTTATCAACTTAACTCACCAGTACAGTTGTAGATACCAGTTTAACGCTGAGGTCATGAAAAAGATTTGCCTGATTAAAGGAGTCTCTGAGAAAACGCACTGTCACACTTTGGCATGTAGAGCTGAGGCTGCTGTAGCTTGTCAAGGCTGGGACACCAGTTCTTTATTCAGAGTCAACATGACTCATAAACCCTTCAATATGGACACACACACAAACAAACACACACCACCAACAGTACAAACCTTGTCCTGAAAAGCCTTCACATACAAACAAACACACACATCTGTCCACCTCACTTATTCATGTCTATATCTGTCATCCTTCATACAGATCAGGCAGAGGAGGAAAAGTGTGTGTGACTCTGGCCAGTACAGCCTCTCTATCCACACACACACACACACACACACACACACACACACACACACACACAGATTACAAACTCCTGGCCTTTCTCTGCAGCACAGCCCCTGTTGTGCTCTCTGACTTTTTATGGGCATGTTCTATATTTGAGCCTGTTGCCAGTGTGTGTGTGTGTGTGTGTGTGTGTGTGTGTGTGCGTGTGTGTGTGCGTGTGTGTGTGTAAGAGAGTGTGTTTGTGCGAGAGAGAGAGTTAGATAAAGTGAAAGAAAGTAAGCCTCTCTCTCATGTGACCTCAAGTTGGCCTGTTAAATTTGTGTGTGTGTGTGTGTCTGGCAGTTCACACATGCTGTAGACTTTCACAGTTACAGTTGCTCTCCCATTGTCGCCCTCCACTCTCCACCTTTGATCCACTGCTTGTATAGGAAGTCAAGGCTCGGACGCTGTGCTATTGTAACACACTGCCCATCAAATAACGTGAGCCGACGTTTTTGATCCTTTTGTCGGCTCATTCTCTTTCTGTCTGTATCCGTCTATATCTCTGCCCATGTTACCCATGTGGTCATATGGACATTTACATTTAGAAAAAAAAGTATTAACTTAAGTACTCATTAACATCTTTGCTGATTGAAGTCGTTTTGTTCATCGTAGTTCAGAGATTATCGTCATCTGAGTAGTTCAAACGGTGCCATGCCATTGTCCCAGCTGTCCATTACTTCAAAACCCCATTTGTCTGAAAAATGTCTCATTGTCCCTTATCCTGAAAAACAAACACCCATTGCTCCGAAAATACAAACTCTCCCTGCAGTTAGAAAGCTTCATGGCCTACAGTCAGTTGGCTCTACCTCCTTATGTTTCACACCCTGTTTCCCTGGTTGATTGGGAATGTCTGTGTGTATATACAGCTGACGGACCAGTAACTCACCACTGGGCTGCTCCAAACATCAGACCTCTAATCTAACAATCACATGTGTAGCTGGTTCCTCTTATGGGATTAGGTCCTCCCTACCAACGTTATATCACTGCTGCATGGAACGTTACATATTGCCAGCCAGGGAAGAATGACTGTCTGAATGTCCGACCTCGAGGGCAGCTGAATTCTGGACCAACTGGAGTTTATGATGACACTTGAGAGGGAGACCAAAGAGGACAGAATTGCAATAATCAATACAGGATGTAACCAAAGAGTGAATGAGGATAGCAGCACTCTGAGGTGTAAGTGATGGGCCAAGATGATATATTTTGTAGATGAAAGTATGCAGACAGAGTAACATCATTGATGTGGATCTCAAAGGACAATATACTGTTCAGGGTGACACCCAGCTTCCTAACCTGAGGGGATGAATGGACTTCGGAGTTAGCAATGGTTAGAGTGAAACTGTGCGGTTTAGCCAGAGTAGATTTAGTACCCACGAGGAGAACCTCTGTTTTATCATTGTTAAGTTTAAGGAAGTTGCATGAAAGCCAAGCTGTAATATCCAGTAAGCAGTCAAAAGGGATTTGGGGGGAGAGTGGAAGTAGGCCTAGTGGATAGATAGAGCTGGGTGTCATCAGCATAACAGTGGAATTGAATACCAAATTTTCTGAAGATACGGCCAAGAGGTAGAAGGTAGATAATGAATAAAAGAGTATCTAGGACAGAGCCCTGGGGAACACCACTAGCAGCTGGAAAAGAGTTGGATCTGAAATTTCTGATTTGAACAAAATGAGTGCGGCCAGAGAAATATGATTTAAACCAGTTGAGAGCGGTGCCAGTGGTGCCAGTGGTAGCTCTTCTCTCTAGAAGGATGTTATGTGAGATGGTATCAAAGGCTACACTCAGATGAAGAAGAATTAGAGTCAGCTGCCATTAGGAGACCATTAGTGATTTTACCGGAGCTGTCTCAGTACTGTGAAAGATAGAATAGATAGGGGAGGCATGGGGGGAGCACAGAAAAGCAAATCAGGTGAACTGTAAGTAGTATTGTTAGACGTGGTCAGTTTCCGGTGAATATTTTCAGTTTAGGCATTAAAAAAAGGTTCATAAAGGTGTTACACTGGGCAGTAGAAAACAGGTGAGGAGCAAGAGTATCTGGTGGCCTTAGAAGATTGTTAACAGTGGAGAAAAGGGATCAAGTGTTAGTTTCACCTGACTGGATTAAATATGCATAATATGTTGATTTAGCTTTAGATAGAGCATCCTTATAATGAAGTAAGAAGCTACTGTACATGTCTTTATGCACCACAAGGCCAATTTTAGCATAAAGGCATTCCAGGCGACGGCCTTTAGCTTTAAGCTGGTGTAATTACGGTGCAAACCAAGGGGCAGAGTGGGTAGATATTTAGGTGGATGTGTCCCTTGTGTCGTCCCCCCACCCCCTTCTGATAAAATGCACATCAGTGAGCAATTGCATTTCATAACACTGTGACTTTAAGGAGCTGCTTTATCTCAGTCTTTGTGCTAAGCTAACTATGTGCGAGGAGAACCTCAGTTTTATCATTGTTAAGTTTAAGGAAGTTGCATGAAAGCCAAGCTGTAATATCCAGTAAGCAGTCAAAAGGGATTTGGGGGGAGGGTGGAAGTAGGCCTAGTGGATAGATAGAGCTGGGTGTCATCAGCATAACAGTGGAATTGAATACCAAATTTTCTGAAGATACGGCCAAGAGGTAGAAGGTAGATAATGAATAAAAGAGTATCTAGGACAGAGCCCTTGTGTCGTCCCCCCACCCCCTTCTGTTAAAATGCACATCAGTGAGCAATTGCATTTCATAACACTGTGACTTTAAGGAGCTGCTTTATCTCAGTCTTTGTGCTAAGCTAACTATGTGCGAGTCTGTACGCTCAGCTGAACTGGCTACTGTCTGTATTTAACTAGTGTAAAAACATGTGAGTGTTTCAAGCCTCTCATCTAACTTTTGCCAAGACAGCTTATTCCATAAAGTGTTTACTATTTCTTTGTGTTGTTTAGTCAAGTTCTAACAGGCCCACTGTCTGTTGATTTGAAATGGAGTAATTAGACATTAGACAACGAACTTATTTGATTTCTTGTTGAGAGTCAGATGAAAAAAATGATGCCATTCTTCATATTTGTATAGAAAACATGAAGCTGCAGCCATCACACGATTAGCTTAGCATAGCATGAAGACTGGAAGCAGGGAGGAACAGCTAGCCCAGCTCTGTCCAGATGTCATCTATACTAATAATGTACCTTCTGAGTGGTGCTCCATGTAAGACCAGTGTAGTGTCTGTGCTCAGGAATGTAGCTGTTTCTGTTCCCACAAAAGCTGTGGTAAAAGATTTACTGAAATCTTTGTTTGCCCTGAGCTGTTAAAATGCTGAAGGGTCTTACATGGAAAATTGACTGCTGTTCTGACTTGACGCCAGCACGTAAATTTGCCAGAACATTTTCAGGTTACAGTGCACTGGGGAATATAGCTAATATATTTGTCTCGCTTCTCCCTGAGCAGCACAAGGGGAAGTCCATGCTCTGAACGATGCACTAACTCACAGAGTACAAGTCAGAAATTACAAAGTAAAAAAAATAAGACATAAACATACATTAAATATAAAATAAAGTAATTTAAAGGGCTTGAGAATCCATGATGGCTGTTTATCATGAGAGACAAAACATCGATTTGTTTAATTGAAAAACAATAATCAGTGGAATAATTGAGAATGAAAATGATTTTTTTGTTGCAGAGATGGTGGATAAAGATGGAACTGGGTGAATATTTACATACTGAAACCTTGTGGTTCCTGATTTACACTCCATTCCTGTTCAGCAAGCCCCGCACATCCGTATGGTATCTGTTATGGACGAGGAGAGATATATTGCCTCAAAGCTGCTCGCACACAGATATTAGCTGGATTTAGTTAGAATTAAAGGCAGCCGGAGGAGTGGAGAAAGGAGTGTCTATCTCAGCTCATGGAGATCATGTGCATCTCATTGAGGGAGGAATTTGTTGGGAAAAAAGGATAACTTCTTCTGTTTTCATTGCCTCCTTTTGCATGCAGTTATAGGAGTTATATTCTCAAACACAGCACCTACATCTATGAATATTATACACAACACACCAAAATAAAATCAGATGAGCTTATAAAGTCACATGCATACATAAATAAACTGGTCTGTGGAATAAACGCAAACTTTACCACTAGAGATACTTAACAATGCATCAGGTATATGTAGCTTACATTAACTGATATTATCAAAGCAAATACGCTGTCTTATATTAATACACGTAATAAATCAGCTTCTTCAACAGCAGAGCTGCGTTCTGCAACTTCTCATCTGAATAAAGAAACACTTTTGTCACGGCTCATTAACTGTAAATGCTTAACATAGCAGCCAGTTCACTGCAGAGCATAGCAAGAAAGCTGAAGCAGAAATTCTCCAATGAAACATTGTGTTCCTGAATCTCTGTGTGCGCGGGTGCATGTGTGATAGGTAAACTGTAAACACTGGACGAGCGGTATGCCTTACAAGGCCAGAGGGATCTCCCTGTGAACCGAGGAATGTTTGTAGGAATGGAGCGGGAGCAGGGAGGGGAGCAAAGGGTTTGGGAGACAAGCTATACTGTAGCTGAGATCTGGAAGATCCAATGGAAAAAAGCTCTGGCTAATAAAATTAGTTACTGTCCTGTAGCCTAGTTTAGGAATTACTGACTGGCACAGAGAGGAGGCCGGGTATGGGTGGGCGCCAGGCGAGGAAACAACGCCGGGGTTGTAAAATCAGAAGTATCTGAAACATGTTCAAGAAGAAAGAGGCTGTTGTGTTTTGCTAAAGTTTTCATCGGTGGTTGTTGAGCTCTCAGGGCTGTTTGGATTTAAATGCAGTTTGTCATTTACAAGTCCCAATATCCTGCCACTCTCCCTCGCTCTGTCATCTTGCATTTCATTTCTTCCCTTTCTCCTCCAATATTGCATCCTCTTGCATTCCTGTTTTAATTCCTCCCTCCTCCTTCTTCTTCTTCTTCTTCTTCTTCTGCAGACGGAGCTACACGACCTGCTGAAGCCAATCTCAGATCACATCCAGGAGATCCAGAGCTTCCGCGAACGAAACCGTGGCAGCAGCTTCTTCAACCACCTGTCAGCCATCAGCGAGAGCATCCCCGCTCTGGGCTGGGTGGCCGTGGTAAGGAGGACTACAATAACACGCTCTCATGCACAGAGCCTCACTAATGTATACAAGACAACACACATGAGAGGATGTGTCGATGCCTATAGAAACACAAACTCACTTAATAATCTGAAACTTTGACTAAAAAATGAGCATGGAAAAACTTCCACATGAAAAAAAATATAAGATCATCTTAAATTAGATCAAGGATTCCTGATTAAAGGAAACATGAATTAATAACTGTTTTGTTTGCAGTTTCTTTAAACAATTTCAATTTGGAAGCGAAGGGAGAAACCTCAAGCAAAAAAATGCTTTGATAAACTGATCGTACAAGACATGCACCATGTCTGTGTAACATCATCAAAAATCTGAAAAGTTAAACTCAATCTCAAATCTGAACCTTGAGGAAACATTTCATCTCCCCAACTGACTGTGTGTAAATCATTTATTCACCACGTGTTACATTGAACTTGTGTAAGAAAATAACAGATTTTCTCTTGCCTCCTCGGTGAATAAAGAATCCAAAAACAGACATTATTGAAGTCATAGGTGACCAAGTTTAACAATAATTTCTCACACAACTCGTGCAGTATAATCCAAGTCTCACTGATCCATTTGTATGCTCAGTACTTCCCAAACAGTCAACCCTTTCCAATGGGGAACTGAACCAAAGTGAAACTAATCCATACTCTCTTTAAAGCCAGACTCCATTGACAAAAACAGTAATTTTACCACGCTGAACATGGGAGGTGCTGCTGGTCTACTGCTGCCTCGATTAAGTTTGTATGTTTGTGTTACTGTGTGACTTTGGTGTTTTAAGGTTTAGCTCGGATTTACCAACATCACACAATAACACTAACAAACTACCGATGGAGGCAGTGGTAGACCAGTAGCTCCCGTGTTCAGAAAGGTAAAATGACTGTTTTCGTCATTGGAGTCTGGCCATGAAGAGAGAATGAAAAAGTTTCACTTTATGTTCAGTTCCCTGCAAGTTTTGGGAGGCAGCCTATGGCTTCAATTCATCAAGAATTTCCTCAGTTTTTGGATTGTTTGTTCACCGTGGAGGCTCAAGTGTTCTTCATGAAGTCAACATAACATGGGGTGAGTACTTGATATACAAATGATCATTTGAGGGTAAAGTATAGATAAGTACAATAAACACAGCCTACCATATTTACATACAGTATTTGCCCCTTTATCTGTCCTCTCATTGGTCTTTGTTTCCCATCAGACCATCTCTTCTTCTTAGGGATGAATATCATGTAGGTAAGATCAAAGCTTTTCCACTTTAGCACTCAAAGAAAAGTCTCTGGAGCTGACTCTGGTCAGTGTAAGGTGCTGTCAGGAGGGCACTTTTCCACACAGGTCTTATCAAACATGTTCAAGTACACAGTGTCACCCAGGGCTCTTCTTCTCAAATGAAGACAAATGTGCTGATAGTCAGATAATTCTTAAAGGTCTGTAGAAGATAGTTTCAACCTCACAGTGCTGCTTCTGTGTTTTCTAATGAGCTTTCATGTCTCTCAGAGTCAGAAGCCGGGTCCGTACGTGAAGGAGATGAATGATGCTGCCACCTTCTACACCAACAGAGTGCTGAAGGACTACAAGGAAACGTAAGTCCTCACATCCTCTATCCTTCATTTCCTCCACGCTGTTTTCATCTGACCATCATTTCTTTGTCTCACCAACCTCCTCTTTTCTCCCAGTGATAAACGTCATGTAGACTGGGTGCGTTCCTACCTGTCAATCTGGACCGAGGTACAGTCCTTCATCAAACAGCACCACACTACAGGACTTGTGTGGAGCAAGAGTGTGAGTACATCTTCCCTGAAAGTAAACAATACATTTGGCTGAACACAATAACATACTCCTGTAACAACTTGTTTATTATCTTAGCTGTGTTTTCATTTAGTTTCCATTCGCAGGCTGTGATATTTTTATATCAGAGCTCAAATTAACTGCTGCTGTTTGCGTACACTTCCATTTTTAGTTATGGAGCAGCCGGTTACATAAACCACTGCAGAGAGCATGAATGAATGAATGAGCTTCTCCCCAGTAGCTGCGCCCTGCGGTTCTCCATAGAGCTCCAAAAACCTCTGTCACTCCCACACACACTTCTGTTTATGGATGTCTCTTGTGGGACTCCTCTGCGCTCACACTCAGTAGATCCCAGAGATTATGATGGCCCAAAACCAAATCCTTCCACACACACTTGACCTTTTATTGTTAGCTAGATGGGTTTCTCATCTCTATTGACTCGGGGAAAGCTGCGTTTTGTGGTGTGTTTCATTTGAACAGGGGGGTCGGAATTACCAAGTTCCCAGACGGAAATTTCAACTAGAACTCAGACTCAGAAAATTGGACAAGCCTCACCAACCTGACCTCAAAAACCACAATGGCTGCTCCGTGCATTAACAGTAGAGAAAGCTGTAGTTATATACTGTTAATTAGCACTTATGTCTTCTTTGTGTCTCATTAAATCAGTTGCACACACAGTGTTGTCCAACTCTTATTTGTGGACATGTTGCTATTGTGTTTGTATGCGCAAAAAATGTTATGCACTGTTATTTGGTGTTGCTAACAATGACCTGCCTTGCTAATGTCTTGGTTTTCCAACTTGTACTGGAACAACAACTCAAGGTTCAAAGTTCAAGGTTCAAGGTTCAGGTCATTGTTATTCAAACATTTAAAAAAATCATGAGGGAATGAATTCATTATCCAGGTCCAGCAGCATACAGAATAAATAACATTTAAGATAGACCTATTATAAATAATTAAATAACCTGAAAGCCTGTCATAAATACAACACGTAGTTCATTCCCAGCATTGTCCTCTGACTTCTGAGATAAATGAAACATCGCATTGGCACCTAATACATTCACAAAAACCCGTTTCAGATTTTTTTTTATAGTTATATAGTTTACTATTCTGGGAAACAAGCTTATTTGCCTTTATTATGCCTCCACGCCGGCTGTCGCCGTGGCTGAAAGCATTATGTTTTTGGGTTGTCTGTCTGTCTGTCCTAAATACAGACGATTCTTGTGAACACAACATCTGAAGAACATCTTGAGGGATTTTTTTTTTTTCAAATTTGTCACAAATATTTATTTGGATACAAATGTGGTGGTCAAAGGTCAAGGTCACTGTGACCTTACATTGGTCTTATTCTCGTGAACACGATAACTCAATAAGGCCTTGAAGGTAATTCCTCAAATTTGGTACAAATGTCCACGTGGTCTCAAGAATGAACCGATTAGAATTTTTCAAAGGTCACTGTGACCGCACAAAACACGTCTTTTACCTCAAGAATTGATGCGCTATTTATGACAAAACTTTACACAAATGTCTAATAGGATAAAATAATGAAGTGATGACATTTTATATCCAAGGGGTCAAAGGTCAACTGTTCACTGTGACATCATAATGTTCCTCAAAAACACTTTTCTGGCCATTACTCAGTGTCATAACTCAGGAACAGAAGGGGAGACATTTGGTTGGATACTGAATTGGTGACACTAATCTTGGGTGTCCAACTTGTAACTGCGCTGATTGTATAGATCTTCTGTGCTTCCGGGGGGAAGATGTGTGTGAAGCATTCATGTTTTCACAGACGTGGATGTAAAATGTAAGAGAAAGTTAAGGTATTCACGAAGGCATATAATGGTAATTCTAGTTTTATACTTTTATATTATTTTGTTGTTGCTGAGAGTAAAAATGAGACCACTTTCATGTCTGTATGGTAATTGTGAAGCCTCTACAACCAGGAGACAGTTAGCGTAGCCTAGCATAAAGGCTGAAAACAGAGGGAAACAGCTAGCATGGCTCTATCTAAAGAATCTGTCTAGCAGCTCCCCTAATACTCACTAATTATTATATTTTTGTAAATCTCATTTAGTTTTAGTTTTGCAGGGGTTATATGCTGGAATACTTCTTGGCCACGAGCAGTGACTTCCTGAAACTGTGGTAATGTTAGGTGTAATAGGTTTGTGTGCTAAGCTAAATTATGCTAACTGGCCACTGGCTTCATATTTACCACACAGACACAAAAGTAGAATTAATCTACTCATATAACCCTAGACAGGAGCAAAATTAAATAAAAGCCTGTAAGGGTATTTCCCAAAAAGTTTAACTGTTCCTTTAATGTCATGGTTAGGTTAAAACCTTTGGTGAAGCTAATGCTCAGCAGCTGTGCATGCATGTGTGTTTTCTCCACGCAGAAACTTGAGAGCTCGCAGTGGCTGTGCGTGTGTGTCAGCTGTCGTCCCTGCTGTCAGGCGACAGAGCAGAAGATTGTGTGAGGGACACAGTGTGTGTGCGTACAAGGACGGGGGGTGTGTGGTACTAACAGGTGGTCCTCAGGGTTTACTTGAATGGAGGTTTTCTTCACAGAAGAACCCCGACAAAGAGTCTGTGTACACACGCAGCCTGCGCCGTAACCTAAACTGCAGGGCTGGTCCCGCTTTAATGCAGCCGTCATCTGCTGCTCAGATAGAGGTTTAGTGACACGCTTATACTTTAAACATGCTCAGGCTGACATATGGAGGTGGCTTTACACACACACAAACACACACACTATCACACTATCACACTATCACACTAGTTCCTATAGCCCAGATCAAGCTCATGACATATAAACATGCCTGAAATTAAAAACAAGGAGCAAATTGCCTCAATAATCAAGATTATTCTTATCAAAAGCCTAGTTTTTAACAATTTCTTTCACAAAAAGTTGTTTAAACAGTCGTCTGTGGGAAAAATTTTGACCAAAAAGTAATTAACACAATCTAAAACAGGGTTGCAGACAATTATTTTCTCAATTTATTGTTAGTTGTCCGATCTATAAAATGTCAGAAAACAATGGAAATGGCCATCACAACTTCACAAATCCAAAGTTGAAGCTTTCAAATGGCTTTTCAAACAGTCAAAACCCAAAAATATTCAGTTCATTGTCACATAACAGAAAGAAAAGAAACAAATTCTCACATTTTACAGCTCAAACCAGTGAACTTTTGGCATTTAACCCTTTGAAACCAAAGCAAATTGGCTTGATTTTATTTATCAGAAACATAGAAATAAGGCAATGAAAAATTCATGAAATGGCCAGAACATTGGCAAGGTATTAAAAGGTTTTAGGAAGTAAATTTAGTAACCAAGAAATTACTTAGAAATTAGCAAAAAAGAAAAGTAAAAAGTCAAAAATCCCATAAAAATATAAACTACCAGACAAAAATTGCTAAAAATGAATTAAATTTCCTGTAACATAATTTAAACGTAATTTTAAATATATATTTAGAACTTGACATTTCCCTTCTTTTATGATCATTTTCAAATAACACTTTTCTTATAATGCTCATTGCCTTTTCTCCCATGTTTTCTATAGATATCAAACCCATTTTTTAGGTTTTGATGTTTAAATGCTTGTGAAAAGTACCTGAATGCATCACAAAAAAACAGATGCTGATCCAGGTTTAAAAGGGTTAAAAAATGATTCAGTGACTATCAAAAAAGTTGCGTGTGGGTTTTCTGTAAATCGATTAACTCCTAAAAATAAAAAATAAAAAAGGGACAGAAATACTCTCTTCTTCTCTTCTTTGCTTCAGACCAACTGGTTTGTGTACACCCATAAACACACAAACACACACACAAGCAGGCATGAACACAAAGAAGTAGTCAGACAGTTTTACGGCCATGAACACACACACACACACACACACACACACACACGCTGGTTCTAATCCGGTGGTATGCGCTGAGCTGTTTAGTGTAACAGGTCAGCATTGTTCAGCAATGATATTCACGACACATGTGCCTCGTGTCAGAGGTCAAGTTGTCTCAGCTGTACTCGGATGCGCGTAAAGTGACAGTTGAACCGCTGTGATAGGTGTGTGTGTCTGTCTCTGGCAGCTGTGCAAGGTCGTCAGAGTGTGTGTGTGTGTGTGTGTCTGCTTCTCCTCACTGTAGTAGTCGATAGATGGCTGTGCACTTTTAGTGTACACAGCCCATCAGTTAGCCCAATCACAGACTCATATTGCTCAGCCAAACATTCTTCACAGCCACAGAATTTTATTTTACTTTATAGCAGAGGTCCCAAAGTTTCCAAAGTGATCAAACATGTCAGGTTGAATTTTTGAGAAAATTATTTAAAATTCTGCGCAAAATTTCTAGAATATGTCTCTTTGTTGAATTTGTGCAGTCATATAGTTTTGGGTTTGAATTTTTCACCCATGTAAGCATCATATAGCTTCAACAGAGAGCTGGAACAACCTGACACAGACTGTGGCACTGACAGAGACAGTAACAACCTTAAAGCTGCTTAAAGGTAAATTAAAGTGCTTCCCTGTCATCAATATCTCCTGGCCCTGAATCTGACATGAATTCTTACCACCAAGCTTTAAGATATTCCTTGTGCAATACTCCCCCTGCAGGAGAGACATGTTACTACACCTGTCATCACCTAGCACAGCTGCGTTTGTTCTCATGAAAATCTCACAAAGCCTAAATGCAGCGTCATTATCTAACATTTGACTTTCTCCACCCTCCAGGGTCCCATTGCTCCTGCTTCTCTGTTCGATCCCCCCAGTGCTCCCTCCTGTCCTCCTCCACCTCCACCTCCTCCCCCCGGCCCACCTCCAGTCTTCACTGATGATGACTCTCAGCCTCAGGCAGCACAGCACTCAGCGTTATTTGCCCAGCTCAACCAGGGAATGGACATCACTAAAGGTGCGTCGAAGAAAGGTTATATGATATCGTATCGTGGGGCTTTAATCACACAAATAGGTGTTTACACTCACAGTTAAACATGCTGGGTATTTTTAAGGGTCACGGAAAAATGTCTCAGACTAAATGTATTAAAATTTAATTTTTTTTAGGCAGATAACTACATACATTTAATTAGCCCATAATGTAAGAAGCAATGTACCGAAAATTTAGTGGAACAAAGTTTGATCGGCTAGTTGAACATTTCTCAGGTAGTGCAGAGAGAATTAAAAGGACCAGTATGTAGGATTTGGTGGCATCTAGTGGTCCCCCCTCCACCTCTCCCTTTCTTTATTTTTAAGCAAGGTATTTTTATCGATAATTCAATAAGGTGCACGTAGCGTCAACAAACAAACATAGAACCAACAAGGACAGAAATCATCCCCGCCCACCCAGAAACAGAGAAAGCCAGACCAGCGAAAGGAAATAAAAGACAAAAATGAAAAATAAATAAATGAATAATTTTAAAACTATATATACATAAATATAAAAAAGAAAAAGTTATTTAAAAAAAAAAACATTAAAAAATAAAATTCAATTAGAAGTTTAAAAAAAAATAAATAAATGGAAAAAAAATAATTAAAAAAAAACAGATGACAAATTAATGATGTCACATGAGTAGGGGAGTATAACATGTTTCATTACAATTTTTCAGCTTCCATATTTGCAACAAAAGTTAAAAATGGTTGCCAGGTGGCAAAGAAGCATGCAGTCACCTCTCCCTTTCTAATTATGTAGTCGAACTTACAGTGGCTTTTACTTCAATGTAAAAACACACTAGGCCTCAGCTAGACCCAGTGGTTGGTTTGTCCTTTCTGGGCTACTATAGAAACATGGCGGGCTCTGTAGAAGAGGACCCTCTCCCTATGTAGCTATGAGAGGCTCATTCTAAGCTAATGAAAGCACAGCTATTCTTATTTTCAGGTAATTATACACTAATGAAAACATAATTATTTAAATTATATTCCATTTCTGCTGATAGATGCTTTAAGACTTGGCTTGGCTAAAATCCTTGCTACATCCCTGGATGCTCATAAATAATTTTTCCTCATATTTTCCATCCGTAGGTCTGAAGCATGTGTCAGATGATAAGAAGACCCATAAGAACCCTAATTTGCGTTCACAAGCGACACCGACAAAAACAAAGTCCTCAGGGACTGTGAGCTCACCCAAGGCAGCTGTCCAGAAAAGACCCCCTCTGCTGGAGCTGGAGGGGAAGAAATGGAGGGTTGTACGTGAAACATTTGCTTTCTGTTTGGAAGATAGATTGTATTTTATAAGGTGGTAGGTCATGTTGACTGAATCTGATGCCTCGTTGCTGCAGGAGAACTTTGAGCAGAAACACGACCTGATCATTGAGGAGACGGAGCTGAAACAAGTGGTCTATGTCTTCGGCTGCAACAACTCCACAGTGCAGATTAAGGGCAAAATTAACTCCATCATCATCGGTGAGCGGCCTGATGAGCAGAATTTAAAACTTGTGATTAATGATTAATTTAATTTCTGATGATGACCATGTGTATGTGTGTTGACTCTCTCCAGACAACTGCAAGAAGCTGGGTTTGGTTTTTGAGAACGTAGTTGGGATTGTGGAGATAATCAACTCCAAGGCCATTCAGCTACAGGTGAGACATTTACAGAATACATTCACTTCAGAAGACACACACATTCAAGGTTAGTTATCTATGTTGTACATACAGTACAGTAGATCTGAATGATTTTACGCTATAGGGCGTCTGCTTTAATTAATTTATTATCAAGAGTTACATCAATACTAATTTATACAGGCCCATTTCTGTGGATGCCCATCTCCACCACTGTGGTATAAAATAAAAAAGATACTGTAAATGATTATAATTAGAAACCTACTACCTACTACTATACCAACTCATTTTGAGATAAGTATGTCACAATTTTGAGGACCTAAGTCATAAATTTATGAGTTTCTCATAACGTGTCGCCTCACAGCAAGAGGGTTCCTGGTTCAAACCCAGGGTGGGGGAGCCCTTCTGTGCAGAGTTTGCATGTTCTCCCCATGTCAGTGTGAGGTTTTCTCTGGGTACTCCGGCTTCCTCCCAAAGTCCAAAGACTCTAAATTGGTCGTAGGTGTGAATGTGAGTGTGAATGGTTGTCTGTCGCTATATGTCAGCCCTGTGATCGTCTGGCGACCTGTCCAGGGTGTACCCCGCCTCTCACCTAATGTCAGATGGGATAGGCTCCAGTACACCTGCGACATCTAACAGGATAAGCGGTTACGGAAAATGAATGAATGGTTATTTTGAGATACTAAATCATTTTGAGAAAGCTCCTTATTTTTGAGAAACTGCGTCATTATTCTGAGATAAGTAAGTCATTATTTTAAGAAGTAATTTTTTAGTTTCTTATCATTTTTGATATGTAGTCATTTTGACAAGTTATTTATTTTTAAGAAATGAAGTCATTATTTTGAGATACTAAGTCATTATTTTAACAAATCATTGTCGGCAACAGGCTTCATTATTAACTGGCTCTCATGGCTACCATTTTATATTGTAATATTGGTACTGGTCATAATGTAGGATTTTTTACTGACTTTTTTTTTTCCCCACTTATTTTTTACTGACTTCCTCAGCTTCGAATGTTTTCACCAGCTGTTACATTGTTATTTAGGTGTTGGTATTTTTTTTTAGGGTTTTTTTTCTTTTTAATAACAGCAAATTGTGCCACACATCAATGATTGCAAGATGTCTTTCTGCAGGTGTTGGGAACAGTTCCCACCATTTCCATCAATACAACTGAGGGTTGCCAGGTCTACCTGAGCAAGGAGTCCCTTAACTGTGACATCATCAGTGCCAAGAGCTCTGAGATGAACATCCTGGTACCACAAGATGACGACTATGTGAGTGGCTGCTGGTCTCTGCATGTGTTAACCCAGCGTATTCCTGAATGTGATACGTGTGCAGTTCTTGTTTCACAGTTGTATTTACAGCAGTTATCTTCTTGGTTGTTCCACAGAGGGAGTTTCCGGTACCGGAGCAGTTCAAGACTGTTTGGGACGGCTCCAAACTGGTGACAGAGCCCACTGAGATGGCAGGCTGATTGATGCTTCGCTGTCATCACCACCAGCACTGCAATCATCATCATCAATTTTTTTTAACAATCTCTCTATTTGAGATATAAAAGGGATTACTGCAACAGATTAACTGATTTCATGTCTCCAGCACTTTGAAACTGAACCACTGAGTAGGTTGATTATCCCTCTCTACACAACAGAATTAAAGGACATCTCAGGTTTAAGTCCCACACACACAATTTAATTACCTTATCTTACATTTCTGTGCCATAGCAACAAAGGCATCCATGTAAGAATATGTAACTGTTGAAATATAAGCATTTATATTTCAATATTAGTATGACTGTACCCTAAATTCACTGTATGAGCATTTAAGTACGATTTAGACCGCAGCAGTAACACATTACCTTACAGAAAAGGCTAATTACGTGACATACACATTACGACATCCAGTGGCCAAGCAGATAAAAATAACTTGGAGTTAGGTGTAGAATTATTTGGTCTATTTTCTATCTAGTGAAGTGTATCTAAGTTACCTCTTTAAAAGGTAGTCATGTAGTACTTTTGCACGTAGTGAAGTTTGCGTAGCACTGCTCACTATATTAACGCCAGATGTTACAGTCTTGCAAGCGCACAATACTCTATATGAAGTATAATCAATCAGCTATGGTCGTGTCCAGATGGTAAACCCAGAGTCGCAAAAAAACTCCTGCAAGATTTATATTCCATGTGTTCATTGTAGCCCAAATCATGACCCATGACAGTGTTTTTGAGCCTCAAGCTAACCAGACCTTAACCACAGTGATGTCACACCATCAAACAGCTAGACAAAGGAGTTTTGCAATCCTAGGTTTGCATCTCGCCACGACCCACATGGATGTAACAATGTTTGGTGTCTTGCAGGAGACAATACATCAACATCAATCTCTGAATATATAGAAATCAAGCTACACGCACTGCACCTGTGCACCATTAAATACTGACAGAGGTAGTAACTTCCACACTTGAGCACTTCCTAGTCTCCATATTACTTTGTACTAAGATGTAGCACATAGCACCAGCATAAGAGAAGATAGTGTACACCACTAATGCTTTTCAAAACTTTTAATTTACATGAAAACAGTTTGATGTAACTGTGTATCATTTTTCAAATAAAATCAAAACCCTCAGTTCTTGCTTGTTTGTGTTATTGCAAAAGAGAGTTGCACCAAAACAGTTTAGCATCAAAGAGAACAAAGCAAGAAAATAAAGTATGGTATCACAAACATAAGCAAACTGCAACGTGGAAACCTGAGAAAGACTGAGACCTCTGGGGAAATACAAAAGATCTACAAACAAAGAAATATAAGAAGACACTGTGTCACAGAAAAAAGGAGTTACAGAGGCTCTTTTCAGTGTCTGATCACCATATTTCCCTGCGAGTCTTGAGTAAAGAGCATCTCATCTTCCTCGTCCTCCTCCACAAGAGATTTGTAAGCGCTTGTTCTCACCACCCCAGTACTTATGTTACTCTGATCTTTGAGTGGACTCCTGGTTTGCAGACCTCTGTGCGCTATCACCCTGAAGCCTTCAGAGTCCTGGGTGAACAACATGGCCAGACTCTCCTCATCATCATCAACCTCTCTGCATGACAGCTGTGCTGCTAGTTTTTTTAGAGGAGAGCTGCTCGGTTTGGTCCACTTGTACCATGAGTCAAGGCTCTCCTCTTTGTCAGCCTTTTTACACAGCTGCACTGGAATGCGTTTTCGAGGTGATGTAGTTTTTTGCTGTGTCCATTTCTGATTTGAAAGAGGCTCAATGTGAGAGAGTGTTGGGTGCTTACTTGGGGACTTAGAAGACAAAAATATGCTGTTTTCTTTCTCAATATCTGTCTGAGAAGAATTAAAGTGTTTAAAGGATTTTTGTGTTGAGGTTCTACCTTTCACGTCCATCTGAATACCAAAGGCGTCCTCACTTTGTAGACCGTTGAGGAAACTCAGCTCAGAGTCGATAAAGTTCTTTGCTGTGGTGTTTTTCTGGGTAATCGGGTAAAATTCACTTTCAGAATACTGGCTATAGCTGAGCAGTGGGTCCTGACTCCATGCCTGAGGAAGAGGTTGACTGTCAGCTTGCAATACTGAGGTTGCAGTGAGCCTTCTCTTACTCTGTGGTGGGTTTATCTCCTCCAACTGTTCGTGTTCTTCTTGTTCAGATTCACAGTACATGTCTTGAGAAGGTGTCTGGCTTGCTGCCTGCTCCTCCTGCCACACTGCTGCTTCCGGCTCAGTCACATTTTCTCTTTTCCACTCATGATCCACACCAGACTCAGGGTTATACAAGTCAAACATTTCAAGATCAATTTCACGTCTTCGTTTAGTCCCCATTGCTACAGGTTTGGGTGCTGTTGTGGCACATGTGGATGAGGTAGATAATGATGGTGAGGGCTGCACAGGATCCATGTTTGGCACTTCAGAAGTAGACATCTTACTGAGAACTTTAGACAGAGGGTATAAAAAAGCATTATGTTAACACTAAAAGAAATCAACAAAGTCAACAGTCTACAGCAGCTTTATCAGCTTCCAACGGATTTATTTGTAGATGATAATAATGTTAAAAAATGTCTTGACAACCTGATGGCAGAAAGTGTTTGCAACTTACCTCTGCGCTGAGGTGTGAAGAAGGTTGATATAGCGCTCTGTTTGGTCTTTGGCATCTCCATTTTTGTCTGAGTGAAGTTGAGTGCCACAGCCAAACTGTATCCGCCGCCTCCAGCGAAGGGATTCAGCAGTTTAGAAATGGGACGGGCAAGTCGTTTCTGAAATATTACATAGATTAGAATATGAACATACTACGACACTCAAGTGCATTAAGAGAATAAGAGACTACTGAGAAGCTGATGCTACTAAATAGTAGTCACACAAGTGGTAGTGTGTGGTATATAAATCTGCTGATTACAAGTTCAGGCTGCACAATATCCAAAAACAAAATTGCGACATGAGTAGCAATTTACGTGGGAATAGTAATTTTTTAATTTTATTTTCGCTGAAAATAAAAATAACCATAATGGGGTCTGTGCCAAACGACCATGCCCCTTAACATCTGGAATATTATTCGTAGGCCAGGGCATCTCTGTGGCACCACAATGCTTCATCATAATGATATGTGACACGTTACCTTTATCAAAAAAATGGCAGCTTCTGTGATTTGGATATTGTACTTGGCCATTTTGATAATATTTCAATTAACTGTGCAGACCTAGTACAAGTGCCAATTTACTGCTCTGTTGAGGGGTAACCAAATAGCCATTTAGTCAGAAAATAAGCTAGTTTCCACAATTACCTGTTTAGCTTTTCCTTTCAGCTGCACAGTGTCCAGCCAAACATCACACTCTTCCTGAACAGAGCTCTGCAGTGCTGGTTTGGAGCTTTTCATGGTGGAGAGTGAAGGTCAGATCTGCAATACAAGACCTGCAATTAAATAATAAAAATATGATTTGTAGGGTAAACTAGAAAAGTTGCAACAATTGTTTAATGTGTAGATATGTCCCACATCCATTTGTGTTGTTTAGAGTTATATGCAACTTACTATTAGTGCATTCCCTGTTGATTTTCCTTGTTATTATCAAATTTATACCATAACTTTGCCATAAGTGTAGGTTACAAAACTAGTGTTGACTAACAGCTAGCCAACTTAGCTAACAGCTAACGTTAATTGTATTAAAGACCCACAGCCTTTCTTAGGTTCTCCATATCATACAAATGAACTGACCTCATAAAATCGCACAGGGATGTTTTCAGCTGTCCTTTGCGCTTCTTTAAACGTATCTAAATCAGTTTACTATCTTTCTTTCTCAGATATTCGTCCTCTGTACTTTGTGTTTGAGTCTGGCGCCTCGATGGTGAGCTGCCGTTGATGTCTGACTGAATGAAAATTATAAAATGTGGTCAAGCCTTACAGTCCATTCTCCACTGAAACATTACATTTAAAACGTGAGATATAAATAACTCAAAAATAACTACGTTAGTTTGATATTCCAGTGTTAATCTTAAAATTGATTTATTTTTAGTAAGGCACCACGGACACCTGTTATTTTGACGTCCTCGGGTCCTGGCAGGAGGGTGTGTTTACGTTGACGTCACAGCAGTTTGCCGAAAGGGTGAGTAAAGTGTCTTTAATTTCGTTGATTTTTGTTGATTAAAACACAAATATTGAAAAAGGCTGCTGGCGTCTTACCTCTTAGCACACTAAAGGTCACGAATATAAATTTTAGTGTTCACAAACAGCTGTGTGTACGGCCCAGGTATGATAAACCTTAAAGGAAGTGCCTACGAGCTAGCCTCAAAAGCTAACTTCGAGCTAGCTAGTTCGGCTTTCTTCAGGTGTTTTCCTCTAATTCTCCGTGGATCGGCAAGTTCTTCGAGTTAAACGACGCTTTTAAAGTCAACATGGCAACATTTCAAGCTTATATGGTGTTTAACTGCGGTAGTCAACCTGTAATTATCGCAGTAATGATCTGAACAGCGAACAAAGTCTGCCTTGTCATAGATATGCCACAACTAATACATTGTGTTCATAATCAGTTCAACACTAATCGAGAATTACGATCAGTGGCATGTCACTCCTATAGCTAGACGCAAAAGGTTGTTATTGTTAAAATTTCTTATATGTCCTTTCTGAAAACTACAACATATAATATGAACATATGAACAATGTAGCCATTTATCCAAATGTTTTTAGTATGTCAGGGTTTAGCTGAGGAAATAGTTTAGCCGAGGAAATCAGGATCCACCTCTTTTTGCCTCAACAATAGCCACACTAATAAATATTAGTCTATGCTGTTTTTCCTTAAAGAGACTGATGTTGTACTTGTTAGTGGAGGGTTTAAACCTCGTCTGAGGTAAAGTGTGTCAGAAATAAACCATACCACCCCAAACTAGAGTATCTCTTACCTGCTGCTTGACAGCTAGAAGTTGTATTAACAGTGTCTCCATCTAACAATGCTGTTCTTTGATCTTATTCACAATAAGTGCTAAAATTGTTAAGCCAGAAATGGTCTTTAATTCGTTTGAAAAATCCACTGAGGACTGTTTCTGATGAATAGATCCAATTGTGAAAGAAACTTACACATAAATGGTGGTAGTGCAAGTGTTTTGCTGCTTTGCAGAACTGTTCAATGTGGTTGTTAGATTTAGGTTTTTTTTTTTCTTTTTTTTTCAGATCAATCTCTGGTACATCAGCATCATGTTCCATGGGATACCAGTGACAGGAGGTGTGGGGGCAGGTAAGCCATTCAAATAAATGTAATGTCTACAGTTTAGGCACATTGTTCAGTCATCCTCCATTCAACAGCAAAGTACAATAAATGTCACTCAAAGCATGTAATTATTTTTCCCCCACAGCTCCGGCCAACAAGCCTGAGTTATATGAGGTAAATGTAACTATTTTATATGCCTTAAATAAAACTGTGAAAACAGGATTCTTAATCTGTATAAACATCCAAGAAAGCCAATCAGTAGTGGCATTACAAGTATCTGATTTTTTTATTTTTTTTTATTTTATTTTATTTTTTTTTTTTTTATTTTATTTTATTTTTTTTCAAATTGTTCCTGGAAGAAAACCAAACTTACCTTTTATGAATGTTACGTCTACAAGAAATGTTTAATTAAAACTAAAATGAAATAAAATAAAATAATATGTGATACTCAGCTTGTTAGCCAGGCCTTCACCACAAATCATGCATTTTCAGGAGGTGAAATTATACAAGAATGCAAGAGAACGAGAGAAGTAAGTGTCTCATAGATTATCAAACTACCATCTTAATATGAACACAGAGTAACCCAGGGACTCACATTATTAACCTTGTTCTGAAGGTATGATAACATGGCAGAGTTGTTTGCTGTCGTCAAGACTCTTCAGGCCCTGGAGAAGGCTTACATCAAAGACTGCGTCACACCTAATGAGTGAGTTTTACTTGAATTTATAGTTCGTGTTTAAAAGACTGTCAAAAATATCACCTGTGGCTTTTAATTGTTTTGTTTTTATTAACCTGCAGGATTTGTCTGTTTCAGATACACTGCTTCCTGTTCAAGACTGTTGGTTCAGTATAAGGCTGCTTTCAAACAGGTGCAGGGCTCTGACGTGGGCTCCATTGATGATTTCTGTAGGAAGTATAGAGTGAGTTCTGTTTTAGAGCACATATTATTTTATCACCTGTTTTACTTTGTAAACATTTTCACAAATGGGCCGTGAAACTGTTCTACCATAGTTTTGCATTTAGAGTTTTTCTTGGTAACAATATTACTCTTGTCATTTGTTTCCTAGCTCGACTGTCCACTAGCGATGGAAAGGATCAAGGAGGATCGGCCAATCACCATCAAGGATGACAAGGGCAACCTGAACCGCTGCATTGCAGATATAGTTTCTGTACGTCCTCTCCATAATATTAAACAGTCAGGGCAAACTGCAGTCTTATCTTGGGCATGTGCCAGAATAAAAATTGTTGCAGTTGTATTTTTATAAAATGATTTAGTGTGTTCACTTCAAGCACTAAATGGCTAAAGTGGTTTCACTTAATTTGGCTCATCCTGTGGTCAATCACTAAAGAATGTGAATGGGTGTTGCCAGCTGTATCCACTGCCAACTTTTAGCTCAGCTCATAAAGTCTGACAAACTGATAAAATCCATGGAGAGACAGTGTGATACTGGACACTGTGTGCCCTGTTTGTGTTGCTGATGATAAATGAAATCCTTGGTGTAAATATGTTGAGCATTGTCTCATTGTTGTCACTTTCAGCTCTTCATTACTGTGATGGACAAGCTGAGACTGGAGATCAGGGCCATGGATGAGGTAAATTTAAGAAAGTGCAAAACTTAAATATCAGATAGATTTAAGACAACAGCTTAACTTATTCTTTCCTTTTGGTCCAGATCCAGCCAGACCTGAGGGAACTGATGGAAACCATGAACAGAATGAGCAACATGCCTCCAGACTCAGAGGCTAAGGACAAAGTCAGCCTCTGGTTAGTTACACTGGGCCACCCAGTTTACTGTGTTCATAGTTTACTGTGTTACTGTGTTCTTTAACTGGCTGCCAGTTTAGTGCAACATACAGTACAGGCCAAAAGTTTGGACACATCTTCTCATTCAATGCGTTTTCTTTATTTTCATGACTATTTACATTGTAGATTCTCACTGAAGGCATCAAAACTATGAATGAACTCATGTGGAGTTATGTACTTAACAAAAAAAGGTGAAATAACTGAAAACATGTTTTATATTCTAGTTTCTTCAAAATAGCCACCCTTTGCTCTGATTACTGCTTTGCACACTCTTGGCATTCTCTCTATGAGCTTCAAGAGGTAGTCACCTGAAATGGTTTCCACTTCACAGGTGTGCCTTATCAGGGTTAATTAGTGGAATTTCTTGCTTTATCAATGGGGTTGGGACCATCAGTTGTGTTTTGCAGAAGTCAGGTTAATACACAGCCAACAGCCCTATTGGACAACTGTTAAAATTCATATTATGGCAAGAACCAATCAGCTAACTAAAGAAAAACGAGTGGCCATCATTACTTTAAGAAATGAAGGTCAGTCAGTCCGGAAAATTGCAAAAACTTTAAATGTGTCGCCAAGTGGAGTCGCAAAAACCATCAAGCGCTACAACGAAACTGGCACACATGAGGACCGACCCAGGAAAGGAAGACCAAGAGTCACCTCTGCTTCTGAGGATAAGTTCATCCGAGTCACCAGCCTCAGAAATGGCAAGTTAACAGCAGCTCAGATCAGAGACCAGATGAATGCCACACAGAGTTCTAGCAGCAGACCCATCTCTAGAACAACTGTTAAGAGGAGACTGTGCGAATCAGGCCTTCATGGTCAAATAGCTGCTAGGAAACCACTGCTAAGAAGAGATTTGTTTGGGCCAAGAAACACAAGGAATGGACATTAGACCAGTGGAAATCTGTGCTTTGGTCTGATGAGTCCAAATTTGAGATCTTTGGTTTCAACCGCCGTGTCTTTGTGAGACACAGAAAAGGTGAACGGATGGATTCCACATGCCTGGTTCCCACTGTGAAGCATGGAGGAGGAGGTGTGATGGTGTGGGGGTGTTTTGCTGGTGACACTGTTGGGGATTTATTCAAAATTGAAGGCACACTGAACCAGCATGGCTACCACAGCATCCTGCAGCGACATGCCATCCCATCCGGTTTGCGTTTAGTTGGACGATCATTTATTTTTCAACAGGACAATGACCCCAAACACACCTCCAGGCTGTGTAAGGGCTATTTGACCAAGAAGGAGAGTGATGGAGTGCTGCGGCAGATGACCTGGCCTCCACAGTCACCGGACCTGAACCCAATCGAGATGGTTTGGGGTGAGCTGGACCGCAGAGTGAAGGCAAAGGGGCCAACAAGTGCTAAACACCTCTGGGAACTCCTTCAAGACTGTTGGAAAACCATTTCAGGTGACTACCTCTTGAAGCTCATGGAGAGAATGCCAAGAGTGTGCAAAGCAGTAATCAGAGCAAAGGGTGGCTATTTTGAAGAAACTAGAATATAAAACATGTTTTCAGTTATTTCACCTTTTTTGTTAAGTACATAACTCCACATGTGTTCATTCATAGTTTTGATGCCTTCAGTGAGAATCTACAATGTAAATAGTCATGAAAATAAAGAAAACGCATTGAATGAGAAGGTGTGTCCAAACTTTTGGCCTGTACTGTATACTTGTTTGATGTTTGTGTCCATAAGTTAAACTGATACTGCTTTTGCTGTTGAATACTCACTCAGTCCAGGCATGATCATTTGCAGCAGACTCTTAAGCCCCTTTCCACCAACATTTCCAGGAATTTATCTACCTGGGTAAAAGAATTGCTGGTAATCTGTGTGGTTTGCATTTCCACCACACCTCAAAGTTCTGGAAAATTTATTCAAATCAGGATGATGATGTAGATGATTCGGCGAGTGCCCTGTATTAAGCTCCGCCAGTTTGTTGGCTGGTAACATTGTTATGGATATATGCTGTAGTGTAAGAAGTCAGACAAAATCTGGGTCTACAACTGTAGAACTGTACATGTCAGTGCTTCAACTTAATATTATCCTGCTACCCTTTTTCTTTCTATATAACTCTCCATGTATTAAGTGGTATTAAGTATTAAGTGGTAGTTGTGCTTAAATATACTGTTTTTATACCTGAGATGGAGCTGAGGTTGGGAATTTGTTGAAATTTGTACTATTGATGGGTGAACCAATTCTTTTCACACTTTCATTTCCTTTGAAATTTTTGAGTTTGACACTTTTTGCAAAATACGGTGTCACTGTCTTAGTGACACTCGGTTTTAGTACATGCACATTTGACTGCTCGTGCTGCCAGCCCTACAAAACTTCTCTTCAATGCATTACCAGTCATGTTTAAGTTTACATTGATAAAGATAAAATATCCATTTTAATGCTTTTGTTATCATTAATGTGTCATTTAAATGCTCTTGAGTAATAAAATACCACACATGTTCTTTGCAACATCCACGTCCACATTACAACTTAAAGCTTAGAAACACAGCAAAGTTGCAAGAACAACTGTCTGAGGAGTATGTGGACGCACTATTGGCCTTGGCTGTTAAAGGTCTTGACCCTAGTCAGAATGAATTTGTCCTCATTCGTTCATTCAGTGCCTTTGCTGCACTACAATAATAACAATGAGTGGGAAATATCAGGGATTTATAAGCGCACATACGATAGGCTGTCTCAGTACATACAAGGCACTTAAAAGAGTCGCTAATATAGATGCATATGTTCATTTTGCCCGTCACTAAAACAGTGTGTTGATTATTTGGTCTTGTCATGAGTGGGTCATAAAGCAAAGTGTACAGTTTATTAGTTAAAGCATCTTTGCAGTTAAGAAAAACAGAATTTATGGCTCGGGGACTGCAAGTAGACGCCAGTACCTACAATAGTATAGGATTATATTGACTATAGGTTAATTACTATGTCATTAATACCAATAGCAACTATATATTTGCGGGTATCTGTGTTTTTTTTTTTTAATTCATAATGTTACTAATGGACCATGGATCTACATCCCCAGTAGTGTTAACCTTATGCCAATCTGTCATAAGTCTTAGCAGTGTTGTTGTCTGTCATCTACATTTATCTTTAATTTTTCCTCCTCAGGTTGACCACCCTCAGCAGCATGTCAGCCTCAGATGAGCTGGACGATAATCAGGTGCGCCAGATGCTGTTTGATCTGGAGTCGGCCTACAACGCCTTCAACCGCTTCCTCCACTCCTCCTAAAGCATCTGTCCCTCACTGTTTCATCTGTCTGATATTCTGACTCTAATATCTATTAAGTTAAAAAAAAAGCTCTACATTCTCCTTCTGGCTGTTGGTAGAGATTGGATTATACCTGGACAGGTTTTCTGTCTCATACACCCCCAGGTCTTTCATGTCTTTTGTTTCCTGTTTCCTTTATTCATGTGGTGTACTATACAAACTTCACCGCCGTGTGTACTCCACTGTCTGGTACATCATGCTGCCTGCAGCCTCGCCCACCAGGCTCCATTGGCCTCTTTTTGAGCCTAACTTGTGTGATAAACTCTTTAATGTTGGCTGTTTCTTCTGCCCTCTACAAAACAGTTTACTTCTAACTTTGTACTGTAAAATCAAAAAGGTCTAATTTTATACTTAAGTTTTGCAGAGCACCAACAAAGAAGCATGATACAGTTATATTGGACAAAGTCTGCACATGAAGAAAAGGTTACAACAGCCAAAGCCTTTGTATTATTGGGAAGATATGTATTTTTTCTTTTTGGTACCCTAATTCTATCCACTACTTGCCACTTGGGGGCAGATTAGCATTTCCTTTCCATACACCATGTTTGTTTTTCTATCACACAGAATGCAGAATCTTGAAATAGTTTTTGTCGCTGGAGTAAAAGACGCCGACACGCTGTCAGTAAATGGAAAATAAATGCAGCTGTTCGACTTCAAGATTAAACTGCACTTCAGATTAATCATTTTATTGAAACTATGGTGGAAGGAATTATTCATGTACATTTTGTAGCCCTCTTTTCTGTTAACACGCTTAATCCATATTTCCTGTAGAAGTGAGGGTTTGGCCACATGAAGTGGGTAAAAGTGAGGTGGACATGCCCCCTCCTTATTTTGCTTGCTAAATATGTTTCAGCCCTCAAACACCATTAGGGAGAACATATTTATTAAGATTTATCATTTGTAAATAATAGTTTTGATTTTTATTAAATAAGAGCATGTAACACCTTTTTAGAAATAAAAATGAAAAATCTACCTCCAACTTCATTTGTGCCATGTGTGAATCAGATCAAATGTGTTTTGTTGTTGCGTTATCTAAAACCGTTTAACTTCTCATGTGACATGTTAGGAAATATAATAGAACAAGCAAGTGACAGGGTGTAAGGATATGTTACTGGCAAAATACAACTTGTCGCACTGTTTATTCTTTCAGAGAGTTATTAATTTTGACTAATTATTGTTTTGATTGCCTTTTGTATGCATTTGTGTTGGTGTTTTCTTATCAGCTAAATTGTTTACTTGCTAAAGCAGCAGCCTGATGATTCATTTCCAGATTAACCTGTTTTGCTGCCTAAGGGCAAAATGTTTGCTGGTAGGCTTTATTTATCACCCATGCACACTCCCGCTGTGCTTATTCTATACAAGAGTTTGGAGAATACAGACATGTTCTAACCATTTTTTCTCTCTGAAGATTCCTACAACTGTATTGGTGTAAAATGAACAACTTTGGTTTAATGTAGTTTAAGTAAGAAGAGTTTTCTGATTTAAATGAGGAAATGTGGTCAAGAAATGAGTAAACAAGAAAAAGAATGACCCAAGATTCAATTCCATCTTTTGATTTTTAGTGTTCAATGCCTAGCCCTAACCACCCACAGCATTTGTGTGTTAATTATTAATTAAACTTTAGAGAGGAATATGCACCATATGAGTAAGAAATAAAAATAAGAAAGGTCATTACTGTCGTCTGATTCTCGCACTGTGTCCCTCCACAAGACATGGCCAGAGATAGGTAAGATACCTCATAAACACAAGACGTGTTTTAATGACTTAAGGGGTGATTCTCTATCATATGTTCAATTAAAGGGTCCTGCAGTTAAGTTGAGGAACTTACTCAGAGTATTTAGATTTTTTTGATGTTAAAATTATTGCAGCAGAGTCTAAGGTATTCAAGTTTTAGCCCCGGATCAGTCCCATAGACTGTGTAAAAAAATGGACATAATTACTGTGACATCACCTATTTGCTTCAAATTCAGCATTTCACCTGTTGCGATCAAGGTTTTTTGAAGTCAGAACTGACCATATTTGGATGAATGGTTGAAGCTGTGCTGGAGCGAGAGGTGGTTATGACTGAGAATCTGAGGACACTATTGGAAGACATCCTGTCACTCAAAGCTTGCCAGCCCTGCCCTTGACTGTGTGTAAGAGGTATACTTGATTGTATTAATTCTGAGAGGAAATGTATATATGCACAGGCCACGTGCACAAACAGGATGTATACATGCATTAAATTGAGACATGTCAGAGCAAGGGAGCTGCCTTGGACAGATGCCCTAAGCAGTTGGGGATTTGGTACTTTGCTTCAGGGCACCTCGGCTGTGCCCAGGAGGCAAACTGACACCTCTCCTGCTACTAGTCCACAATCCATATTTGGTCTGAAGGGGGACTTGAACTGGTGACCCCCAAGTTCCCAGCCAAAGTCCCTATGGGATTAGCTACTGCCGCTCCAAAACTTAAAGCCTTATTGAGAGCAAAATCCTTTTTTGTACTGGGCTGTAAACATGTTTATTTCTGCTGTAAGCTTCTTTTAACTTGACATCCCCAGTTTGCATTTTAGGGTTTCTTTTATAAGGTTGTAGTCTCTAAGATGAACTTGAAATGGCTTTGAGTCTTTGGTAAAGGCCCACTTGCTTTACTCTTTATTGCTCTGCGCGGTAAGTGACTTGTTTGTAAGCACATCACTTTTATTTTCCCAGGTCAATCATTTACTTTTAAGTAACATTTAATGTTAATGTGTTAGCAAGTGTTGATCACTGATAGAGGCCATAGTTGATAGAGTTAATGTTAATGGATAACGTAATAACATGGAGCATTTTGGTGGACGCCATGATGAAAATGTGTACAATTGTGTGTATAAATAACGGGGGGCTTCTCATAATCCCAGCTCTTTGCCTCACCCATGATGTACGGCACTAATCTCCTTGACAACACCAGATGTCCATCGGTGACTTGTGTGAATGAGTGTATTCAGAAGTGTTTGTGCTGCTGCCCCTTTAAGAACCAGGCAGCAGTGTACTCGTTGCCAGGACGACACGAAATGACAAAAGTCTAGGGCTCGTCAGTTAGCAGCAGCACCACCAGCAGCAGAGTGGGAGTATACAAACTCACAGAGAGGATTGACCATCACCTTGATAAATATCAACACATTGTGTACAGTTCAGGTTAAACAGAGCTTATTTCCAGTCACTAAATGGAGTTAAAGACGAACCTGGTGCCTGTCGGTCGACACTGACTCAAGAGGAAGTAACGCGACGTGGGACTACAAGTACAGAGGTTCGCATGTGGGTCGCTAATAACATACGCAAAAACTACAGAGAGACTCGCCTGTTGGTTTCATGCTTTTTCACTGTGTGTTTTGGGAAATATGTTTGAAGCTGAAGCTCTGACGGAACTGACTCCACAAGTCAGTCATTGCTGCGAACAATTTTAACACCTGTTTTCGGGACATTGAAGGCCACTTATCTCTTTCAGGACTGAGCAAAGAAACGGAAAAATGAGCAAAATATATGGATCAACAAACGTGTCTGAGGTGGAGGAACACATTTCTCTGAAGTATGAAATTAAGAAGAGACTTGGGAAAGGGGTGAGTGAGCTAATTTAGCCCAGGCTACAATTAACAACACCTTATTGCACCTTTGACATGGCTACACACTTGTTAATAGAACTGGAGTTACATCCATGTAATTGCTATTTTGCAATAGTTTTTAAAGTTGCCAAACACTGTAAATGCTCATGCTTTCAGTTTGCAGCCTCTTATCAGTGTTTTGGCTCTTTACACCAGCCTCCATACCTGCACAAAGATGTTTACCACATCTTTAAGCCTCTCTGAACTCCAGCCTTAAGAGACATTCCTGAAATTATCCAGAATTAAGGCCCTGAGTGCAAACCAGTGTTGTAAGGGAGAGGTTTATTTACTTTGGCAGGACAAACTCTCTTTGCAAATCAGCTGATGTGTGAGGACACTTGTTCCCTTCAGAGTCCATAACCCTTTTGTTTTTCTCTCCGCTGGTACGGTTGCCACAGGACTAAAAACAGCCTGGTTTCTTTTTTCCATCGGCCGTCCACAGAGACGTACAAATTGCTGCTCTGCTTGCACTGGCCAGGTGGTAACTGCCACGTAGTCACGTCATATTGCCTAACTAACTAGGCATACCTGAGGCCTGAAGTGACTCAGGTTACACAGCCGTTGAATCTATTTACAGTTGGCTGGTGAGATAATGGCTCCCTGTGTTGTGATGCTCCAGGGAGCCAAACAATAGTGAGCAACACTGTGCTTATTAGCCTTAGAGAATCATAAAGTGCTTTAACAACAGCAAAACACTCCTAATTGTACTGAATAAACTGTGTTTTGTTCCCCTCGCAAATGTGCATCACTAACTCTTCTTTCTGGAGCCGGGCTTTGACAAAGACAACAGCCACCTGAGTCACCAGGGCTGCGTGAATCTGATCCACTGCCTCCGATAACAGTGCTGTTGCTCCTTCTGTCTGTACAATAACATGGGTTAGGGTTATGCCCTGCCTCACTGCTGCCTCTGTTATGCTTGACTTCACTGCCCTCATCAGCACCCTGACTCTTTCTTCACCATAGTCAGGACTGTAGCTGCAACAGAGGACACAGAGGTCATGTCCTCGCCCTCTCTTATAGGAAAATGGTGATCAGGAGTGCCGTTCACTTTTTTTTTTAATGATTAAAAGTTACACAGTGCGTTTTTAAATAGCAAAAGAACTTAGTGTCCTTGAAGGAATACTTCACCTCCAGACATCTGCTTACAAAGTCTCACACAACTCCTGCAGTATGATCCAAGTCTCATTTATCCAGTCGATTTCCCAAACACAAGCTAAAACGTTAGTATTGGAGTGTGGCTTTGAAGAGAGCGTAGATAAGTTTCACTTTCATTTCAGGTTTTCACAGTAAGGTTTCAGAGGAAATTATGAGGATAAATGAGATTTGGATTATACTGCAAGAGTTGTGTGAGAGTTTTGCTGTTGTTAAGCAGGGTCCACAATCAATTAATAAATCAATATTTCTATAGAGGCATGTGAGAAGTGCAAAGTTTTCCTCATGAATTCAAGGTGACATAGATCAAATAATTGATTTACAAATTGTAATTTTGTGGATGACGTGTTCTGTTAAAAATGACACCTTTTTTAGGCCAGTAAAAAATACAACAGTTTTTAAATTGATCTGAAAAAAAATATATGAATGAGTTAAACATGTAAATTAAAAGACTTAAAATGAATAGATCAGGCGACCATGGAGAATCATGACCTCAGCAAAAACTATATAAATGTTTATATGGAATATAAACCATGTCCTGCTTTGAGAAGAGGTGACTTAGTGTATTGTATCTCCCCAGGCTTATGGCATCGTATGGAAAGCGATTGACAGACAGACGGGCGACATTGTGGCTGTGAAGAAGATCTTTGACGCCTTCAGGAACAGGACAGATGCCCAGGTGGGTGCTTGCTGTGATCTAGGTGACAATGATGTAATATCATTATTGTAACCTAATACCTTTATTCATATCATATCTAATATATAGAGATGGTTCACAGTGTTCATGGCATAAAGCCCCTCAAAGGTATACTTCAGCCACAAAATGACCAATTGTTAGTCATGCTGTGTTACCTTGAATTTGTGAGGACAACTTTGTTTTTCTTGCATGCCTCCAGAGAAAATGACATTGCTTTATTGACTGACTGGGGATTACATTTAACAACAGTAAACTACATCAAAACATCAGTAATGTAATCCAAGTCTCATTTATCCAGTTGTATGCTCATTACATCCCAAACACATACATTTTCATTAAACCTTAGTATGTGAAGCTGGCTTTTAAGAGAGCACGGATAAGTTTCACTTTCAATTCAGTTTTAAACGGTAAAGTTTTAGTTGGAGTGCATGTGTTTGGGAAGCACTGAACATATGACTGGATTAATGAGACATGGATTATTATAAGTGATCATTTTGTGGGTGAAGATTTCCTTTAAAAATGAAGCAAATAAAACTTGCAACTGACTGTCAGCAGTTACATGTGATTTCAGGTTATTACCAATTTAGCTTCTTCTTTCCTATTCTAAAAATGGTCTCACAGTGGCTTCACAATTGTCTCCCCTCCCCTGTGTCAATAGAAAGATGGGTTTGGCTAATGATTAAATAGAACAGGAGGCTTGTGTGTGCCCAGTTTACGGCCGAGATTATTGCTCGTAGAGTTCAGATCTAACTGTTATTTTCTTTCCTTTTGCAGCGGACATTCAGAGAAATCATGTTCCTCCAGGTAACGATAATAATTATGTATCAGTGAAATAAAGCTGAACTACTGTCATACTATCATTCAACTCAAAGATTAGTTATCCCAGCCCCACTCTCTACATTTTGTTTCCATCTTTTCCCTCTTTGTCCAGCCTCTTTTTTAATTTACTGCAGAAAATACAATGACATTTCATGATATACAGTGATTGTTGTGTTTCAGGATGCTGTTCATCACTCTTTAGTCAGTGAACGAGCTCCATCACCAGTTTCACAAAAACATGCCCACAAATCAACAGAGAATTTCTCTTTATACAGCTTTTTATAAATGCTTTTACAAATTGCTGTATTTGTCAATAGTCTGCCCCTCCGACACTGCTCCAGTAGTTGCACCATGCCCTTCCCACTCTGGTGCAGCACTGTTTGTTTTTCCATTGCTGTTTCATCATAGTCCTTCGCTTTATAGTTTGAAACATGCAGAAAAAGCAGATTTTTCAGCTGTTCATTTTACCGTGTGAAGACATTTGAGCATGAACACCTCTGGTACGGCATGGTACAAATAGGACAGTGGCACAAGTCCCGCAGTTTAATACCTCTGCCATTATGTGAAATCACAATAAAACGTCCAATATGGTCAAACCTTTTGTTTTCTAAATAGTGTTTTCTTTCAACTTCAACTCTATTGTTACCCTGAAGGAGACTGACAGTGAACAACAACACTGTACCTGCTTCAGGCTGATTCATATCCTTGTGACACACATTCCAGCTTCACTCTTAATCTGCTGACCTACATTCATGTGACCTTCAGCTGTGCCTCTGCCCCCTAATCAGCTGTCATCATCTTCCGGTGAAATTCCGGTGTTGTAGATATTATGGGGTTTAATTACAGTGACCGTTATGTAATCTCTGTTGAAACTTTCCCTGTTGTTTGCTCAACCTTTATGGCTGCCAGTTCAACACAGCCAAGATTTGTTTGTATGTGTGGTTTATTTTCCTAAAAACAAAACTCCTTTCTGTGTGCAGGAGTTTGGAGACCATCCCAACATCGTCAAACTTCTAAATGTCATCAGAGCGCAAAATGATAAAGATATTTACCTCATCTTTGAGTATATGGGTGAGTGTCTGGAAGTTCACGTGCACAAACATGGCTGCAAGGAAAATAATTACAAATCAGTTTTGACACATAAGCATTGGGAGGAGTGAGGCTGCAGTGGTTGTTAGCAGTGTAGTTTGGCACTGAAAAGGCTGTGTGTGTATGTGTGTGAGGGTTTCTGCTTCCTTTGGCCAGCTGCACTGTCTTACTGCTGAGTCCACAGATTGGCCTCCCCCTCTCTGCACTATAATCCATGACTGTACACCAGCAACCAGTGCAGACCTCCACTGTTTCTCTCCAGCATTTCCCTTTGGTTGAAATCATTGTGTGTGTGATTATGGAGGAGCATGTGTTTAGCAACTCTACGCCAAAATCACAAATAACTGACGATGATTTAAAATCCAATCATTGCTAGATGTTACTGTAAAAGTTGTGCTGTCATCAATTTTTGCTTCCTGCTTTCTACTAGACACCGACCTGCATGCAGTGATAAAGAAAGGCACCCTACTGAAGGACATCCATAAACGCTATGTCATGTACCAGCTCTTCAAAGCCATCAAATACCTGCATTCAGGAAACGTTATCCACAGAGACCAAAAGGTATGTCAGGTGGAGAGTATCACATTAAAATCATGAATTCATTTATTAGTTTTAGAAGTAGGGTTGTCTCGATCCAATCTCAAGGATCGGTATCGGGGCCGATGAAGGCATTTTGATCGGGTTTGGCTATACTGACTTATACAGAGGATCCAATCCTTTGTTTCATGTCAGCTGTCACATCACACAGGTGTTTTTACCTGTGAAGTTTTCATGCAGACTAGCTAATTAACTAATCAAAAAATTGTTTATGCTCTAATGTAAATGTAAGCTATTACGTACAATTTACTGAGTTTAAGTAATCACATTCTAGAGTTCCTGCAGAAAATCTGCTGACATGGTTTCTCAAAACGGCCTCTGATCCTAGAGAGTAGAAATTCATCCCTCCTTCTCTCCTATTTGTTTGCTTTTCCACGTCTTCTCACTCCTAGTGTGATTTCTGTTTTCATACCTGGGTAAAGCTGTCCTGTTTGACCTCTCAGGAGATGAGTGAAAACTGAACCATTACAGTCCCTGTGAAGAATGTTTCTCTTGTCTGTGTTTCCCACAGCCATCCAACGTGCTGCTGGACACCGACTGTGTAGTCAAGCTGTGTGATTTCGGCTTGGCCAGATCGCTCAACCAGATTCAAGAGGACAGCGGGAATCCAGCACTGACGGAGTACGTGGCGACCCGGTGGTACCGAGCTCCTGAGATCCTGCTGGGATCTGCGAGGTATCAGTAACTGTACCACAACCTCTTATGCTTCACAACAGTTGATTTAACAGTGATGAAGAAGGTAACATTGAAAAATATTCATTCAAGGGACAGAATACTTTTTTGGAAAATTAGTTATGAGTGTACCAGAGTGTAAGAGGAGTACATGTGATTCAAAGGTACACTAAAGGTGTGGACATGTGGAGCCTCGGCTGCATCCTGGGAGAGATGCTGCTGGGAAAAGCCCTGTTCCCTGGGACATCCACCATCAACCAAATAGAGAAGATCATGAGTGCCATACCACACCCGAGCCCAGAAGGTAATTAAAGAACTCACACTTTATTTTTAGCAATGGACAGCATTCATCACTATCTATTTATTGATTTAATTCAATGCATTTAATTTTCAGATATTCTCGCAATCAAGTCTGAGTATGGATCCTCCGTCATTCAGAGAATGTTACTGAAGTAAGACAATCTTTTGTGTTATGTATGTTGTGAAAACCCTACTGTGCACAGAACATGTTAACAATAGAGAGGTTCTTGCACCTTTTGCATTTCACTAGGTAAACTCATATGGATTACTTTATTTGTGCACAGCTGTTGATGGTGCTCGGCCTCTCTCTGACCTTGTCACCCCTGGGACAGAGCTAGTTTTGGGAGTGACAATAACACATTTCCTCTCTTCCACCGGGGAGACTGTTAGCAGAGCTTGTAAGTGGAGGTGGGGCTGATTACACCCTCGAAGAGCAGTGATTATTGCAGAGATGCAATGATGCAGCAGTGACAAAGCAAAATCATAAGTTAAGCAATGCCAGCTTTAAAGGTTCTTTATACAACATTCGGGTCATTAATGTGGCAGGAAACCACATTTACTATAGATATAGTGGAGTAATGGTGTCCTGAGCGGAGAATGAAGTCACACTCCCTCTGTGTGTGCTGTAACCTGAGCTTCTCTGTTGTTTGTTGTAGAAGATGGTCCAGTGGTGCATGCATATTAGTGCATGTAGGTCCTTGTGTGTGTGTGTGTGTGTGTGTGTGTGTGTGTGTGTGTTTGTATCCCACTGGCAAGATCATTACCACCACTCTGCACTGCACATACATAGCGCCCACCCCCTTTTTCCCCCCTGGTTAACACTGTTAGCTCTATCAGCACTGTTGCTATTGTGCCACTGTTAGCACTGTTAGCTGCTGGACACCAGGTCAGTCACCTCCATGGTGAGGACAAACGCTCAATCATAGATAGGCTCCAAATGTTATATAGAGCTTCTTTAAAAGACCACCTTGTTAAAAAGTGTGTGCTGGATACTATATATTGCAGAAAATGTTGAGATGTTTGAGTGAGCAAGGAGAGTGGATTTGTCTGCTTGAACTCGCTCCAAAGCTTTGCCATATTTTTAATCTTTGTACAGGACCTTTTGTAAACAGCCAATAGCCATCTGTACTTTAAAAGGAACAGTGTAATCTACCCTCCCCAGCATGTTCTTCCACCCACCACTTTTTTGTATTTAAAGGAGAGCTCCACCTATTTTACACATCTAATGCTGCATTTCCACTGCATGGTACGGCACGGCTTTGCTCAACTGGACTTGCTCCTTTTTGGCTTTCCATAACCAAAAGTTGCGAACAGTACCTGATATTACTCACTTACTTCTTAGGTTAATGTTTCAAGTGAGCTGAGTCAATACTAGGCAGTAGAGTCAAAACACTGCAGACTAACTGACACTGATTGGTCAGAAAGATAGTCACCAGCGCAACACAGGACATCCTGCACAAGGCCACAATTTTTAAATAACCAAGCTACCATTAATAGCATCCGAAATGTTTTTATTCTCTCTACCCTGCATTTAAAAAATAGCAGCCCAAAGTACTATGCTGTGCAATAAAAGATGTGCAATTTTTTTCTCTTTTTGGTTGACAATGAAAGGATCCAGTGAAAACAGAGATAAGGACCTGGTACCAAATGTAAATTTAGTCAAATTGAGCTGAACCATCTTGTGGAAATGAGGCAAAAGTCTCTGAACAGGTCTTTGGGAGTGCCAGTCAGTTGGTGGTTGGAAATATAGTTGCATTGTAGCTTATGTAGAGACAGGTGGTTTTGACGAGGAATACAAATGCGCGGAATAAAATAGAATATGTTTCTTCTGTTGCTATGATTTTTATCCTTTTTTTAAAAACTGTACAATGTGAGTCTGACAATGTTACAGCAGTGCAATGCTAAGTTGCTGATGAACGCTTTAAAATCCCTCTCTGCCTTCCTTCACCAGACCACAGGTGCCTTTGGAAGATCTTCTCCAGACGTCTGTGCCACCTGATGCTCTGGACCTGTTGAAAGGTTTACTAGTTTTCAACCCAGACAAGCGTCTGACTGCTGAGCAAGCCCTCCAACACCCATATGTAGCCAGGTATTTATTTATTTTTTTATTCTCTGTTCTTTGCTTTGCTTAGTTGAACAGTTAGAATCAAGCATTTCCTCTGTTTGCTTTGCTGTCTGGGATAGGTGCGGTTAGAAAATCAATATTTGCGTCACCACTTTATTACTATTATGTGCTATCATTTAATCATAAATGTGTTTCTTATCTCTGAAGGTTTCATAATCCAGCCAAGGAGCCAGCTCTTAACCATGATGTTGTACTGCCATTGGATGATGATGTACAATTATCTGTGGTTCAGTACCGCAACAAACTTTATGAGGTACAAAAGGAGTCATAAATGTTTAGAAGGTAACATTGGTCTTTACATATTAGACCATATTACACATAATTCTATTGCTATATATATTTATATATATATTTCCTCTTCTTTACCTGCAGATGATGCTGGAGAAGAGGACTAATCAGGGGATGCTAAGGCTGATCCAACCAAAGGACGGAGGCTGTGACACCAGCACTGAGAAGCCTAATGTGAAGGATAAAGAAGAGAAAGGCTTAGTGGCAGTGAGTGGGGATGGTCGTCACATGGGGGAAACGCAACATGAAAAGACTGAAAAGACAAACCACGTGCCTTCACATACAGGCATCACCAAACCTGGGCCTGAGAATGTGTCATCTCCGCCTGCTGTGAAGAAGACGAGTCCGCTATCCAGCCCTTGCTTGGGAAAACTCACATATAACCCCATCACACATGTCCCAAGTATGTCTGAATTTATCTCAGCTGGTTTCACATAAGGCTGGGTATTGAGCTGTTTGGTACTGATCAAAATATGTTCATAGCAGAGTTTTAAAAACTGAATTTTCTGAAAGATGTCTCCTTAGATTCCTTATCTTATTTAGATATGTTTTCATCAGAAAGTTTTTTCAGTTTAAGTTGAGAAAATGTTCTTGAAAGTTTGCCTGTGTTTAGATGTTTAACATTTGACAACTTTGACTTCTTTGATCAAGTTTGTCCAGTGTGTAGGATTTAGGGGGATATATTAGCAGAAATGGAATATATTATAACAAGTATATTTTCTCAAGGGTATAATCACCTGAAAACAAGAATTGTTTTTGTTACTTAATGGGCCATTTATATCTACATAGGGAGCGGCTCCTCGTCCACAGAGATCTCCATGTTGCACCGCCATGTAGTTCAGAACAGTACTTAGAAGCCCCTCTGTGACAAGCAGCATTGGAAAAACACCCATTTAAATTAGCGATTCAGTTTGTTTTGGAGAGGTGAAGACCTCTGTGGATAATTCAGCTCCTGATAAAACACCTCCAGAATGTCTGGATCTTAAGTTACTGGAAAAAAAGGTAAGCACAGATTAGCAGGTGCTAGGCTGAAGGCTCAGGAAACACTGATTTGTAATGTGAAACTGCTTTATTCAGTGTTATTACTGGTTTTAATCACCTTACCTGTTTGTTATGGAGAGGAAGAGACCTCTGCGGATAATTTGGCTCCTAGTAAAAACCTCCTGAACAATTAACAGTTGCAGGATCCCTAACTGGGAGAAGTTTCAGATATTTGCAATCTAGACTAAATCCCCCTAAATCTTACCCATTGTTTTCATGCTTCACACAAGTTCCATGCCTTCACAATGAAATCAATACAGCTGCATATATTTCAGGTAAATCTCTCAAAGATGCAGTTTAAACATTCCCTCAGGTAAAAAACCCAAACTTCTCTTTTCTTCACTCAGATGGTTTTGTTTGGAGTCCAGCCGCTCCTCCTCATTACTACTCACCCACTGCAGCCAGCAGGAAACTAGTGGGACAGACCAGTAATGGAGATGCAACCACATCACCAATAGAGGGCGCCAAGGCTAAAGTATGATCAACAGACCTCAGTCCACTTACTGTTCAGTTTTGTTTTCCCTTACAGTGATGTAATCTTGTTTCGTTTTTACATCCTGATTTATTTTTGGCTCCTTGCATTCTCTCCCACTTGTGATCTTTCTGTGACTCACTCTGCATTTTGTTCTGTCTTTTATTGCTACCCTCACTAGTCCATGGACCAGATTCTCCAGCGTGGTCGCTCAGCCCCTGTGACCCATAACCGCTCCTTCTCCTTGACCCAAAACCAAACCCAGAACAACCCACTGGTTCGCAAGGACGGGCCTACCCTGCCCTCTGGGCTGTACGTCACATCTGCACACCTGGTCAGTCCACCACTCCTCAGGATGTGTAAAATTTGACTCAATGTCAGGATTCAATTTCAGGCTATTTACATGCTCTATGAAATATTGATTTAACTACACAATGCATGAAAATATATCTTAAAGTTTGGTGCATTTGCTAAGATTTAGATGGAATTGCAGTCATGGCATATCTAACTGTCTTTTCCTTCCCATGCAGAACCAGCGCTCCAACTCTCAGGTTCGTGAGGCTCGGCCACCGGCACGGTTCAGCAAGAAAGTATTTCAGAGTAACTGTAACGTGGCAGCTGCAGGGGACCCACGAGCCAAACTGGGCAGCTACTCGCAGGCCTATGGGACCATCAACAAGACTGAACTGGACAATCTGCTTCAATGCCGCCCTTGCAACCAGTAACTGCTGTTATGTCAGCTGTTACAAAGGGGCCAGCGTGGCGTGTGTTTGAACACATAACAAGGTGTACCTTGCACTAGGATGTAAAGCACATGGCAACCTGAGAGAAAACTTGTAAAAAGAAACTGTCACTCCTGTGACTGTTACACCTCTTGTATACTATGTAGGTTTTATCCATGCAGACATGTTTGTCGCTGTCTGTGACAATGAATACATATTTGTAAAAATCCAGTATGACTTCATATTAAATTTATTAAATTGTACCAGCAATTCATAAACACATTGTATGCTTATGTGTGAAGTTTCATTCAACAGCATTTCTCACAAGGCTGGATTACCAATTGGACAAAAGGGGACCAAAGCCCCAGACCTTCAGGGGCCCTAAATGTCCAGTTTCTAGATGTGTAAGTAGGTTTGTGGTTATTTGCAAACTTTATTTGAAATAGGCACCTTTTTAGCACATTATCAGCTGAAATGTTGAATCGTCTGTCTTTCCATAGAGACACCGTGTGTCAACGGTCACATGCTAAATATTCCTAAATATCTTTGTATAATTAACAGTGGGTCAGAGGGGCCCACTGCACTGATAATGCAAAGGTTTTTTTTATGTGAATACAGTGGCAATTAGCCTCCTTGTTCCTCTAATGTGTACATAGAAGCAAAGTGATAAGTGTTTCTGGAACCGAGTTTAAAATGTTTAACAGACATGAATGACTGTGGCAGCAAACCAATACAAAGTTTAATAAAAAACACATTTTACTTTAATTTTTAACTTAAAATATTGGATACCTTTACCTCTTTGTGCCTCGTACAGTTATTTAAATTAAATAAGATTAATAATAATTACAACTCAAGAGGGGAAATCCCTCTTTGGTGAAACTGCTAACAACTTGCAAGATATGACAAGGGGCTTACAGTAGACACTGCTTTTTGTTAGAGGTCACAAGCCCAAAAAAAACATCAGTCATCAGATAAATGTGGTAAAAAATACCAATATTGCTCTCTGGGATGTGTGGTAAAAGTAATGGAAGATGTACTCTTTTACCTGCTCTTATATATTTAGTAGCAATACAACAGTGTATAAAACACTCTGCTACAAGTAAAAGTACAAAAGTAGTGGAATCAATACAAACTTTAAGTACTAGAAGTAAAAGAATGATACACATTTTGCAGAATGGCCCTTTTCAGAATATTATGTATAAGGCTATATAATTGGGATTATACAATAATTGATGAATGTATGTGTAAACATCTCTGTAGTGGTTATTCTTGGTCCTCTCTGACCACTTTGGTGGCTGAGCAAAAATATGTCTGACTCCACACATACAAAAAATCCAATGTCCACAGAAAACAATTCCAAAAATGAATCAGTATTATAAATAATACAATGCTCAGCTGGATTGTGATGAACACATGGCCTGATTCAGTGCTATATGGAAGTTACTAAATCTTAGTCTTAAACATTCATTGGAAGGGTAAAGATCATTCATTATTTTGTGGTGGATTTCTTTCGTTGAATGTGAAAAGTGACTGAATTGCAGCTGTCATGTAGCCTGGTGAAGCTGAAGTATAAAGTAACATATCATGATTACGCTCATGTTCAGAAGCAGTACCTCAAAATTGTAGTACAGTACTTATGTGTCCTACAGAGCCTTCCTGATCTATCTAGACCAGGGGTTTCAAACATACAGCCCGGGGGCCAGAACTGCATAGTGGCTCATGGAGGACTGGACAATTTCTCTCCTCCTTGGAGGGGCTCTGGATTTCCAGGGGTCAAGGTTGGGGATCATGGGGACCTTTTTGGTCTTGAGAGACGATAATGGACATGGAGGACCCCTGGTCAGTGATACTGAAGTACAGCCTTGCCTCTTCTTATTTTCTGTTTTGCTCAGTGCTGGGCATGTGACCTTTGCCTACATGTCCCTGCATGTAGTTGTTTTTGTCTGTTATTGGTTTTGTTTGCTCTTTCTTTTTGTATAAACTAACAAAATTTAATTTGAAAAGATAAAGTGTTTTGATTGGCTGCTAAGAGATTTTCAATCTCAATGGGACTTCTTGGTGAAAAAAGGTTAAAAAAATGTTTAAATGTTGCCAGAATGGACTTCTTTACACTGAAAAAGGAAACAATCAGAAGGAGTTGTTATTTATAGGTTACTATGCAGTGGTTTCACTGGTCTGGTCCTCTTCAGATCAAACTGGCTTGTGTGTGGCCCCTGAACTACAATGACTTTGACACCATCTTTTAGTCGTGTTTTGTTTGCAAACCCACACAGACCTTTAAATGCACCACTCTCATATGACCCTAACGGAAAAACACTGCGTCATCATGGCGGGAGCAGAGATAAACTGTCATTTTCTGTGCACGCGGAGATTCCCACACGTCACGTGACCACGTCGTGTGGTGTCGTCAGCGGCTCTCGACCTGACTCAGTTGTTCAGTCCGAGTCCAGATCAGGAGGAGGAGGAGGGAGAGTTAATGTCGGCAGCTACTGTGGAGTAAACACATTAAAGGTACGTGTGTGTTAGAGTTTGGTGACAATACGTCATGTTTACAGCGTGTGAGTGTTTTATTTGTTGAAACCGTTTTGTTTTTGTCCGTTAAATAAGCTGGTTGTGCGGCTAGCGAGCTCGGTGCGGTTAGCAACGGTCAGCATCATGCCTGTCGCCACCTGTCACCTAACGTCAGCAACATAGGAAGAGGTGAATTAACAAAATATGATATTAGCACGACGGTTCATATACAGATACAGTGAGTCACAAAGAATATAAATTTGGCTTTAATATACAGCTGTCAGCTCAGCACCGTTAACATGGGGGCGCGGCGTGTGGTCATCGTCTTAAAAAAAACCAAACTTATTAAATGGATCCATCATGGCGACCAGCATCACTGGATATCTACCCTTTAAATCACTCTCAGTTCATCAGTATTTTCTCTAAGGTGGTATTTCTGTAAGCTTGGGGCCAGTGTGAGTGAGTTTAACAGATGATCGCAGTGTCGCAGTGTTTATCTGCGCTGCTGAGGCCTAGATGGAGGTGCGCCCGCTGGAGGTGCACCATGAAAACGAGGCTCACTGTTTATGTTGGATTCATGTTTCTGTTTTGGTTTCAGCAACCTTTTTCTGCTCCAGTTTGGTACGTTAGTGTACTCTCATGTACATCCCTGTGTGTTTTAAACCACTATACATTACATGTAATTAATATAACGGTGTGTGATGCTGTTCAAATGTAAATTATTAATATGTTTCTACCTGAGCTGTCAGATATTGGCAGCAAAAGTGCCAAACAAATGTTAAGATTTACAACTTCTTTGAAAACCTATTTTCTGTGATGATAAACTGAATATCTTTGATGATGGTTTGATAGAACTGTGACATTAAATGCTTGGACTTTAGCAGATAATAACAGACATTTTTCACAATATTTTCACATTTAATGGACCCAATGATCAATCAATGAATCTAGAGAATTATTGGCAGATTAATCAATAATGAAAGCAGTTTTTTTCTGAGCTTTTCTTCCATATAAATCCAAGATTCAAGAGGCTTTATCGTCAGTTCTACAGTTATGTACAGGCAAAACAACATTTCACTCTGAACTCTTGATGTAGACTGTGCAAAAGGATAGCATTAGATAGAATTGATGATACAAAAGTAAATATAAATAAGAGCAATCAAGTAGTGCAAAGATCTAACTGTAGTCAATTCAAATGTGCAAATATTCAACTATTTGAATAGTAGTTTGCATACAAGACAAAAACAGTGAATGGTGGGTGAGTGTGAGGTAGTTCTCGTAGTTTCTTTAAAGTGGCCGGTGCTTTTGGGTAATGTGGTTAGTATAGGTAACCGGAGTCTATGAGGGTGGAGTCATTATGAATAATGTGATCAGTTTTGGTTGCAACCATTTATACTTCATGCTGTATTTAACTAAACAAATGTAATGTGGATATGATCATGGTCTTACAAAGTACTTACAAAGTGTTAGGAGATGTATTATTATGAATTATCAACCATGTGCACCTATTTTCACAACTAAAAAAGTCATCTCAAATGTGAAGATTTGGTGCTTTTCCCTGTTTTATATAATTGTAGCTGAATATATTTGAGTTTTGGGCTGTTGGACCAACACTACAAGATATTCAAAGATGTCACCTTGGGCTGTGATGGACAGTTAATACAATTTTCTGGCATGTTATAGACCAAATGATAAATTGATCAATCAATAAAAGCAAAGTGCTGATTAACCGGTAATGAAAAAAATCATTAATTGCAGACTTAATATGTTTTTTAGTGTTAAATCATACAGAAAATCAGTAGCAAAACCATTCATTGATTAAATAACCAGACCTTTCTGTTTTGGTTAAACCAGTAATTAAACGCCTGACCAATCAAAGTACCTCAGCTTTGTATAGATGCAATATAACAACAACAATAGCAATGCTGCTATATTACCCATATCTTGTGTCTATGTTTGTATGTGTTGTTGCTATCTCAGCATCAGGCCCTCTACATTAATACTCCACACATGTCCAATTATACACCGTCTCCATTAGCTAAAAATTGTCCTTTGCTATTTACAGTCTAGACCCCTTATTAAATGGTTTTATTTATAGGTTGGCAGTGCTACTGTTTGAAGTTGTCCATTTACAGTTCGGCTGTCCTGTGTTGATTGAAGCTGAAGGAATATACCTGAGCATGACGCTCATCAGCTCAGTCAAAAACAGCCTCTCTGTTGTTCCCTGACAGGATGTTACCAGGACACGCATGATACCATGCAGAGCAAATTAGTTTGCTCTCCGTATGACAGTTTTACAGTGAAGGATTTTGAATGAACATTTTTAATAATGTCGATGGTTATTTAATGAAAGAACAAGGCAAGGGGAGTTGTTATAAGAGAGGTTAGTGGATGTTTCTGCTGTTGTCTCACCATCCAGCTGTGAAACTGACGTAAACTAAGTCCAGGATTACTGAACTTCCGTGACAGCCATGAATATAACTGCCTCATCCCATAAAAAGCATTTAAGTGCTTGTTCTGTTTTGCTTTTGAGTGTTGACGAGAGGGGATGTTTAACATTTTGGATAAGTGTGTTTTGCTTACACTTCAGTTTTGTTTGGTAAGATTTTGATTTTCGAGGATCAGTGGGTTTATATTGACCAGACGAGAGTTATCTGCTTTCACCGCCTCCTGAAGCTGGGAAAGTTCTGCTTACACATTACAAGGAGACAATAATTGATTTCAACTCTTAAGCTAGTGATACAAACGACTATTTTCATCTTATAGCAAGATGCTTTTAATTCCACAACCACATTCCACCATTTTTTGTTAGAACAACAAAATGTTTTCCTATTAGAGTATGAAATTGGGGGTTGTAATGAGAAACCTGGACATTTGTTACAACAATATAAGCTGGTATTAGAACTGTAAATGTTCATTCATGTTGTTATAATGAACAGCACAAGGAATATATATATTATTTTAACAAATAATCTGTTCTGTTATTATAAAAAATAATTGAGATTTCTCTCACCATTGTAGCAGTGTGTTGCCATACTATGCTAACCTAAGTGCAGCCATGTGTCACCAGGCGAGGTGTCTGCAGGTTTGACATAGCCAGAGCTGCTGCTGACACGGCGCGTCACGATGACAATGTCTCGCCAGACTGCCGCATCGGCTGGCAGATAGGCTGGCAGCGACTCAGTGGGGGATTTATCTACCAGGTGGTCCAAGTGACAATTTCATAACAGGACTCAAAATGTTACCATTGTGCTGCTTCTGTGGCTTGTGTTCTGTGTGAAACAAGCATGTGAAACCTTTTTTCTCCCCAAAGGTTGCAAAATTTTATGACTCACTCATCATGTGACAATGAAATAGCATTTTATTTTTGATGCCATTCAGTGATAGGTGTTGGTTTGTAGCTTTTAAAAAGTATTGCATGCTCAAAAGTTGGACACTTCATCTTTAAACTGAGTGGTGCTTTTTTTTTATTTAAGTCATCCTTCATCAAAGATTACAACTTTCTATTTTTAACATGTTGTGGTGCCACATATTTTAACACACTGCCCTTTGTACAGGCCCCACTGCTTTTACTGGCTGTCCCTGTGTTGTCACTGTGTTTCATGGTGTTGCTCAAGCATGTACACAGTATGTTGTATATGGGTTTGTGGAGGTATTGTGCTACCCTAATTGTGTTAACGTGGCTCTCTGGCTAGCCCACTGAATCCCCCACCCATCCCTATAACCTAATTCCCCTAGTGATAGCTATCAGCAGAAGCTGGGGATATTGGCACAGTCCTTATCCATCTAGCGTCGGGGCGTCTCTCCTAAGAGGATTTGAAATCTCCCACGTAATGCTTGTAAAGCTGCGCAAACAGTGCCCCAAACTGACTCACCACTCTCAAAAAAATTAAACTGTATTGACTGTGTTCACTTTCACCACTTGTCAGACATGGAAGTGAAACTGTTGTGGTTGCTGAGTTGATCTTGTGCAACTGTGAGATGAGTGGTTAAAAGAGAGGGCGCTACCTTTTAGTGTCCTTTACTGAAGTGCTTTAACCTCACTCTCTTCTGAAAGCAGTTTCCTCCTCAAAACCAGGGTTTTATGTTAGTTTATTTTGCATTTTTTTTACTTCATTAAATCAAATACTTTTCAGTGATTACAGCTGTGTGTATGAACATCATAAGACACAGACATCTGTTGTCAAAATATCAGAGGGGAGTGCGTCTCTGCTGACCTAGCTGTTGTGACTTCATGCTCATTTCTGACATTCTCTTGACTGCATGGTGTGTTTCCACGGAGGTAATCCATTGTACACAGATAAAAAGCTACAAACAGGCCAGTACGGATTAAATCAAAATGCTGAAGTCACATTAGTTAAACATGATTTACAGGATCCTCTTAAGCTTTTGCGACAATTTGTGAATATGAACATGAGTAAGGACCAGGAGATATTCTACAGATGTCTGTTGTTCACACTAATAATTCAGAACTAGCCTTAATTAAAGTTCAACAAAGTTAGTTACTGTAGTTTTTGTGTCACACATATGAAGAGTTTTACCTTACTGCAGCACACAGTCAAGCTGAAACAATTGATTGACAGTAAAATAATTGGTAGTTATTTTAAGAATTGTTTATATTTTTAAAGCAAAATGTCAAATATTCCCTAGAGACGTCTTTTCAGTCGTCACATTTTGCTGCTTTTTGTGTTATGTTATAATAAACAGAATATCTTTAAGATTTGGACTGTTGTTCGGACAAAACAAGCAATTTGATGACATCACCTTGAGGTTCAAGGTTTAAGGTTCAAGGTTCAGTGTGTAGGATTGAGTGGTACAGTATGTGGCAGTGAGGTTGCACTGAAACTTCTGCTATGTGCAAAGCATGTAGAAAAATGGTGGCCAATGCGTAAACGCAGATAGCTCTATCTGGAGTCAGTTTTTGAATTGTCGGTTCTGAGCTACGGTGGCAGACACCGTCAACAGCTCATGCTAAAGTAACGACAACACAAGGATTCTTATGTTGAAGTGATTATAAACTAATGAAACAGTCAATTCCTCACCCTAATTCCCACAGTCTTTTTTTTTTTTTTTAAGATTATTTTTTTATGGGTTTTTTGCCTATATTGACAGGACAGAGAGTGAAATGGGGAGACAGAGAGAGAGAGTGGGGACTGACATGCAGCAAGGGGCCGCGAGCCGGATTAGAGCCCACGGCCGCTGCAGCAAGGCGATGCCTCTGTACATGGGGCGCCGGCACTATCCACTACGCTACCGACGCCCCCCACAGTCTAAATCTTAAAGGAAATTGTTAGAGACTTAACAATCAATCGATTAATGGAGAAACACTTACAGCCCAGTTTACTGCGACTTACATCAGCACGATTATTTTACATGCGATTTCAGTTTTATCTCCCCGCCCTTACATGGATGGCAAATTCTTTTAAGGCCTGAGTCACAATCTTAAATGCTTTACATGGACATTGGACAGGAAGGAGATCACATGCTTCGACTGTGTGTGTGTCTCATGATTAGTTCAGGACTCTTGGGTTATTCAGTTACATCCCATGTTTGTTCAGACGACAGATGTCCTGTCTTGTGTGAGACCAGTGAACAAAGTCTGCATTTCGTGACATCATTATTAAGTAGGGTGTTTGTCAGTTCAGATCAAGACAGTGATCCTGTTAGATAAACCAGTATTGACAAAAATGCGAACATTTTACTGACAGATAAATTCATTTTTCTTGTAATTCAACAAGATTGAGTACTCAGTGTACTGTACGCTCCCCCTTACACAACTATTGTTGTCCGGAGAGCCGGGAGGGATATGGCTCCTCAGATGATGATTGTAATCTGTTATGATCTTAATGGAGACTGTCAGTATGAAGCAGAGCCAGCGCTTGTCATGTTTGTCTACAGTCTCTCATTGCACTGTCCTAGTGATGGACAAACAGAGATCATGAGGACACACACCAGAGTCTGGATGCATTTGCCAGAGCGAAATAGAGCAGTGTTGCATAACGCTTACTGTGTGGCCTGGAAAGGAGGATAGAGGGAGTATCAGAAACAGTAAGCATGATTTGTAGCTTTCTAATCTGCTGCTGAATGGATATTTTTATAGTCTCGCACCAGTGTGTGTGAAGAAAATAGCATAAGGACCAAGAATGTGTTTGTATACACAGCTGTACTGTATGCGTACTGTAGTAGTAGTAGTCTCAACTGCACAGGCCTATGCACCGTCCACTGCAGACTCAAGCTTTTCTTTTAAAGTCAGCAATTAGGGGATTGACTTTTGGCTCCCATCCTGCTCAGTAGAAGTTTTCCTGCAGGCCAAACCTGCACAGCACATTTGAAAACAATAATCAGCCTTGTAAGTCTGACCCCACTTTTCTGTGGTTCCAGTGTGCAGCTTTGTGCCATGCATGTACATGCTTCATTAGCATTATGTAAATGGCGCAGAAACCTGTTGACCTGGGTTGTGCAGGGGGCCTGGTCGGGGGAGGGACACTGCAGTATTGGCCTATATGTCAGGCCTCTTCCTGACGCAAAGCAGATTAATAATACATTTCGTTACCAAGGCACCACCTGCGTCCATGGTAACACTGTCCGCGCTGGTGTGGACTGTGTTTGCCATCTCCTCAATTTCTCTCCCACCATCTATCTGTGCTTCATGTTTTCTTCTTGCTAAGTCCATACAGCCAGTGTGCGGGACTGTCACTCTCATGTAGGTATGAATGAGGTTACTGGTGTAAGTATTTTGCTGAGATCAGGTTCATTCACAAGAATCAACTGTTTTCACTCCAGGATCCAGTAGACCTATGGTTGAACGTGAATGTTTCAGAATAATTTCAGTATGCCTTCATCCATGAAACACTGAACAAGTTGCGGAAAACCACAGTTTAAGGGTTGATTTATTTCTCTCACTGAATCCCCCCCAACATCATCATCACCCCAAGCTGGCTGGATAAAACTGACTGAAACAATTAGTGAATCAGTGTAAAATTCATTTGAAAAAAAAAACAGTATCCCCAACTCTGTTGATGAGCTGCTAATTTGCAAAGTCACTATTCAAGCAAAGAGGTCAAACATGACGTAGTTTCAGCTTTCTGTTGTGAAGATTTGCAGATTTTCTCTTTTATGCAAAAGTAATCTGAATATATTTTTTGTTGTGGACTCTTGATCAGGTCAAAACAATTTGATTATGACAGCTGTGACAATCGATTTTTTTATTTTTTTAGTTATTTCTGACTGTTTATGAAATGATTGATAAGTATTTATACTCTGAGAAATTGTGAAAGTAATTGGCAGATTAATTTTTAATGAAAAAAATCAATCAATAATAGTTGCAGGCTTAAGTGACATCAATTATACACTCAATATGATCCATTATTATTATTATATGTGCAGTCATCTCTTTCTAGGAACTGCACTTTCTGCCAGTGACACATTTAGTGTTGTTCCCTTTTGTGCCTCTTTACGCTCACTTCCTCTGTCTGGAGGGGTTCAGACTGGACTTCCCATTGCAGCCATTGCCACAGATGTGTGTGTGCTTCAGATGTGCCTGAATAGCCAGCTGTAACACTAACGTACCCCTCCCCTCTCCTCAGAGCAGTGTGATGCAAATGTCTCATCTGGTGTTTTTGTGGCTCCCTAACCTGTGGCCTACTTTATGACATTAGAGCACTTGCTGTTGCCCACTGCTTTTCAGTGAAATACCACAGGATGAGTGTAAACTGATGAATAAATCATAACTTCTCTTCATCTCCTCCTCTCCGATCTCCATTTCTGCAGCAGGAACAGCTTTACATTGCTTTGAATTATGTATCCTTATCATGTTTGTAAGATGTAATAATTCACACAGTAATTAATAGATTAACTTTACTTTTAATATTTGGGTATTATTTTCTACAGCAATTATATTTAAGGTGCATGTGATTATTATCTACATTTCATCTCACTGAATATCATGATTTACTTTGAAATAACGTCAGGTGTGATTGTGAAGCAATGGCGAATGGTTTACATGGCAGAAAAACTTAGCTTTCCATTAGCTCAGAAAATCAAACCCTTTCCCTGCTCTTACTGATGTCCTCTCTCGTTGTAGTCTTCTCTTCAATGCTTTGGTTACAGATCTCCCTGATCCATTTCAAGGCCTTGATTACAGCCAGGTGCTCTTCATAGTCTATAACTCTGGTCTCTTTCCTGACCTGTGCGCTCTCCACTGCTGCAGGTGTTGCGACAGTCTTTGAATAGGCCTGTTCCCCCCTTAGGTTTTCTCTTCCAAAGGCCCTGTAAGCCTGGAAGTTTCAGCATCAATCATTTTTTTCAGCTTTGACAATCAGTAACACCTTGTGAAGACCAGTTACAATTGATCTGCTATAGCATAGGTAAAGGGCATATTTTAGCAAAATCAAATCAGCATGATATCATGATGTAGCTGGATTTTAGTTTGTGAAACAGAAAAGCCGTGCTGTAGCTCGGCTCTGTAATGCCTCTGTCCTCTCTTCCTGCAGCATTGTTTGATTGCCAGTCACCTTTTTAATCAGGGATATGCGGTGCTTGTGTCTTTGCCAGTTTGGCCTAGATAGTGTACCATCATTATGTTTTCACTGCTTCCCACTGGGCCTTTTGTGATGTAATAAAGACGTTGAGATTGTAAATATTCACACTGCAAACATAAGATTTAGATTTAAATTTTTACCTGTTCTTACCTTTTTGTGTATAATTTTGCTGAATACAGATGTTTTCATCAATCAAACTCATTCGGATTCTTCTTCTTTTTTTCTCGTAGATTGTTCTAGCAGCAGAGTGAGCCTTCCCCCACACCATGTCCCAGGACAAGAGTGGATACCCTGTTATGGGTGAGAGCAACCCACTTCATAACAATGTCTACGGACCCCCTCAGCCAGGCTTCGGCATGCCCCCACCCAACTATAGCCAAGCCCCAGGGGGACCGTACCCACCAGCAGCAGGCTACGGACAGCCAGGCTTCCCCCAGGCAGGCCCGGGTTTCGCTCCTGGTCCCTACCCTCAGATGCCTTACCCTCAGATGCCCTACCCACAGGGACCCTACCCTCAGGGGCCTTATCAGCAAGGTGTCGCACAGCCAGGCTTTCCCGGTGACCCCACGGGTGAGTGGTTGACCCAAAGGTGTGAGGTTTTTGTAAATAGACTTTCCCCTCTCTAGGCAACCTCGTTTTTTTGATACCTGAATGTGTCACAGAGTTGATTAACCACGGCAAATGCTAAAAAATCCAGGTCAACAAGAGCACACATTTCTCTCTCTGGTTTAGATCAGACTCAACACAGATGACAATCAATGAGATGATCAATACTGCAATCAGAGTGTGCTGAGAACACCACAGACATGTATACTTTTGTGCCTTTTTGCCAGTTGTTTAAAAGAAAAACTAACAAACTAATCATTGTACTATTGTCCTTTACCAGCACCTGCTGGCAGCCCTGGTTACCATGGTGATGGACCTCCATCTTACTACGACAATGAGGAGTTCACCAACTCTGGCTTTGAGGACAAGACCATCCGACAAGCCTTCATCAGAAAAGTAGGCCCTTTACCGTGTCAGATGGATTAAATGGGTCTGGTGAATTAGTAAATAAAGCATGTAATACAACGTATTAATATATAATATCACCAATACATGACGTCTCCCCTCGTCTGCTTCATTCCTCTTTCCCACCAGGTCTTCATGGTTCTCACAGTGCAGCTTCTGGTCACTTTCTCCTTTGTTGCTGTCTTCACCTTCGTCGATGACGCCAAGTACTTTGTGCGACGTAATCCATGGACATATTACGTGTCCTATGCAGTCTTCTTTGTGGCTCTGATCGTCCTCAGCTGTTGTGGAGACTTCCGCCGCAAGCACCCCTGGAACTTGGTTGCACTGGTAGGAGTCTGCCCTCATACTAAATCATAAAGAAGTATGGATCAGCTGTTGTCTGTTTACATAATAGGTAAACAGATTCATGCACAGTGAATGTACCATATTAATGCATTATGATCGACAGAAATATAACGGATAACTTTTGATAATTAATTGATCATTTTGAGTCATTTTCAAGACTGTTTTGAATAATTGTGGGCTAATTATGTTTGGGTTTTTGTATTGTATTGTTAAGACGAATCAGGGTTCAGAGGATAAATATGTGCCGTCTAATGCGTGATACACCGATCAGCCAAAAGATTAAATCCTCTGGCGGGTGAAGTGAATAACACTGATCATCTTGTTACAGTGCAAAGTTCTGTTGGGAAATCTTGGGTTCTGGCATTCATGTGGATACCACCTGACACGCTCCACCCACTTAAACACCAGTGCAGACCAGTCACCTCCCATTATGGCAACGGCACTCCTCAGTAGCTGTGGCCCCTCAGCAGGACAGTGCACCATGCCACACCACAAAAACTGCTCAGTAATGAGCCTTGGTGTCTGGCACCAGGGTGTTGGCTTCAGATCTTTTGAGTCCTGTAGGTTGTGCCACAACCTACAGGACTCAAAAGATCTGAAGCCAACGTGTTGGTGCCAGACATCAAGGGACACCCTCCAGAGGTCCTGTGTTCATGCCTTAACAGGTCAGAGCAAAGTCTGGTCCAAGGAGCACCCACGGTAGATTGGGGCTACCTCTAGTGTACCAGCACGTCCCACAAATGTTCGATCAGATTGGGATCTGGGGTATTTGGAGGTCAGGTCGACACCTTGAGCTCTTTGTCCCATTCCTTGGGTTATGCCTGAGCAGTTTTTGTGATGTGGCAGGGTGCATTGTCCTGCTGGGGGGCCACTGCCATAGATAAGTGCTGTTGCCATGACGGGGTTTATTTTGTCTGCAATGGTGTCCAGGTCGGTCAAGCACATCAAGTAGCATCCACATGAATGCCATGATCAAAGGTCTCCCAGCAGAACATTGCACTGCAATGGTTTTAATGTTTTAGCTGGTCAGTGTATGTCAGTTTTACAAACTGCAGAACTGTTTACTTCCTGTCTGTGAGAGTGGCTAGCTACCATTGCTTACAGCTATCTGACTGTCAGATGGAGGCCTTTCATGTTTTCAGGGAGTGAATGAAGGGATGAGGAGATAGAGCTGAGGGAGAAACTCAGAAGAAAGTTGATAAGGTGCAACCGATTTAGGATTTAAAGGAAAAAGGAGGTACAGAAACAGAAACTGATTCAGGACAAGCCCAGGAGTCATATGATAGAGAAACATGTAGGCTACAAATTCTGTGAAGGCAAAACTGTTGGGGTGTGGTATAAGATGATTGACAGGTCTTTTAATACAGGGATTAACACTATATAACAACTCTATCAGTGTATTGTTTTCTTATGCTGTTCAAGGGATTAACATCATGAATGCTTGTAGACACAGTAGTGATTTTCTTTTTCCATCAACATCAGTCAGTTATTGTGATATATTCCAGACATCGATCATAAAGACCGCATAGATTGTTCTTGATTCCAGATTGGTTCTTTGGTATGTTGATTGTCCATCTTTTCATCATCTCACCTGAATCTACAACATGTTATGTATGTCATAAAGAATGTTAATTTGAACGTATGTTTTCTGCAGTCCATCCTGACCTTGAGCCTGTCCTACATGGTGGGCATGATCGCCAGCTTCTACGACACGGATACCGTCATCATGGCCGTCGGCATCACTGCAGTGGTCTGCTTTACCGTCGTGCTCTTCTCGCTACAGGTCAGCACACACAAACAGCTGCTTGAAGAAATGCACTTGAATGTCTACAGACAAACATTGTAACTCTGGTTCAAAAGCAAAAGTAAGAATTTCTCCTGGTTAGTTTTTACATTGAGGTGTGTGACCCTAGTCAGTCTCACACACTGCATTTATATCATGTAGAGACAAGCTGAGAAAGACAGTTGCAGGTACTGACTGTAAAATCTGTCTTTTTGATTGATTTCTTAATTTTTCAAATGAAATATTTCAGGAAATAGCTTTGTGTGTCTTAGACTTAGACTCAAGGCAGGGCAGTTTTACCTGTATAGCACATTTCATACACCAGGTCCATTCAGTGTGCTTTACAGGGCAATAAAATACAGAAAAGTAAAGGTAAAAGGTGCAAAGTACAAGCAAGTGATACAGAAGATACAATATTTTAAAAGTAAGCTTGTGCAGTTTAAGTCATTGAAAAAAAATAAAATACATAAAAGAACACATTAAGTATTTATACATTTAGATGCACAATAAGTTAATTATTAGGCAGAGTATGCAGTGTAAAATAGGAATGTTTTAAGCTTTGGAGGTCAGAGCTTGTCACATATCAACTGGGAGGTTGTTCCAGAGGGCTATACTACGAAGCCAGTTCAATGTACCCAGGATATCTTTTCGTTATCTGGTTTGACCCACCCTAACATTGGCTGTCTAGATAACTGGTACTACAAAGCTGGTTATCAACCAGTTCAGTCAACTCTGGATTTCCCTATCCTGCTACGAGCATTCATGTGAAAGAGGCAGGGGTGTTAACTACAAGTGACATCATCAGAACCATGCATATGAGATTTGATGAAACAGTAGCACAAGTGTCCACGTTTACGAGACAGTAAAATGTCAGAGGCCTGCGATGTAAACGACAATCTGTAATTTTAAAAAGGAAAAACTACAAACGTTGAAAACCCTATCCAAAAATTCACGGTCATCCGAGACTTAAATTACATGTAGGTATCACTGAGCTATGGGCCTGTGTGAGATTAGAATAGAGTATTTTTTGCTGTTAAGTTGGATGATAATGAAATACACTTTAAAGTAACACCAGACTGTTTCTGCTACTGAAGTAAAGGGTGGAAAAGCAGTTAATAACTGACTGATGAGGTCTATCTGATCAAAATGTTGCATTTATAATAACAGGACCTTATTAACAGCGTGTAGATTATTTTACTTGTAAAATATTATCTTTTTTATCCTAGTTCTTAGCACGTAGGTGTCTCATGTTATTTTGAGCTGCAGTGATGGAATCAGAGTGTAAAAGTAGCACCACTGTCACTGCGGACAAAAATAAACTTTGCATAATTTCAAATCCTGCTAAAATCACACGTTTAGTGTTGTAAACTATTTCTCCATATGTTTGAAGCTCTCTTTCTAAGCCAGTGGAAACAGAGCCGTGGAACAGTGAAGTGATTCTACTGACCTATACCAGCATATAGGCTCCTTTTTTTTACCTGTCACTCTTGACTTTCATTCATGGATACTTTTTTCTTCAATGATCTGATTGGTCAGAGGTCAGGATGTTGACAGGCTGTGATCTGAGAGAACCACCTTCATAGTACTGAAAACCTTGAGTTTACCCTGAAGTTACCTCACTAACTCCAAATCCTGCTTCGTAGTACAGGCCTCAGGTCTGTGTTGCATGATAACAAGATGCTACTTCACAATGTTTTGTTCTAACTTTTGGCACGCCCACTAGGTCAGACCCAGATGTCCTTAGGGTTCAAGGAGGTTCATACAGCACTGTTAAAAAATTACTAACTTAATGGTTAACAGCTTTTTCAGTGATCTAATCTTAAAACAGTAGGTGCGACATAGGCTGATAGTTATTTAGTGCAGTAGAATCAAGACTTTACTGCTTTTAAAGAGGCTTAATTACTGCAGTTTTGAAAGCAGAAAACGTAATTGTTTGTGGTACAATACAGCACACAATAAACATAACATAAACACAGTTAAAACACACAACAAGACAAAAACTAAAGTGATAAATGAGACACATGTCGCACATCCCAATGCATAATATGATGCATGTTGTCTGACCATAGCTTGGTGAGTGATTGCCATAGGAACAAATGACTTACTGAGTATTCAGGCTGGTCTTGAAGTGAATTCCTGTACGTCCTTTAAGTGGTGAGACTCATGTCTCATCGAAGCTCATATTTTCCAACATTTTGACTTTTCTTTTCTCTCCTTCTTCACCACAGAGCAAGTATGACTTCACTTCCTGTCGGGGCGTGCTGTTTGTGTGCCTGATTGTGCTCCTGCTCTTCTCGTTCCTCTGCATCTTCATTCGCCACAAGATACTGCACATTGTTTATGCCTCACTGGGGGCCCTGCTCTTCACCTGCGTAAGTTTCAAAATGAAACATTAATCACATTAATAAAGCTCAGTGGTTGTTGCTTGTATTTAGTTTTTGCCGTTACGTTGCAAATGTCTAATTTAGTGCAACACGTGGATGTCATTACTTGAGGAAGAACAGTTAGTCTCATCAAAGGTCTAGTCGGGTAATTTGATATTTGTGGGGTAATGGCGTCCAGACAGGATACAGTTACCATTGGCATACAGTACAGACAGTTTTCCACCTTCCAGTGAACTTTATTTTGCTCAATAAGGGATAATTACATCTGCAGGACGTTTAATAGTAGAGCACAAACCGGATAGGAAAAAAAAATCATGCTCATCATGTTATTAAGATCTGAATATAAGAGCCAAATTCAACCAAAACAGCTGTTAAAACACTACAAACATTTTATTTTATGAGGGGTAAAGTAAGTGTTTAGTGCCAACAGAGGAGGTTGAAAACTTAAAGCTGAGGTAGGCAGAAATCTGGAAAAGGAAAAAAGAAATTTAACACAGAATTTGAAGATACACCCTCCTCTTTCAGCCCCTGCTTGACCCACTCTCTTTCTCTTACACTGTTTATCAGACCACAAATGAGATAAAAATTAGCTAGGTAGCCACCCCACAGTCCCTTTGCCTCGATCCCCACCGCTGTGGACTGCTTTTCCAGGAGAAGCAGGGATAAGCACCTCGGCAGGAGGAGCACTGCTTCTACCGGTGAGGTGGTCTGTAACATCGGAGAACGAGGCAGAGGACACACCATGATTTAAGGCTCTCACTAACGTAAGCTACATAAAGTAAACTTGAAGTTGCAGAAGTGAGCCTTTTGGACGTCGAATACATGTTCCAACACAAGTGGAGCCAGGTTGACAACCCTGCCTTTTTTTTGTCTGAGTCGTGTGCATGAGCATGATCACTGCATCAATTTGTGGTCCCATTTAAACGAAAGAGGGAGCTGCATTTACTCTTGCAGCTCTGCTGTCTGAGCGCGGCCTTAGGTAAACTTGAGAGGAGATGTGGGGAAAGTGTGTCCAGACTTTTGAATTGTAGTGTATGTATGATGGCCAGCTGGGGTCCTGTTGTGTGGAGTTTGCATGTTCTCCCCGTGTCAGCGTGGGTTTTCTCTGGGTTCTCCAGCTTCCTCCCGCTTAACTGAGGACTCTTTATTGCCCGTAGGTGTGAATGGTTGTCTGTATCTATGTGTCAGCCCTATGATTGTAAGGCGACCTATCCAGGGTGTCCCCTGCCTCTTGACCTCTGTCAGCAGGGATAGGCTCCAAGCTCAAAGAAAGAAAGCAAGCAAGCAAATATTACGGCCTGATTTATGACAGAACATGGCTATACATATTTAGTGTCTCTGAAATGATAGCTAATAAAATCATTTCTGTGTCATTCATTTTTGATCCCAAGTGTCAAATTCTCTTGAAATGACTAATGCCCTGCTTTTTTCCTCTCTGCAGTTTTTGGCTGTGGACACTCAGCTTCTCCTGGGCAACAAGAAGCTGGCTCTGAGTCCAGAGGAGTACATTTTTGCTGCCCTCAACCTCTACACTGACATCATCAACATTTTCCTCTACATCCTGGCTATTGTGGGACGCTCCCGTGAATGAGGCTGCACCTTGGAAAGAACAGGAGGGAGATAAAGAATGCCTCCCTTTATTGTGAAACATCGCTAACATGCTCTCCTAAATCCTTTAACTTTTTCTTCACTTTCTTTTCCCATGGCACTCCTCATTTTCTTTCCTATCACACACATGTTTTTTTAAGAACAGGTAGTTGTGCTGTGAACCAGATGCAGCCTATCATAAAAATCCAGCTGAGAGGGACATTATTTATTTAACACAAATCTTGCCATTAATGACAAAATGATTTCCTCAATTTTGACCACTCTGCTTGCTGTAACTGTCCTCTGCTTCTACTAACACAGAAGGCTACATTACCTATCCCCCCACTTCTGGTTTGGCTCGGCACAAACCGTGTTAAACATGTTATCCTGTGGATGCTTGGCACTCAGCCTTGCCTTGCTGCAGAGATTAAACAGAAAAAGAGCAGGGACGGTATCCTCAGCACCTAATATTGATGCAAACCTGCTTTGCCTGAAGAGAGTTAGTGCTAGAAATTCCCTCCGCTTTCAATCTGTCTTTTCTCCAAAACGTATCTCTCCCTTTGAGCCCGCTGGTGTTCAGTAACTCTGCATGGCAACACTGGAAACACAACTAAAGATGTGTTATGATTCTTTAGAGCTACCAGGGGGATACCTCTAGCTTGCTTGTCACAGCTGTATATAGTTATGTGTACTATTGTATATGATGCTAGTATATCCTACCCCAATGCCCCTGAAAGGCATGCTGGAGTGATTCGTATGGATGTGTTGCTTTTCGGGAAAAATTTGCTCTGATATCAGAACGTCACACATACCCAGTACTGTAACTAAAATAGTATAATGGCAAACGAATGAAGATCAATGTTGGATGTATATGACTAACAAGAACATAATATTTATAAACTATATATTCTTATGGAATATCTTTTCAAAAGGAAGAAGAAATTATGTTTTGAAATAATTTCCAAAGCCGACATGTCCTCTTACCCTTCTTCCTTTTTTTTCCTTACTGTCCTCACTAATTTCCTCTCATCTGGTCATTAACATGAAGTGACATTCTAGTGCTGTATTAATTTTTTCCTTATTATAATCAATGTGAACTAAAGTTTAAGTATAGGAATTTCTGACCACTCCTATGCCAAGCTGATCCAAGTTTCACAGCCACTGGATTTTAATATAACTCTCGTGAAGTAGACAGACGACAGACTTATAACTTATCTATTTATTGAGCTTGATGTAGATAACAGGGTTGCTTTGAGGTTGCTTTTGGCTGCTGTTGAGAAAACACAAACTCCACCTGGAAAGTTTAAAGACTATTATTTAAGGTGATTGTGAAACCATCACATGCTGGTTACACTCATAAGCTAAAGGAATCAAAATGCACTGGAAGCCGAAATACTCATTAAACACACACAACTTGAATGATATATTTAACATGAGCATTTATTTGTTTTGATTTTTCACCTCTTGCATGACTCTCTCCTCTCATTTGCATGTGCGGATAATGCGCACTGTACAGGTATTCCTGTTTTGGGGAGACACAGTGTTGTTTGGCAGCCCTGTTAGACTTTTTTTAACTCTTGTGTTTGTATCTAACTAACGTGTATGTGTACATAGAACTCCTTAGTGGTTTGATGTGTATAGATAAAGTCATTTCGGGGCTTTGTGGGTCTGTTTGCATTGTATATTTGCATTAAATCAAAGTGGAACCGCATTCCTCTACACTGCTGTTCGCTTTTCATTAAAACTGATACAATGTAAAGGTGTCAGACTTTGTGTGTTCATTTACCCAAGCCCCTCTGAAAACTTTTACAAAATATAAGGGTACAGTATGTAAATGAGAGGTAATAGTATAAATGCAGAAGATAAGTTTGAGGTAATTTATTAACATTGTCACTATTGCATAGACAGTGTTGGGAAGGTTACACTTAAAATGCAATAGGTTACAAATTACTAGTTACCCTGTTTGAAATGTAATAGGTAACATAACTGTTTTAGCTGCTCCATCAAAATAATCTAACTTATTACATTGGTCACTTGTTGATAATTGACATGTTTGAAACTGGGCTATCTAGTTAAAAACCTCTGAAAACATAAGTGCATATGTGTTGCATTCAAATTTGATCTGCATAGCTCAGAAATATGCCAAAAGGAGGCCTTCCTGCACAGTGACAAGATGCAAAACAACAGAATTAATGTTTTATTCAGACTCTGTAACTCTATGCCCCAACACTGCATAGGTTGTCAGCTATCAAGCTGAATCTTTATTTTTCAGTATTAAAATGTTCCTCTCAGTGCATATCTAGGTCACATGTCTTAAACAGGGTTAAAGAATGGTTGTTTAAAGTTTTCTTATGCCATATTTCTGTGTGAAAAATATTTGCCAATTCAGCATTATTGTTTTCTTTTCACTCTTGAATACTGACATCCAGTATGAGGTCAGGTTAAAGCCTATGAACTGTGGATAACTTGTTACATGTTATGAGCAATTTTGATTTTAAAGAACTGAACGTCATCAAAATAAAAATTAATCAAACTAAGTTTAATAACAAGCCATTTTTATAGTCAAAAATATAACTGCAAGTGATGTACATGGAGTTTTCAACTGTAAATGTGGATATTTGGAGTAGAAATTGCAGATTAACCTTACCCTGTAAGGGGAGGGGGTCAGCAGCTCAGTCTGCAGGCTCATGGTTTGGAAACAGGAGGGTTGTCGGCTCAATTGAATGTATGTATAAGTCTTGTAGATGCATGTCTGTGTATTTCGGGCCTGTGTGAGTGCAAAAAAAAAATAATTTGCCTATGGGGATTAATAAAGTATATCTTCATATTGTTTGTGATTGCCAAGGGGGTGTCATTCATTATTATTCATTGGTAATAAAACATTTGTGGACATATAGTATTAATTTTCTTCAAGCTACTGCCAAGTTTATGGCACTGTTTACTTCCCAACTACAAGAAATAAACACTGTTACAGCGTATTTTCCTGTAGTGCACGCGCGGCGCCAAACGTCGCGTTCCCTTCTCTTGCTCCAGTCCCGTCAGTTAAGTGGGCACGTCCGCCATTTTGAGAGTTGCGGAAAAGTCTCTTGTGGCTGGATTAACGATGAGCGAACAGGCAGGTTAGACGACATACGTTTTAATTAATTCACAAGTCACTATCCTGGCTAATTTCTACCGATTTTAAAACGCCTACGAGAAATATTTTATAAAACAGTTACTGTTAAGTTATTAACTTAAATGTAATTATAGCAACTGCCACTTAACTGTTGGCTTTGTAACGGCTTAGCCAACGTTAGCTAGTTTAACGGCTAACAATATCCTGTAATAAAACGGTGGTAACGATTTGCAGCAGAATAGACAGTAGTTTAGTGTCAGAATCTTCCTTGTAGCTGGCTGCTAACTCGATTATTACAGTTAAATACGTGTCATTTAATCTTGAAAAGTCATTGACAACGGCTAAACGTTATATTTAGGATAACGTTAGCTAAAAAGTAGGTTAACTCTCACACTCTGAGCCGAAACTTGAAGTGACATTAGCATTGTTGTGTATGCAGATAGCTTGTTAATCAACATAAACTTCAGAATTTTTAGCCGCACAGCTAATTTGGGCAAAATATGATACTACATTAAGTTCACCTTTAGCCAGGTAACACTCATGGACACAGTGGGACATGATGGGAAAATGAGACAAAAACTTGTTATGTATCTAACATTTATTTTCATTCAACACAGAATTCAGCATTGATGACCTGATTAATAATATTCGACTGAATGGAGGTAAAGTAGGGCCAAGTACAATTGAAACAAATCTTGAAAATCCCCAGAGAGGCTGATATTATTGTCTTTTCCTGCTTTCAGTTGAAGGAATGCAGGAGCCCGAAGTTGAAGAGTTGGTGGACAAAATAAGGAACATGCATGAAGGTAGTGTTTAACTGACTTGGACCTATCGTGTGTTTTAAATTGCTGGTGAATCAGATATTCTGAATCGTCTTGTTTATATGTTTGTATGAAGTACAGAAGAGAAAAGGAAGTTGACACGGAGGGTGTTCAATAGGCCTGGTCAGACCCAATAGCGACATCTGTCGGACAAATAGTAGACGAGTTTTTTTCTAGGTTACACTCTTCCACCTTCCGCGTCCTTCCGTCTTCGTGTTGAATTGCTGTGTTACGGCAATTTTATAAATTAACTATTAGCTTGTTATTTACCTGTTGTATAAAGAGATCATTCATACTGGTGTGAGTCCTGATACTACAGTCACGTATTCACTGTTCTGTACGTGCCAGCACTAATTTAAACTGGTAACTTAGCGATAGCAAGAGTTGGTGTACCATCTTGACATTGTAGTTAGTCTTCGTGAAACTACACTTCCGCTTCCGGTGATAAATCGCGCTGGGGTATTTTCTTTATTTATAATAAAAACAGTTAACACTGAGCATGTGAACCACGTGTAGCGTGTCCTATAGAGATAATCTGATCGTACGATGTGAAAAGTCTTCAACACGGGGGTCTGAGATTGATAAAAAAGCTTTGTAAAGATGCACCAATGAGAAGGCTCGTTGTGCTTTCCATATGCTAATAAACACGCGTTTCGTTTTAGTTTTTACAGAAAGGATAGCACACAGAACAAAAGTCTTTATACTCTTAACATAGTAATGGCCCGAGGTTAAGCAAAACTACACATGTGACAAATACAAATTGAACACTATCGTGGGAATTTCACACCATGAGTAAGACAGCTTTTTGTAAGGGTTATATCAGTTTTTTCTGCAGTTTTGAAGTATCTTCAGTAAGGTACATCCTTACCTGTTACTCCTTCTGAGGAGTATCAGATCGTGATGAATGGAGACTTATGAGATATGATTAATATCTCTGTCTTGTGGGGAACAGCAACACCCCACAGGACGCATTCTGATCTCTCTTGTCAAAAATAAGAATATGTAAGATTATGTGTTGGATTACTTCAGTGGCTTTTATACAGTTATCTAGGGAAATCAACTGCAATCACTCCTTAGAGTATATCATAAATGCGTAAGTGACTGTTGGATATAATTATACAGCTGCCGTGTTTCAGTTACACTGTGTTTTGTTCAGCTAACAGAGCCACGGAAAAAGACATTAAGGAGATGGAATCAGTCATTGGCTCTTTGCAGGAAGAACAAGCAAATTGTAAGACTCAAAATCATCACCAATAATTGTATTTGACCCACATAGTGTACAATATATTATTGTACCTGTTGCTGAGATGTAGTCAATGACCCACTAAAAGTAGAGAGTGACTGTATAGCTGTCCTCTAGGCAATCATTTTTGCACTATGTACCACATACAATAGTGTACATTATTACCAGGATTTTTTTTTTACAGTACAAACTGAAGCAGAGCGACTGGAAGGAATTCTTGAAGAACAAGAAGGTACACACAAACAATTGTACATTTGTAATAATTGTTGCCCAATAAGTATGAAGATTTGATGTCATGCAGAGTTAAAGTTTTGGTTGACTGTATCTGGAAACAAATCTGTCATCTGTTGTAAATATACACAGACAATAAATATGAATAAGCTGATGAGATGAAATGTTTTTCCCCAGAGTTGGCCAGGAAGGTGCAGATCCAGCGGGAGTTGTCTGAGCAAGCCTGTTTCAGGTAAATTAATCCCACTAACCAGTTTATGGATGTTTTTAATGTGTGTTGTGCTGGAATCTCAACATGACACATCGGCAGTTTCCTTTCTCCATATTGTAAGACCTCAGTTGTATGTTTGTGATATACAACACTAGATGGCAGCAATTTATCAGAATCCAGGATACTGTAATTTGTCTGGTTTCAAATCTTTTCTATATTTTTTAGATCTACTATGACACATAGTAGTACTTTGACACATTTTTTTCTTTAGCTGGTCTATTTGTAATGTATATTGGGACCTAATTACCTAATTTCCTTTTTTATATATACATTTGAAACTTTTAAAAACACTGTACCTTTTTAATCATACTTCTGTATCCTGTGGCATATACTGACCGGAGTCACCTCCACCAAGATTGTTTAAAATGTTAAAATTAAGATCACACATCACTGAATTTGAACTTTTTGCAAAGAAAACTTAATTGTTGTAGCACCGAGGCTAATGGGTGTATGACTCTGGACATCAAATATATATTTGTTGGTGGCAAAAAAAATAAGTTATATCATTTAGTAGACTTTTGAGTTTGGCACATATGTGGTTCTTTGTTTTTCCTGTCAACTGTTCACTTTATAGTTTAGCATGTTGTCTGTGTTGTTTACTTTCATCGTTGTTATAAATCTAGCAAGCTGACAAGCACATTTTCAGTTATGTGGTTATATTAGACTGCATTAGCATAATGTATGATTGATTGCATATAAACAGCATACTTAGGTAGTTCATGGCCGTAATGCAATTGTGGGTACTGTCACAGGATCATGTTATGATGATATATCATATCCAGTATTACACAAATCAGGTTTATGTTGTAATTGAGTTGTTCTTAAAGACATGTTACCTGTAGACTTTCTGTATATAGCATCCAATGTTGTAATATGAGGAATATTCTGCGATCTGTGGTGTAGTCTCTGAACAACAGGTCAAATTTTTGAAGTGATGATTAATTAATTTTTCACATTGTGCCAAGCATTGTTGGGGAGAAGTTAACTAAATGTAGTTCAATTACTATTTTAACTACAATATACAGTAGTTATGTGGCAGGTTAGCTACATTCAAATCTCAGTAGCTTTTTCAGTAGTTGACCACTTTGGACTATGTAGTTTATGTTATTGTGACAAATTACATATTCATAGTTTCTCATGGTGCCATACAATATGGAACAATGCTGCAGCTTACATTTAATGACCATCACCTGCTATTTGACTAAAATCACCTCTGGTTTGCAACCAAGATATCTGACACACCTACACTTTACTCAGTGTCTCTTCAGTTAAACCTCTGTGTAACAACATAAGATCGTTCATTTACCAGGTGTGATCATTTCCCATGATGTAGTTCATGAAAGTAGTTTTACTTTGACTTTTTTTTTTTTTTTTGAGAGCAGTTAAGATGTAGTTTTTCTACTCTTTATTAAATCTCTAGTGGTTTGGTAAACTACAGTTTTAAAGTAGGTGCCACATCTACTTTGCACTCTGTAGGTGCAATAATGGTGCTGGTCAAAATATATATTGTTTTATTTTATTATTCTGTATTTTAAGGCATGGTTAGATCGTGCACTCTGTGTGTGTGTTTTGCAGGCAGGAACAGGAAGACAAGAAAAAGGTGGAAGAGGTGGAACAGATCAGATGTCAAATCGAGGAAATCAAGTTTAAACATAGGAAACTGCGGTATGTATTAAAAGTGCAATGATTTATTAAATTTAAAAAATGCATTGTACAAACTTGTAAATGTGATAATGTACTAAAGTTGGCCTTGTTTTTGCAGGATGAAGTTTGAAAGCCAACTTGAGGAAGTGATTGTGGAACATAAGAATCTGTACAAGGTCTTTGTAAGTTTGTCTATTTTATATAAAACGTTTTCCCCACATATTTAAAACAGAATGATTAAATTGTGACTCATTTTTAATATTGTTTATGACTGTCATTTAAATTGATACCCAGAGTCCAAAAAATCTCCTAGATGAAATAGCGCGTGCTGAAGTAAGAAAATGTCAGCTGTCAGAAGTTGGTAGGTACATTTGGTAGGCAAGTAGTAAAACATTTATTCTTGTACATGCATGGGTAAAGTGTTTTTTGTCCCATTTCCAATCCCTTTGATCTGGTCTTGTTTTCATGATTGTTCCAGAACAAATTAAGTTGACTCACTTGGGCAACCTTCAAGAGAAGCTAGAAGAGATGAAGAAGCAGCCAGCAACAGCAGCTGCAGAGACTTAGGAGTGATTGTTGCCTGAGTGTTGGTAGCTCTAACCAGTTAATAGTTCCTATTGTCTTCAGGTCAGTTTGACATGTTTTCAAGAGTTTTTTTTGATCCTAGAAGTGGTTCTCTTGTATCTACATGCCCCAAAATTACATGGATGATTCTGTACCACACCCTCTGATTATAAAATAATTAATTTAAATAAAAATGAATTGTCACTGCTGTCATTGGATTTTGAGTGTTTTACTCAAATGTGCAACACCTGCTTCCAGGTCAGTTTGACCCAGTGGTGGATGGGTCACACTATTGTGCTTTCCAGCAGATGGACACTCACACTCACTCACACACACACACACACACACACACACACACACACACACACACACACACACACACGACCAGAGCTTCCAGACAATACACACTCAGCACTCAACTCCATCAATCCAAATAAACTGATCAGCAAACTGCAAACACTTGGTCTGGGAGCCCTTCTCTGTCAGTGGATTAAAGACTTTTTTAAAAACAGTTCTTTTCTAAAGTAATTTGCCTGAGCCGTTTGATTTATTTTTTAACAAATATTTAACCAATGTTAACTTAGCATTTTCTAAAATGTCTTTGCGGAGCTCTGGTACAAGTTGCACTGTCCGTGTCTGTAACGACTAATAATAAGTCTAAGCTAAATTTTTGTCTTCAGCAACTGTGTGTTGAACACGTAACCAGAACAAAATGGGATTGTTCCTGTTGCCAAAGGAACCATTAATATGAGAAATAAAACCACAAGAGTTTCACAAGTCATAGTGAAAAAGTCAGAAATCAGAATAAGCAGAAGAGAATGACACGTAGACTGACAGGTCTGTCACTCAAAGTCAGTACATGATATCCCTGTCTTTCCCCGTCTGACTTCATTCTCAACCTACATTAGAAAATTGCTTGTTATAAAATAAACTCAGCAACAAACCTTGAAATATGTATTTAGTCATCAGGGCTGAAAATGTGTTACTGATTTACCGTATTTCCTTTATATCGTATGAAAAAATAAATGCCAAAAGTTATTTCTTTTGCTACTACTTTATATTACTATTACTGAAGTCTGCTGCTGAATTCAGCATCATGTTTCCCTCATACCTGTTTTTAATAAATCATAAGTTAAAAAAAACGTGTAAACTGCATCGTTAATGCAGACGAGCAGAGGATTAGCTGGGAAACAACACATTTATTCACTTTACACAGAGCTACAGTTAATACTGAATTATGTTACGTTTGCTGAATGTGTTAGTATCTCTTAGTAAGTCATCAGAAATCGTAAGTCATCTTTAGAAGGACCAGAAGTTTACCTCAAGCTAGCTCGGGCCATGTTAAAGTTAATATTTTAATGGAGCAAGGTAAGCTAATTGCTAGCATGCTCGGTTGAAAAGGGGAAAAAAAAAAATGCTTTGAGGCGGTTGTCAGAGATGGCAGAGGTATGATAACATAATCCTGTTTGAGCTATAACAGGTGGTGTGTTCTACATTTTATTTCCCAATTGCTTTTCGAAATAAGAATAGAGTACTATAAACAAACTGTTACCATTGGAAATCGCTGGTTTCAGTTCGACGTCGAAAGTTGCACTCATAACTCAGGCAAGGAATCACGGGCTAGGAATAAGGTGGATAACATACAGTGACAATATAGGATCTATCCATCTATCTAACAATATACACTATATATTTGTGCACACAATCATGTTCAGTTTCACTTTAAGATTTCATAAAAGACTTTTATTGCAGTATTTCAAAAACAATGTAATACTCTCTGAGGTTTTTTTAAAAAACACATTGACCCTGTGCAACTGATTTCCCCCTAATTAATGCCAATTAGTTTTTACAGCCAGGACCACACACTTGCATATTTCTGAAAGCTAAACAGAAGGCACTTTAATAGTACAGTGAGGGTGGTCATTATCTAATTTGTTATTTAGCCCCTTTTTTATATAAATATGTACAATATAATCCAGTACAGAAAACAGTGTAACCCCTGAAGTGTCCATATAGTAATAGAACCTCCAAATCTGTGATGATCTGTAAAAGAAAAAAAAGAGAAGAAAAAACTTTAAATGGTTTGATGCCCAGTCAAGCTCTTAAGCAACCTGGGAATTGTTCCATGTAACTACATCTTTGGTTTACAAGTGTTTACAGACCAGCAAAGGGATTAGCAGTCTTGTGTAGGGCGTAGGTCTCAGAAGTCATTTGACTTGTCCCAGCTCCAGTACTGCAAAAAGTAGCTATCCTTTTTATCTTCTTTTCATTTATAATTTAAGTCAAAGGACATAGAAACAGGGGCACATTTCAAGTCTATTTTTGACATTAATTAATGGCAACTGTAAATGCCTTACATTTTTATTTACATTACATTAGACTAAACCTAGTACACTAACATTTGGGTTTCATAGTACTTTTATTAAAACTATACAAGCACTTTATGATAAACCAAGGGCAAGGATTAAGATAAATGGAGCAGTGTTCAATTCCTTTAACTCAGAATGAGGTACAAGGCAAGGCTGCCCAATTAGTCCACTCCTTTTAGCGATTTTTATTGAACCCTTGAGCCAGTGGACCAGCCAGAGCAGAAATATTAAACGGATATATATGAAGGGAGAACAGAAGATTTCCTTATTTGCAGATGACATATTAGTATATTTATCCGATCTGGAGCGCTCACTTATATACATTTATTCTCACTACTAGAACAATATGAACAATAGTGATTTCTATAGATTTCTTCAAGTTCGGCACCATATTGACCAACTGATGACGCTTACCTTTTGAACTCAAATCAAAAAACCATCTCAAGACTTTATAGGGGGCTGCAGCTAACAAAATGTAACTCCCTGTACATAAACAAAAACTGTTGGAGACAATGTGGGTGCTCTGATGCCAACCATCATCACATATTATGGTGGAGGTTCATACAGTTTTGCAAAAGGTATTCCAGGTGGACTGACCATTTAAAATAGAGACTGGGCACCTTGCCATTGGACAATGTTACCTCTCATGAGAGACACCTATTAAGGATTCTAAGTGCTGCTAGCAGGAAAGCCATTACCAGAAAGTGGCTAAAGTCAGCAAAACCAACAGCGTATGATTGGATTGACGTTATATATGAAATATTTAGGATGGAAAGGAATACTTTTTCTATTAGACTGCAACAGGGCAAGTTTTTCAAAAGATGAGAAAATTGGATGGTGTACATCCAACCTGTTCATTTGAGGTGAATTTACGTCCTTCTGAGTTGTTTTATTTTTAATTGATTTTATTTATCCTTGTCTGTAAACTGATGAGTATCATGAAGACACACCCCAACATTCTGGTTCATATGCGGAGTTCAGTTTGTCCCTTTTTTCTGTTTAAGTTTTTTTCTATGTTCACACCTATACTTACATTTATTTTATCGGTCCATTCTGGCTTCTGTATTACACACTGAAACATACTTTTATGTTACTTTCTGATGTAACGGTGTCCTACAGAAGGCCTGGAAAGATAGGGCTATAAGCCTAAAAAAGAAAAAAAAAAGCCTACTACACTAACATTTTTCACCCCACTCCTCAAACCTCAAAACCATGCAGGCCCCCTCTCTTAATGGTTACTTGACATCTTCAACCCTGAGAAGTGGGTCCATGCCTTTTTAGAAAGGTACCAAACACTCGGGTAAAGTTTACTGCAGGCGCTACTTTCTATCAAAGCTCTGCCTCAAAATTAGAGTCAGACATTATAAACACATTTTCTCACATTCTGATCTCACTCTACATTCTTGATAGTCTCACATATTTGCCATTACATTTTCACCCTTCATCAATTCTTCTCATTCTATTCCTCTTCATTTTCTCATCTCTGCTTTCTGGATTAATGGATTATTAATAGTTCTAACTTTGATGATGCTCTTGATGGGCCTTTGGCACATGGTTAACCCACAAGGACACTTTCTCCCACCTAGTTTCAAACAAGTCCCAGCTACACAGACACTTACAGAAACACTGGTATTGTACACAGTCATATACCGCCATGTTCTTTGACTGGCATGGATCTGTTTTCCATCCCTCAAGTAGACTGTGTACTGTCTCTCTCTTATCCTCTCTGATTCCCTCGGTCACGTTCATACAAGTTCAGTTAAAGGTAAATTGCCCCACCTTTTTCTTTTAGGTGAAACATTAGCCCATGCAGCCAGTACGCAAGCAGAGTCTCTCAGTCACCATATAAGGTCAAAGTAGTACCAGGTCTTGGCACACAGGCACATTCCAAACCCAATGGCTTAAGTTTGTTTTCAGCATTTGTATATATAGTCTTTTCAAGTTTTATGACTTTGAGTGAAAATCCAGGAAATGCTGCAGTGTTGAGCCACAGAGGTACTTTGATAGTGTCGTTGGCACATATGGGCAATGGGTCTTTTTGATCATCTTGCATAAATAGTTTCCATATAAAAGGTGGCTCCTCCATCTTTCGTTATCCCAGGCTATTCCCCATCTGTTAACAGAACAACAGGGATAACAATGAATGCAACAGTGCATGAACTCTCACTCATTTTCATCTGTCCTTTCCCTTTCTCGTCTCTACTGTAAATATTATGAGGGGACAGTCTTAAGTATGTTCTTATCTCAAAGACACTCAGATTTAACGAGTATACCAGTAAAAGTAAAACAACACATTCAGCAATATTTAAAATAGAATAATACTCAATCACATTTATATAGTTGTACTAGACTTCTAGTGTATATTTAAAGCAATGAACATTAGCTTGTCCACCAAAATTTATTTTCACATTTTAAAAGCAATGTCAAACATTGATCTATCATTGTTTGGGAATAAAAACTACTTTCAATTATACAAAAAACATAATTAAACACAAAACCCAAACACATTATTATTTATGTATATTTCAGACTTGAGACTTATTTCCATTTTCAAACTAAATAACTCTTAATAAAAAAATCTGAAGTGTCCTAATACCTTAACATGACTTTAAACATATCTTACCATTTTTATGGCTCAGAAAGTTGCAAAGAAATTGTTCTTTCACATTTTACTCTATAATTTTACTGTGTACTATTTACACAGTATACTGCTCCATCTGATTAACTCAAACACTAAAAAAGATTTAAATTTCTAACTGCTGGCTTTTTGTCATATTGAAGTTGGGGTAAAGCAAAAATAAAGGTGTGTAATGAGTTTGACATGCCACAGAAAAATGTGTTATTAAAGCCCCAGCCAAATTTGACTGATGAAAAAAGTTGCTGAGTTTATGAAGTTACGTTTCAAAATCATGGAGAAAAAAATAGGCAGTATTCTCTGCTCTGAGACGCAGGGGGCCTATCCGCTGAATGTGCTGAAAGCAGGTTATGGGAAAGCTGACGTGCTCAGGCTCCTATCATAGCACTACAACGGATGCTCCATCTAGCAGCTTTGTTGGATTTGTACAGCCATACATGTTTGAGCCACCAAAGCCAGATCCAGATTCGGAGCCAGAGGACGCTGACCTGTCCGAAAATCAACCTAGTTCTCCTCAGTCTGAAACAGAATGGTAATTTTTATTTATTTTTTCAAACTACTTATGCTGAGGATTGCTCAATTGCATCATTGATAAGGCTTTTAGCCCTGCCTAAAAAAATCCTGGACACAGAAATGGTAAAAAACAGTATAACTCCCCAATGCAGTGCTATAGAGTTCCCAGTATTTTCACGTTTTAAACAAGTGTTTTCTAACATGTATTATGTGTTTAGATGTAATTCCCAGAGTTTACTTTACCCCGACTTTAATCTAAACCACTGATTCCACTAATACGTCTCCACTATTCAAGTTGTTTACACCTAATGCTACTTTTGTTCATATCTCTTTCCCATCCACGCTGCAAACATCATCCTTGCAGTGATAGACTACCTCAAAGCGGCTGTAGACCTTCTTCTCCTTCCTCAAACTCTCTATCCTCTTCAGCAGTCCTTCGCGCTCCTGGACGTTGCCTGTTGGTCGGAGAAATCTGTTCTTTTTCAAGGAGTTTTGTCTCTCCAGCCCCTTCTCCCCGCTGTCACTGTCTCTGTCCCCTCCTGTTTCTTCTTGCTCCAGTCGATTCTTCTGGCTGTTGGCTGAGATCTGCCCTAGAATGACTTTGGTATCATCACGTAGGTTGCTGCTGAACAGAACAGAGCTGCCTGGAGCCTGGTATCGAGATGGGCCTGATGTCATGGTTGATGTCTTGTGATTAGCTGTAGTTTGGTCGGTTGTGGTAGGTCCTTTATCTTTAGCTGATGAACTCTGCTTTTTGCTTGAATCTGCAGTGACCTCTCTGACCGTGCTCATGCCCCTATCGTCTCCTGAAGATTTCTTCTCCTTATCCTTGGGCCCTAGGAATCCCTTTAGCCTCTGAGTCTGCTTCTTCAAGAAGTCGAGTGTCTTACCTTCACCCTTCCCCTCACCAAGTGTGTTGATGGATGTATTAGATCCCATTACTCTGGACTCATCACGTGGCAGAGTTGAAGAACTATGAGAGCGACTCTTTCTCAGTTCACTCTTCTCTGCGTCTGTAGCGTCTGTGGTAAGAATCTCTTCACCACAGGAGATGCGACGAGGATTCAGTCCTTTCAGCTTCAACGGATCCCTCTTGAAGAGCTTAGGTGAAGGAAGAGGTTTTAGGGACTTAAATATATCCTTCTTTTGACCCTCTGATGCATTTTCCTCTTTATGAGGTTGAGTTGTCTCTGAAGGCTTCAGGTGGCTCACAGGTCTGGTGGCCATCATGGGTGGTTTTGAGGAACTAAATGAAGATCTGCGACTGAGCTCAGCTAGTTTTGCAGATATGTCGGTCTTCTTTAGTTCAGGTTCTGCCGGAGTAACGGAGACAGCAGGGATCTTTGGAGTCATTGCAGTTTTTATGGGAGGTTTTTCAGAAAGGTCTGGCTTTTTTTCAGCAGGCTCTGGGATTTTTAGCGATGACTCAGTCTCCATTTTTGAGGCTTTTCTCTTAGCAGCCAGGTCTTTGAAATATTGTAGTCGACTGGCTGGGTCATTCATGTTCGTAGATAATGATGTTGTGTATTCAGACTTCTCAAGAGTTGGTGTCCTCCTTAAATCTTCATTGGTTTTCTGAGGTTCCACTTTTGATTTAACCTCATTTTTCAATCGAATCTCATTTTCCTCTTGCTGTTGCGCTTTCTCCCTCTCTTTTTCTTTTTCGGCCATTTCTCTCTCTGCCCTTTCTTTCTCTGCCCTCTCCTTCTCTGCCCTCTCTTTTTCAGCTCTCTCTTTCTCTGCCATTTCTTTCTCCGCCCTTTCTTTCTCCGCCCTTTCTTTCTCCACTCTTTCTCTCTCCCTCTCCTTTTCTTTCTCCTTATCTTTTTCCTCAGCCCTCTTTCTCCACTCAAAAGGCTCACGAGACAGTGACCTTCTCTTCTCTAGGATCTGGGCCACAATCGAGGAAGTGCGTACTGAGTCTAACTCTTCATCCACCTCTGTGGCTGGTTTTAAGCCAAGGCTACCACTGTGCATCTCTGCCTTAGAAGACGAGAATATAAGTGAGGAACGCAGACGAGAGCTACGTTGAAGGAGTGGGTTAACACGTGTGCGGAATGATTCATGTTTGGTCAGGAAGCTATCTGGAGCCTCTTTCACCTCCACATCCACACCCACTTCTCTTGCTGCACCCATTTCTGGCTCCCTCTCCCTTTCAGCTTCCCTCCCTTTTTTCTCTTGTACAAATGACTTTAGGTCACTGTGTGATGGAAGCAAATCCTTGCTTGTTGTTAGGGCAGAGTCTTTACTGTTGCTCTCAGGTAAGGTGGGCTTTCCAAAGCGGGGTCTTACAAAATCTGGTCTGGATTTGGGGGGAACATTCAGTTGCTCCTTTATTCCAAAGCGGGGAGCTGAATTTTCAGTGGCAGTTGGCTGCTGAGATGATGGAGGATCTTCAAACGCATCAGGCCCCATAGGTTGAGTCAGACCTTCATCTCCACCTTCTTCATAAGTGCTAAGATAGGAGTTGATTCTCCAACTCCTCAGGCCTTGCCTAGCATCCGCATCTTGCTCCTGCTCTTGATGAGACTGTTTGCCAAATGGTTTCTTCTCTGGTGGGTGGAGCTGTGTGGGTGAGCTCTGACAGGCATACGCCTGACCTATGGTTGGCCTTTTACTGCCAGAACCTCCTCCATACCTCCCAGCTAATGGATGTGCCTGGTGTCCCTCAGGTGCTCTTAAGTCCTCAGATGAAAAGTAGTCTCGCCCATAGTTTGCAGGTGGAGGCTCCAGATCTGAGCGAAAGCTTGAATCTGAATACTGGTCGATGGAGAGTTGTGGACGAAGACCTCGAAGTCTGTCGTAGTGTCCGTGGCCAGAGCCCGACCCAGGCCCTTCAGTTAAGTAATGGCTACTTTGGGTGTGCTCCCTGTAAAGAAAATATGGTCATTCTTAATTAGTTGATTTAAAATGTACTGTTACATGTAAAGACATTCACTCATATAAATTCATAATTCAGATTCCACACAGCTGTTGGTATTATAGAGTTAACTACCTGTGGAAGTCTGTCTCGTCTAGATTATTCATGACTCTGTGCTTCATGAAGTGCCTCGAAGATGTGTAGTTTTCCTGGGTTCCCTCTGCGTAGCTGTGCCTCTTGAAGGCAGTGGTACTCAACTCCATCTGCCTGGAAACTATAGACCTTCCCTGCTCCAGAAATGACTGCTGCAGACGAAACTGTTGCTGGGAATACTTTCCAATCGTGATTCCTGCGCCAGGTTCAATGGTGTGACGAAATGGATCAGCCCTTCGGAAAGGAAGTGCAGGGTTACGATCAGAGTCTCCATAGGGGAAGGCAGAGGGAATCTCAGGCTGTCTGCGGAAACCTATGGGGTTGCGCAAAGACTGGGTCCTCTTCAAACCAAACTGGTTGCCTAAGAAACTGCTGGTGCTGCTGGTGTCAGAGAGAGCAAGGGCTCCATCGGATGGGCCAATGACTAGAGGTTCTGACTGAGCAAAGAGAATGCGAAACTCTTCATCAAAGGTGGCGACCAGCTCCCCGAGGAAGAGATGGGCAATGCAGCGGTGGATCTTCTCGTAGGACCACATGAAACTGTAATAAATATAAAAGTACAGTGGAGGCAATTAAACGACTTGCATCTACAGTGTGAATAGCAAGGGAGTCTTGGGAATTCAATGAGCACATAACAAACATGCTTAAATTACTCACCTGTAGTTGCCACTGAGTACAGCTCTGCAGTCAGCCAGTAGTAAACGATCTTTCACCTGCCCCTTAAACGATTTCCCCGTCCGGGAATAATAGGTTATTCCTGGCACAGTCCTGACACGCACCATCTGCAAAACCAAATTTCAATCATGTAAGCCTTAGTGGTAATTACTCGTTATAAATACATTAATGACACAAAAAAATGCCAAAGGGCAGGCAACTGTTTTTTGAGGAAATGTAATGAAATGCAAACTCACAGGATGTAGGTCCAAGTTGACTTTGCAGTTGAAGACCATAGAGACAAAGTGAGGGGCTTCCTGCTCATCCAGTAGAATGTAAACAGGAACGTGGCGTGCTGCTGCATCCAAGAGGTCAGCAAAAATGTCCACATCTGTGAATGTGTCCATCACCACGGCAAGAACCTTAAGCAGAAAACCAAGTACAAGAGCATTTGTCAAGGTTTGGTCATTATAATATAGTCTTCGTTGCACACTTTTTAAACCAAAGTTAGCACATGTATGCAGGTTTTTTAAGTGTGGGAAAACCCATTAAAAATAGATGATAGACTGCTTTTGCACTGCCAGTGGACCAGAGCAGTGTACAAGGCTCTGCAGCGGGCAAGTATGTTCAACGACACAGATGGGGTGGAAGACAGGGTTAGTAAACAGTATAAAGCAACATGGAGGCCAGTGAAGATGGTACAGTGGGTTCTCCTTATTATATCTGTTACTTATGCAGTATTTTTATCAAATTGGGTGCAGGATAAATTTCAAACGATGTTCCAATGCTGCTTGGATGGAGACAGTATTTTGTGGCAGCGTGTCGGCAAAGGGGCTAAAATTAGCATGCCCAACTGGGTGTCATATTTCAATCACTGCCAATTGAAGTTGGAGCCAATAAGTATCCGTGACTGCAGCCATTTGTCCCAGGAATGAATGCTAATTGTAACCTTTTCCATTAAAAACAAAAGCCAGATGTTAGTGGGTTGTTTGTCCAGTGGGAAAGAGGCTTCAGTCTAGTTTTATTAATATTATGTAATTTCATTATTTTCTTTTATTTTAACGATTCTGCCTTGTTTCTGTTGGGAAACTGAGTAGCCGATTTAAAACTGCAACAAGTTGAAGGTGCTTTAGCAGTGACAGTTCATTGTGTTTATCAGCAATAGAAGATAAAGCATAGAACATTATGCTCTCAAAACGCGCTGTACATAATATTGTACGTGTTTATGGTACTTTTGATAGGATTGCATAATCATTGCTCCTGAAAGTGTGAGACTAAAGTAGGAAGTTAAGAAAAATGAAATACTGATTTAAAATACTGCAGATATTGTACACATGCACCACAGTGACGTTTGATATCACACAACTGAAGAGAGGTTTGTATTCCTCACTCAACTGCATTGAGTAAAAAAAATATATATATATCAAGCCTATATCAGGTCTTACAATGAGTACATTGTCTGTACAATAACATCTCTTAGACAAAACATGCATGAAACCACATTCAGTGTATCAGCAATAAAATGTAGGTTAATCTCTTTAAAATTTACATAACAAACAAGGTATAGACAGATTTATAACCCCTCTCTCAGGACCTGTCTATATTCCATGTGCATGTTCAAATCTATCTATATCTAAACAAATCTATATGCCTGAACGCAGGAGAGCCACACTTGTAAATTTTGTCACTAAGACAGACATGGAGGACAGACTACAACACGGCCCACCACACCAACAGGTTTGATTGCTTCTGACGTTTGGCAAATTGGCATCTGCACTTTGTGCTAATTATATTTTGACTTTAGGCCAGTCAGTTAAAAATTCATCTAAAAGGGTGTGGTGGCAAAGTTGGCAGTGGCAGATAACAAGTAAGATTAAACTAACAATAAGATAGCATAACCTACGCATACTATAGTCACTGGCAACCCTTTATCTCTACTGTTTTTTTCTTTGAAGAGATAAAGATTGATTTGTATAGTGCACACTGATAAGACAGAGAGAGAGGATACTCCGCAAGAAATTATGTATTAATTTATTACATCATTGGTGTTTACCACCTGTCCACTTTTAAATTAGCTATAAAGAAGTAGGGTATGTGCATAGACAAAAAACACGTGGCACATTTGTTGTTGTTAAACACTGAATAAATTGGAATGCTTTGATCTCATCTTCAGATGCCATGTTCCCTCAGAAATGCCTTTTGAAAACAAACTGGATAATCAAGTTTAATTCACCCTGATTCCTCTCCCTCCCTTTTACTTACTTGGCGTGCATTCTTGATGAGTCTCCTGGCCTGCTCCTTGATACTTGGCATGTCTGGGTCTGATGGGTTGACTAGAGTGGTGACCTCTGTGGGCCCCATGAAGCTATGCTGTTGCATTGGCCAGCCCAGGTCCAGCCCGGGGGCAGCCAAGTCCGACTGTACCGGCCAGTAGGTGTCTGAGGAGCCATCAGCGTCATGACCCCCGTCATGGTACGTAAGCTCTGGGACGCTGGAGGTCGGGTTGGGCGTCTGGAGTGTGGACTTGATGAATTCAATTTCCGACTGTGCCAGGAAACCGACCACATCTGCAGTCTGGAGGAACTCATAGTATCCCTGGTGTGACAGGTAATATCCAAATTACATCTTAAAACCAATGTATATGTGTTTTTGGAGTATTGTAAATAAATATTCATGACAGACAGACACACATAAAAACACACAAGAAGAAAACTGTAGTGTTACCTGTATGTCATTTTCTATCAGAGCATCAATGGCCAGGCGGTACTCCTCACGGTAATGTGGGGGCAGGTAGTTTGGGTCGAGGGGGTTATCACCAACTGATGAACTCTGAGATCGGTTTGGCATGGTTGGAGAGAGGAGTGGGGTCAGAGGTCAGGGCTCAGGTGAGGGGAGGCAAGGGAGGAGGAATTCAAACCTGTATAGAAAAGTAGGAAAGAAAGAAAAGGTCATTGCGCAGAGAAATTATATCGGTAAATTAAAAAATGTGACGCACAGTGCTCTTATCAACACATTGTTTGTTCAGACGTCTCTGCAGCCTGACTTTACAGGTTTCTAAGAATCTCAGAGCAAACAGGTACACAAAACAAATACCGTCATGTGTTTAGTCACATTGCTTTTCCATCTAGATAACACACCACTCCTCGATCTGTGATATACAATACTCATGGTTCAACTAAATATCCCTCTGTGTGGTGAGAGGAAAAATGCTCGTCACGACACACAAAAAGACAGATTACTTATAACGACTTACACAAAGAGCTTATTGTTGCTGAGTCAAAAGCTTGTGCAGTTTAACGATTACACCTTTCATATTAACACACCTTTACCAGCACACAATACCACATGGTAATACTCAGGCAGACGTTAACAGTTGTGACAGATTTTCATAGAAGTGTTGATTTTTTTTTTTCAGCTACGGGCCAAGTTTCTACGTTTATAAGGCGAGTAAAAGCAGACGTGAAGAAAAAGGTGCAAATAATTCTAAGAATCGTAAAAGCCCCTCTCCAGTGACTTTTGGCATTTTTATATTTCTGATTTTTCTGTGTCATTTCCTGACAATGTAATTACACTGTTTGAATCGATATATAAATCCAGATTGATGTATCGCTGCACCTCTAGTAAATTAACATCTACAGACTACAGTGGGTTATGTGAGGAATGACATCACAAGCACTGGTACTGGCAAATAAATGGCTATCAAGACCCAAAAATGGAAGCCTTTGTTAATACAAAGTAGCGGATATACAGAATGGGTAACTCACTTATCAAATCTACTTATACATTGGCAAAAATACTGATTTAAAATTGGGGTATTTCATTAACTAGCAAACAAACTAGTTGCACATATCAACTGCCAGCTAAGTAATTAAGCTAAGCAGTTGCCATTCAGAAGTAACTGAGTTCCAGCTAACGTAATTCTCCACCTCATAACTTATATTAGAGTGACCGCTATTGCTATCCATGCTAGTATCTATGCTATTGCTTTGACGCATACAGTACAACGGCAATCTGGTTGCTGTGGTAATGGACTATTAACCACACCCCTCTCTGTTTGAGAAAGAACATAACCTTAAAAACAGGAGGAAACACTGGCTGGAGTGAACTCTACTTATTAAGTTGAGGTTTATGGTTTGTTTGTTTTTACAAATGCAAAATAGGTGTGGTACTCTCACTAAACCAAAAACAAATGTTGACAACTTGTGTAACATAATTTTTGAGTGGATGACCCGGTACAGTAATACAGAGAAATACAAAGGCATAGTTTCCAACTTCCTAAGACAAAACATCTGACCCCAATGCATCATGTGAGACATTTTCTATCTTCTCTGGCTCCCTAATCTTATAGTTAGACTCTGTGAGTGAAAGTTAATGGAACTTTGTTTCCATTTATGGCATTATGCACTCTGCCTAATTGCCTGTTTAAAAATATCTTAGTCTGGCTTGTGAGAAAACTGCATACAAAAGGTAAGAACAAAGTAAACCAACAGGATATGGAAAATACAATGAGAGTAAGAAAGAAGAAAGTCAAGTGAGTGAAAGGGAGGTGTAAGGGAGAGGTGGGAAAGGCATTCAGAGGTGTATAGACAGGTTCTCTCATTTGTTTTAATCCTGGTGCGTCACGCTTCAAGTTGCTCCTCAGACCTCATCCTCAAAACTCTGAGTCAGTCATAACACACAAATTGATTTTGGAGGGCACGATGAGTATGCCATGACTTGAACTTAATTTGAGTCAGTGAAAGGAACATTGTTACACAACAGTTTGTGAATGTTTGATTGTTTAAATGCAACAAGGCTGGAAAAGTTCTGGATTATTTTCAGATCCAAAGGCAAAGCTGAGTATCAATCATATAATTATATATGTGGATAAATTGATTTATTATATAAGATAAAGACAGTAAGCCACCATCTAAAAACAACATAGATGAAAGGCAAAGACAACTAAACCGGATACACAAAGAAACCTTATGACAACAAAGCACAACAAGGAAGAACATAATATTAATGAGGGCTGTTGTCATTATCGATTCATTTGCAGATTATTTTTTAATAAATAATCATTAGGCCATCATAACCTATGTCTTTCCTGACCAGCACTTTAAAATCTAAAGATGTCCAATTTACTACCACATGAGAAAAGCAGCAAATCCTCCCAACCAAGAAGCTGAAACTAGGCAATGTCTGGTGTTCATACTTGAAAATATATTTTTTGATTATCATAAGAGTTGCTGATTGATTTCAATGAACAACCAGTTTCAGCTGTAATGATCACCTCAGCTGGCGCATATTGGTATTTGGTCGTATTTACTTTGTGAGGTTGGGTGACTAAAATTAAATGCCTGACATCATTTTGATGTAGAATACTGACGACAAATTATGTTAATATTTTGTTGGTTTTAAGTTTTATGACATAACAACAAAAATCCAACATCTTTCAAACGTCTCATGCCAACGTCATTTAGTTGAAACGTATGGAGAAGAAAACCCAACGTCTGCAAAACGTCATAATGAAATGCTAACGTCAATAGTCAACTTGGTTTTCATTCCAACTACAATTTAACAACTGTCCAACATAAAAGTCCAGCGTCTTTCTGATGTTATGATGATATCCGGTGCCATCTGTTGGTTAGGTCCACTTTGTTTAGTGTATATTTGACCATGATTATTGGACAGCTGTATAAATATTTTGTGGTTTAGTGTTGTGTTGTCAAAAATATTACTTTGTAGATTTGTTGTAAATATTTAAAACAGTTTCAACACTTATTTCCGGCAGTACTGACACACTGGTACCAGCTGCAATTCCTCGCTCCATCTTATTGTTAGTGTTTTCTTCAATCAGTGCCTGGTTATATTTATCTTTTAATAATAATTTTTAAAAGAATCAATTACAAAATTTGCCTGTGGTATTGAAAATGGTATCACATATCAGCATTTTTCAAGGTATTCAAGATACCAAAGATAGAAATTTCAGTATCGTGACAACACTAATTTACTGTATCTGGTCCAAACAGATAAAGCAGCCGATCACTGACAGAGGTCCCAGGCCAGATTTCAACCCACAACAAGGTCATGTGATAGCCGACGGTCAGCTGAGCCGACCAGAACACCCCCTCATTGATATTTAATGTGTTCCTCCTGACAGCTGCATACTGGACAGGTCATCTAATGTTGGAGATCTGGGTTAACAACCACTAAACATTTCCAGTATCCAAAGTAAGCTGGTTAAACACTCGGGAATATAAGTGATACATTCCTTCTACAAATTGCATCATGTGGTCAAAACAGGAAGTGTTTGTGACTGTGTGGATATATCACCAGGGAAACGTACAGTCCTAGGAACAGTGGTTGATTGACAGCCTTGGTACATGATCAGGGTGTGTGTGTGTAACCTGGGGTCTGAGTGGGAGGGTGAGTAGGTGTTTTGTAAGGTTGTACCTGCTTTAAAAGAGTGTTTGACGTGTTTTCTGTAAACTTCCACAAATACTTAAGAGATCGGTGGTGATAGCAAACGGCCCTTAGTTCAAACCCACAATCAGTGGGAGAAGCCGGTTTACTCAGAGGCCTGGTGAGTCACCGGGTCGCCCAGCCTGGCCTAGCCTGGGGATAACTTGCAACATACTGCTCTGTGGTGATTCATCTGCTGGCAAAATGGCTGACATCCTGTTTCCTTGCTCCTCTCGAGCCATAGAAATTGGGCCTTTGTGGTGTGCTGTTCCCATTTAAAAGTTCCATAGTGGGCAGAGCGGCACGTTAGCTGCACATACTGCTTTCATGGAATAATTTCACTACTGCCAAGTATAGAAAATGGAAGAATCAAAACTACTTTGATATGATTGGTCCTACATTTCAAATAAATCTAGCAGCCTGGGGCTTGATCTGTATACAAGTGAATTGTGCTGAGGCAGCAGTAACGTGCATACCTGAGGACTTGTGATAACAGCCATAATCTGAGATGTGCACCTGCCTGTGCTCGTCATAATGTTTAAACCTCAGGGAAACCATCTACCACGTCTGGCAACACTACAACCACCAAAAAAAAAAAAAAAAGATTGCATGTGCCTTTCGGATTGTGAAATAGTGCTCCTGTTACTGTCTTTGTCTGTTACAAAAACAGAGAGGGCTGCAACTAACGATGCAAATTCTGACAACTGAGGAGCTGGAAGTAGACATGTTTCAAAACCATTTTTTCCTTCCTGATGCAGATTCTGCTACCTGAACTTGTGGATGAGCCGATACTGAGTACAAATCCAGTACCATTGCGTTAAAACTGAACAGCTGTATACTACGAACCCTGCATGGATGTGAAATGATTACTGTCATTGTATGGCACAGATCAGGTTAAACCCTTTGTAAAACATGAACAAATACACACAGAGATGAATGCTGTACATGTTGCCTTTTTACTGGTGGGGCTTTCCAGAGTAAATTATTGCCAAATTGCAAAAAAAATAAAAATAAAAAATGCACAAGTTGCACTTTTTAGTGGAAATAAATTCTGCTTAAACAGTTGTAGCTTACACAGTGCAACTTGCTGTGTAACAGTAACGAAGAAGATTTGATTCATAGGACAAGTGCAGTTTTTTCCAGGTGCCACACATCGGATTGGATCAAGCTCTGTTTGTGTTGCTCACCCTGTGAATTTATCAACGCTTCTTCAACAAAGTGTAGATTTACTGAAGCAACTCCACCTCGTCATTCATCCAGACAAATGTTTGTGCGGGTGCCATTTTTTTTGTTTATACATCACCGCTCTGTAGAAGGAAGCGCATGTGCACAGGCACGTGTTGTTTCATTTACAAAGTCACACCGATTACTGGCCTGGCATGTTAACTACAGCGTTTTTGGTTACTTTTGTGGATCTGTGTGCATGGCCATTGTTAACAAAACGTTGTCTGAACACTGAACTTTTTTCAAAATGAAAATGAGAAATGATTCCAATTTCAGCGGATTGTTTTCGAGTAAACATGGCCTCAATTACACGCCGATACACAATCCACCATTTTGGGCAGTATCAGAGGCATTTCTCATACTGGTATCAGTATCAGAAGAAATCTAGCTGGAAATACATAATGTTTAGTATTTTTACTTGAAAAATTAATTAATTGATTGAATATTAAACCAATCCACCTTAGAGGAACCCAGGAAAACCTGTGTGAGTTGTCCCTGAGGGGAACATGAGCTATATGGGTGACTCAAGCGCACAGTAGCACTAAAGAGAGCCCAAGGGGGGGTCTCTCTTTCACCCTCCTGACCTCTGGGTCATTGCAGACTGAGGCAACAGAAGCATAACACAAGAAGCATGGCAGCCTTTCTTCACCTCACCTGCACCACTGGTAGGATATTCAAACAAGTACTGCTGCTTTGTTTGTTGTTATAGCAACTTCAGTAAACATGATCAGACCGTAGACAGTGACATGTTGATAGAGATCCGTCTGTCTCTCTGCATCCCTCCCGTAGTTATAAAGCTTTCCGTTGCCCTCACAAGGATGAGCCTGCCCTAAATGCACCACTTACAAAGCCAGTTGGAAACACTAAACCGCCACAGGATAGGCAGGCAGCAACCGACTGCTGCTCCTCAAGGCTGATAGACCCAATATTTAGATGTGCCCAATGTTTGTTCACCAAGCGTGTAAATGGCTCATTCTCAGCATTCCTGCCACGAGAAGAGGGAGAGAAACAGTTCATGAAGAGCTGAGAGAGGGAAAAAAATTTCTATCTGTCTCAACATGTGAACCAGAGAAAAAAGCCTGGGGAGGCAATAACTATTGAGCACAATCCCCAAAACATATTTTCTGTTTTCTCTCTCTCTCTCTCTCTCTCTCTCTCTCACACACACACACACACACACATGCATCTGAACACTCCTCACTAAACAAACACTACGATTGATCCGGCATACCTCTTCGGTCGATTCACTTTGTGTGATAATTCGCTGTGAATGGAGTGAGAAAACAATACCTGAAAACAGGTTTGGAGGGATGCGCCAGTAATCTCTTGATGCTCCTGTCAGGACCTTTCAGTGCCACTTTCAGCAGTTCAACACACACACACACAAATGTAGATAAGGGCAAACAGAGCACAACTTGTCTCTCTGTGTATCATCACACCTCAGAGCGACTGCTGAATGCAACACAAAAGACAGCTCAAGGTCAGGCAAATGTATACTGTATGTGAGGACAAGCGTTGGCACCTATCCTCCCTTTTTACAACTGTGTTTAACGTAGCAGCACTGCTAGAAAAACAGGTCCACTGAGGTCCTCGTCATCTGTTCCAACTGCCTTAATGTCTGCGGTCATCTTGAGTGGAAAACCCAACAATAAAAGCCGAAAAAAATGCTTCTCCTTTGCTCCTACTCTCCCCCAGAAGCACTACATGTCTCGTACATGAGTTACAACCACAGACAATGGCCCCTTGTAACACATACAATGCAAACAAAGCAAAGAATGAATGGGATGCAGCTCAGGCCATATGGCTAGTGTGACAAGATGAAATCTATAATAAGAAGCACACATGAAGAGACGCACCACAAAAAAAGCTGGCACCACAAAGTTTTTCCCTCAAATTATAAACACATGGTGGATTATTCCGATCCAGTGAGTCACTTTGAATGAATCGAGGCAAAGCCTGCAAAGGTGAAGCCTGAATCAATACATTGCTTGTTTGGGTCAAAAACACAAACAACATGGATCTATGTGTGTCATATAGATACCATAGGAGCCTATAGATCAAAGTCAGTAGGAAATGACATGTGAAGGTTGTCTTCCTTGCTCAACACACAAGGCTGTATGATTAGAGGACAATGGTCTCGTGTTATCTCGCCAATTATCTTTAAATTAGAGGGATGTAAAGTCACCCTATTGATATGACCGGCAATCCATACATAGCATTGTGCAACTAATGCATTGGGCGTGCTTGTAAAAGTGTCTCTTCCTTTTCAAGCATTACTTATCGCCTCCAGTTCCTCACAATAAAGCGCAGACAAAAGATCTACACAGTCTGACAAGAAAGTAGCTGTTTTTCTCTGTCTTGAATGTCTTCAAAGGACAGCAGAAAGAGCAGCATAGTTTGTCAGTGCCAGCCAACGCGGAGCCGTCTGTGTGCTTAAACTGTAATAACAATACTGTTCAGGTTTTGCAATGCACAACACCTACCTGGATGACCTAATCCTCTGTAAACTTAAGACTGCTCTTGAGGAAAGTAACCAGCATTTCACTTTTTTATACCACACACATTAATGGAGTAATGAATAGAGTAGGCATATCTAGGATGCAGTTAGAAGATAGGAAAACAGGACATAAGATAATACAATAGGGCAAAAATACAAAGAATAGAGTAAAGCAGGATACAATTACAATAGAATAAAACAGGATAGAGTGGTACATAATAAGATAAAACAGGGCAGGATACAATACAATAGACCCTCTATACAATTGGCTCTTTTGTTGATTTTCCACTTGCAAACCTCGCTTTTATTTCCACATCGTACCTCCCAAATTAGTTGCAGAACTTGTCTCCTGTCTTCTCGCTTTCCCCCGGTGAAACCGCCGATGTGCGTCTCCTTCCCGTCGGTGCGTCACATTCCCCACTTCGGGTACCAACTCCACCCAAACCCCCGGTGTACACCCTCCACTGCCAACCAGCGAAGACAGGCGATGACGTGGGGCCACACGGACTCCAGGCCCGGGCTGAGCGTTTCCCTCGGCGGGGTGTGAAAATCCAGAGCTGCCGCCACTATGGCACAGAGCAGCGCGCTGAATGAGGAAGAAGCAAGGCAAATCCTGCTAGGCAGGGCTTTCCCACCGGTGTGGCTCCTCCCAAACCCGTTAATCACCGAGAGCACAAGATCATTGGCAGTGCACTCCCACTGGTGGATTTCAAAAGTGTTGGTCTTTATGTCATAGCTGGTGTTTTATCTTGCCCTTGTGACACAGAAGTTTGTCCAAACCTTCACACAAAACTCTTTCAACATCGTTTTTGTAGCCTTTGGGCCAAGAGCAGCCTTGTTCAAATAAATCAGACTATTCTACCCCTCTAGCAATCACTATTTACACTGGTTGTGTCTTAACACTGCTTTGCACTTGTTTTGTTTGGTCTTAGCACCTTATTTATTTATCTATTATTTATTTTTATGTTGACTACTTGTTTGTAGCTACTCCATAAATATTACCAGTGCTGGAGTAGCTCCCAGCCTTTCAAGCTACCAATTACCTCACTCTGGAAGAAACAGAACTACAGCAAAGCTCGGGAGAAATCTAGTTTGGTTAAATCACCCTCTTAAATAAAGTAGTTCAAACGACTTTGTGAAAAGTTAGCAAATTAAACATGTACATGTGATGTGAAAGTGTCACAAAATATATTACAAAAAGTCACACGCCACTCTGCTGAGTTTGTTGTAAAAAGTGCTGACTTGTTTACAGGTTAACCATACACACACAAAAAAACCCATTATAAATGGGAAAGTTTAGTTTTGTATTTACAACAGTCACTTACACTTTCAGGAACAAGACTCCAGTTCAGAGTATTGCACCACATAGAATCACTCAGTAAGCCAGCTAACCCTTCTAATATAACGTGCAAGAACTTCTCTAAACATTTATTAATAAATAAATAATCTATACTTCTGACTACCTGTGATTATAATCATTATAATTATTATTTTATTTGCGTAGCACAGTCCATACAGAAAGTGCAACTAAAAGTGCTTTACATAGAAAATGGGAAAATACACATAAAAGACAGGGTAAGATGGAGTAAATAAGATTCAAACACACACTCGCACATACATTAAGATATGAATTAGGTTTAATACCAATTAAGTAAATAAAAGTGACGAAAATGTAAGTCTAAAAAGATAGGTTTTAAGATTTCATTTGAAGCTGTCTGTCTGACGTTCTCTGGAAGGCTGATCCAGTGATGAGGGATGTGGAATGAACGGGAAGCCAATGAAGAGACTTTAAAACCAGTGTAATGTGTTCTCAGTGTTTTGTCTTGGTGAGTAGCCGTGCTGCTGCATTTAGGATCATCCGTAGTTTGTTTAACATCCTGAGACCCTGTGTCCTCATATGAGGACATCTCATTTTGGGTTTACTGGACCTTATTCTTCATTCTACTTAACTTAGACCTGTTGTCCTCATTCGTGGACACTTTTTTGTCCCATCTAGTGGCCCTGGCAGAGCACCGAAAAGACAATCAAACTTGACTATCTAGAGGAAATAGAAGTCGTAACAAGGTTTCCGTCTGTGAACATGCAGAAGGATAAGTTACACAATACACTAATCCATTTAATAACAAGATGGCAGCCATCTTTGCCAAGTCAGTCTGCAGTCGATCCCAACACAAAAGTGGACAAGATACAAAACCTGATCACATTTTATGATTTTAAGTTGTTTATTTATGATTAATATTGTTTGTAGTTTGATATGGAATATAAATGTGACTAATTTTAGCAACCGTAACAAGCTAAGACACTGTTAAGAAATTAGGAAGTACTTCTCTGAGGACATTGGGACTTAATTATCATTGACAATGTTTAGTTTTTATACTTATCCCCCTATACTTAGCCCCCTCACTCTGACATCTCTCCACTTTGTGCATGTATAGGTCCTGTTTGTGCATGTGTGTGTCTTTCGAACCTGTGTGTAATTGACAAGCAAGAGTGAAAACATTGAATTTCCCCTCAGTGGGATTAATAAAGTAAATAAACTTAAACTTAAACTTATCAAGTCCTACTGATCCCAAATAGCTTGGAGAAATTAAAAAAGGCATACCAAACAAAAGTTCAGGTCTCAGGACAAGGCATTACAGTAGTTAAGTCTGCTGGAGATAAAAGCAGTTTTTTTTCAATGTCATTTTTAGATAAAAAGAGATTTTACATGGACAATATTTCTGAGATGAAAAAAATGCATTTTTGGTGATGTTTCTCACTTGGGGTCCAAAACACAGGTCACAATCAAAGATGACACCAAGGTTCTTGACCTTATGCCTTTTGTTCACAGCCAACTTTTGCAAATGACTATTACATTGAAATTGCTTTTCCTTTGATCCAAAGGGGGTTCAATAACAGTAGACAAGTAATGGTAAAATAAAAAGTAAACATATGTGTCCTTTCATGGCCCAACATTGTTTGCCATTTCCAAAGTCAACCAAGCAAAATATGGCCAAAAAAGTAATTTAACTCCTTGACTCACCATGCAAATATGAATGTGGTCGACCTACCAGCAAGCTACTGCAAAAATATAGCTGAGTACTAGTTAATTACACGTGGTTCACTACTCCCCAACACCAAAAACATGTAGCACTACTGGCTTTAGAAAAACAATGTCATGCCTGCAAAACCAGTTACCACTCTGGGACAAATAAAGGTCTTCAAACTGAAGTGTGTACTTGTGCATGGATGGGTTAATAATAAAGGTCTCTTGAGTCCCGGGAAGATTGGGGTGTCTGGCACCAGATTAAAGCTGCGCTATGTAATTTACGACAGAAGAAATAACACAGTCTGCCTCATACGGATCGAGAGCTTAATTCACAGTCAATAAAACACACAATTTCTCAATTCAATCCACCCAGTGGTTTTACTGCTGCACCCTTACTTGGTCTGGCACAGCCAGTGGCTTATGGTGGCTAATGTTAGCCAGGCTAGTCTCAAGTGTCCCCAGCATTATTATAATGAAGCCAGGGACACCTTTAAGAGTCTGTGTGAGACTCACTGGGCTTTTCACAAACTACAATGTAAACCCATCCGCGTCATTATTAGATGGTCAGAGCAACAGGTGTTATTCAGCAACATCCACAATCTTTCTAACCATAACCAAGTAGTTTTGGTCCTCACTGCCAACCCCCTACGAGAGTCGCTTCATATGATCAACTTAAACCGTAACCTTTTCCGCGCCATAAACACTTAGTTTTGTTGCCTAAACCAATGACTGCGTCCAACCGACACACATGTGCGGGTGATCTTTAAGCAAATCTGGGATGTTTTCCCAAGCATAACCAAGTAGTTTTGTTGCCTAAACTGAACCATTGACCTGCTTCTTATCGCTGACCACTTCTGCATCCAGATACAATGGAAAACACTGCCTGTGTAACGTCCAGTTTAGTAACGCCCAGACTTCTGCCCAAGCTGCAATGTATGATGAGTAGAGATGACATCATTTGTTAGCTATATGTGTCTGTGTAACTGACATTACTGTTTCAATTTGCTGACTTTATGACTCTTCTCTTCCTATGCTAGTACATTTTAGCATTTAGCATGATCCCGTAATAACTGACCCCTTGTTAGCAAAAGTTACAAAGGCTCAGTTTGGTGTTTGCATATTCTCCACTGAAATATTGTGTAAATGAGTCACCTGCTGTTTTTCTGTATGGCTAACCACCTGAATCAGCAGACTTTAACATTACAGTTCCTCTTTCTATATGAATCGTCTGCTGAAGGCTGCACCACCCAGTTTCTCCTTTACTATGGGCTGGATTTGGGAAGCAGGTCACAGTGCAGGTATTACTCAGATCCAGTGACACTATTTGTGAATGTACGTATATAAAACCATCGTGGTACTGGATTTAGCAGAGTGGTCACACACTTTTGGCCATAAGCTAAATGGCTACTTGTTATGTTCCTGAAGTTTAAGCTCGGCCGAGTTAATTTCAACATTTAGTGATTGTGTAACATGAAGAAAATGACTCCTTCTTTTTGTTTATATTTACTTTCACTGCTTCTCTTTTAGATGCTCAGTTTGTCTGTGTGTGTGTGTGTGTGTGTGTCTTTCACTTGCACTCAAACACACCGGCAACCATGACATTTAAACAAGGCACAATACTGTTGGGAGGATACACCGCTGTGTGTGTGTGCACTTTATATGGGCTGGTCTTTGTCCTGAAACGTGTTTATCAGACAGAACACACCTTGTTTCATGGCCCTCCGATAGCAACAAACTCACACACATGAATATAGCTGTGTGTTCAGTCCTGCTCCTAAGGGTGTGCCTCCTGCTTGAATGCACCCATATCTTAATAAGCTGTCGTACGCTGAAATGGCCGCATTTCTGAGCCCTCGCTTTGCCCGTTGTCCTTCTTTTCAATTCATGCAAATGTGCAACTCTCAGCACGACAGAGATAAGAAATGAGAGTTGAGTGTTTGCATACAGTTGAGTGAGTACATGTGCAATAATAAAGTGAACACTGTGAGTGAGTATGTGTGAAATATTATCCGATGAAAGAAGTCTGAGTGCCAGTAGAGGGAAAGTGTCTGCTTACATGAACAGGCTCTAATAACAAACACTAGCAGGTATACAGACGCTGAAATGCAGGGTGCGGCTGCTCGGAGGAATGTGCTCAAGGCATCTTACCACACCCAGCGTCCTTCTCCCTCCCTCCCCTTCTCTCTCTCTCTGTCTCTCTCTCTCTCTCTCTCTCCGTCCTCCGCCCTCTCTGAGTCACCTGGCAGCCATTGAACAGGTGTACAGGTCTAGGCAGAGTCCAGGCAGCAGCTAAATCCTGGCCTGCACCCCAACAGACCTGGCAGAGGAGCCTGTGTTATCTGGGACGATTTGAATTCAAACAAGCTTTATTGACATGGCTGTTGGAGTTTAATGTTGGCAGTGCAGTTACATGGGTAAAGCACAAACACACAAAGTGGATTACTAAGGCGATGGGCCACCACAAGCGTCAGTGTCTCCTCCTAATAAACTTTTGACTTAATGTATTATAATAGACTTCCTTTTTCTGAGAATAACTTCAAAGGCGTAGGTTTCATTTCAACAG